TGATGCAACTGCAAGGTATTTTTTATCCTTAAAAAAAAAACCTTTTTACTATTTTATAAACATATGAACATATGAGGAGTTTATTATGTTTGATGTTTCTTTTACATTTCAGACACTTTATGTTGGACAATTTCTACTGAACAGTCTTTTTTTTTTGCCTTCATTGTGTTTTTCAATGCTGTTTATCATTGCTTTATTATTTATTGTATGGGGATGGTCTTAATCTATTTTTGCCCTTATCATTCAGTTTCTACCTCACAGTTTTCTTATCTTATCCATTTAAACGATGTGCAATATTTAGTGCAGTTCATGTGCACCACACCTTGCAGTAAGTTATATTTCTTTGTACTACCTGGCAACCTCAGTTCTTTTTGCTGGTTGCAAACTATTCGGATAAATAAGAATAAAGTTGAGTTGTTTCAGTGCTTTATTGTGCTGGTGTTGCACTGATCTGGTTTTGTTTGACGGCACATGTACAAATTTGACTTTCTATATCAACTAAACATTAATCAGCTAGTAAAAGTGCGGAATAATAAGTGTTTATCGGTGTTTCATTATTTTAAGTTTTGCTGCTTCATCAAAAACTTCATTGTCTTTCTCCTCATCGTTACCTCTGCTTATGTGTGTCCCCTTTTATATCTTGCTGTCTTCGCAAAACACTTTAACTTCAATTCTGAAGAACATTTTTGAAGTGGAGGATGTTTGAGATGGATTTTTGGGTGGCGATGGCGGCTCGATCAATAACTTCTTTTGTGAGCTGGGTATGTGTTTTGGTTTCAAAATCTAACCTGAAAAGAAGACGCCCAAAAAATGAGTGTATGATAAGTTCCTTTGCAACACTGAAGAAAAGACAAATATAATCAGAAGTACGAGGAACTTTAAGAAACTGGACTAACGCATACTTGTAACTTCAACATAATTAACAGACTGCTTAGGTTATGGTTATTTTCATCTCCTGGTAACAGACATTGTGTGTACCTGACACTGTGTGAGGTCTCTGGATCCACTTGAATCTGGTTCCATAAATAAGCGGTATTTTTCCTGAGAACATATTTGAATGACATATTTTTCTGGATTTCCTGCCAACTATCTGATTCCAAAGGGTTAACAGTGAGGGGGCTAACTCTGCTGGGGATGCGCTAATCAGCTCGGAAACATTTGCTGCCCTTCTGGCAAGGTCAAAGGGGTCACGGTCCCTGGGATGGGTGTCCACTCCATCCCTCGCTCCTCCCCCTCCTCGTGTAAAGCCCAGCCCCCCCTTGGGGCCTATAGGCCCTGCAGGCACAATCACCGCAACGCAACTATAGGCGCACAGAAGCTGGCTTTAATCTATATGGAGCCCTGGGATGGACTGCGGCTGTCTGTCCATCAGTCTGTCAGCGTGTCTTGCCTTGACCGGACCCAGGCGGCCCTGGACCTAAGCTATCGACTGAGAAAGGGCCAACCCAGATTCCTGATTGGTCTGCAGAGGCGTCCGGCGGGCCCCTCCTGCTGTTTGGCCAACTGATTGATCTGTTAACACTGGCCGCTGGACGTGTGTCCCTGAATTTAATTTCAGAATTCATTTCTGGGAGACGTGTGTGTACAGAAATGATGTAGAGTCCCAGGATCCGAGTGAAGGATTGAGGGCGGAGGCAAAAAAAATTGCCATTGAGATTCCTTTTCTCTATTGTCCGATATTTGGAACGTGCTCGACAGAAACACTGGTCCATTCTTAAAATATGTTTCATTGTCCACAAAGGCGGGATTGAAGGCGATCCATATACAAGTATTTGTTCCTTTAAGCATCTGATCTCCAAGGGTTTCACTCCTTTGGGTGCAAGAAAGGACAATTTCCTAATATGAGCTGACACTTCTTTTATTTTCCATGCCATTGGATACATTTTGCCTTTTGGGTGCTATTTACCTGTTCATTTTTGAAATACAGTGTTTTTGTAATATCTGTATCAGAGATACTGGTTATCTACAACCTATGAGGAGAACAGCAAAAGGAGCCTTCACCGTTATTTCATTTCATTTCTTATCAATACTCAGACCTCCCCGCTGTCAAAATAATAAAAAGTGTTGAAAAATGCCACTGGAGTGGAGCTGTGAGGTTAGGTAACCCTGATTCATTTCACAGCTCATAAAGCCCGTCAATGTGCTGGAGTGTGGGTACGGTCCACCATGGATTTCCCAGCCCATTCTGCTTTACGCTCCTCCGTTATCAGAAATACCCATAAAAACACTCAGACAATGAAATAAAAATGTGGTGGCCAAGACAATGCCCGTGTGAGGAAGTGAGGGCTGATTTGATGGAGTCTCTCTTTCTCCCCCCCTCTGGCCTGCTGCAGACACACACACAGAGAGTGGGGGCTGCTTGGATATGCATCACAAAGGCTTCCTGCAGTATTGATCCGCAGTGGGTTAAGGCAGTCTATCAGCAAATGTCCCTCTCTCTGGGAAAAACAATGGGAGATTAAAAACACACAGCTTGCTGGGCGGGAGGCTGCTGATGGGCCCTTATCTGGGCCCAAAGGTCACTGTGTACAGATATAATCCACTTTCACTTAACAGCTTCATTTAAGGCACCTCGCATGCAAATGGTGGCATTTGTGGGTCTATTCAAAGATAAAGGTTTGTTTTTTAAGAGCGAGGCGAGTTGAGTTTTGTCCAAGACACGGAGCAGGAGTTGTTTTTTTTTTTTTTACAGGCAGGAAGAGGAAACTGTTAAATCTTTTAGCAGAAGTAGACGGCAGCGTTTCCTTTTTATGAACAAAACAAGCCAGCGCAGGCGTTTGACAGCTTCTTAACACTGACGGAAGCAGCTGCGGAGCGTTGGGACTGTACGGCCTCCAGAGCAGGATTTTTGTTTTGGAATTAATCAGTCAATTCACTTCAGGGCCACATTTAAAAACAGGAATCAATATTAGTTACAGTTTACATCAGCCTGCAGTTTTTAAGAGACTCCGGCTCAGACGGGGGAAATATTTCTATGTTGCACTATTCAGTAGGAGCCAGTCTGGGAATTTTCAACTGACGATCTTAGCAGAATTTAGATTTTATTTCTGAGTTTATGCTCAGCTAAAGACGTATTTAAGTTATTTAGTTAACTTTGGCTATTTTTGTAAACTAGAAAAAATGGTGTGCAGCTGTTATCTACGAGTGCTGGATCAGATCAGGACTCTTGGCTGATGTTCAATATTATTTAAAATCAGATCAGGGATGGTGGCCAAGAAAAGTAAATCAGGTCATGATATGTTCTGTTGATTTAGTTTTCTCCTGATTTTGTCATCTGAGTGCATTTTGTGCATTTTCCCTGGTGTTCCTGTTCCCCTGTAGTCCAGTCTTGTGAGTTTCCAGTTTTTCTTTGACCCTGTTTCCCTCCTATTCTCTGTGTTTTATTCTTTAGATCAGTTTTCAGTGTTTATTTCCTGTTTTATTTTGAAGTAGATTCCTTGTGTTTTACCTCCCTAGTTTTCCCTCCTTCGTTAATCACCTATGAGTTTCACCTGTTTCTCGTCTGCCTCACCTGTTGCTCGTTCCCCAGTGTGTATATAGTCCCTGTCTTCCCCTCTGTCTTGTTTAGTTCTCTGTGTGTGTTGTATCTGCTTGTTTCACATGATCCTGAATCTTTGAGTCCCTGATGTCCTTGTAATTTTTTTCCCCCAGTGTCTTCTGTTGGATTTTTTGGTTGGACGTTTTGAAGTAAGTTTTTGTTGCTTTTCATTTAGTTCTTTTAATAAATCCTTTTTTATTTGTCTGCATTTTTGATTTCCCTTTGTTTAACCCTAGCTTCATGCCAAACCAGGTCATTCCTAGTTAAGTGAAAACACCCTATAGGAGGTGGGAACAACTGCATCATGGGAAAGTTTATCACACATTCATGAAAGAGGAGAAATAACAGAAGTAACACGTTTAAGAGAAATTATCTGTAATCTTTCTAGAACAAACGGGAAACACGAGATGGTTCATGAGGAGATTACAGACTAGAATTCCCTAAAAAAAGACAGATCAAAAATAAAGAAGCTGATATGGAATTCTTTCCGGGACTTCTGGGATATCAGACACACGATCACAACAACCTTAACCTTTGACCTCTAAAATCTAATCTGTTTAACCTCGAGGCTGAGAGGATGTTTAGAGAACTTTCTGAGGCTTTCTGAGATCTCACATTAAAATACCACTAAATCATATCTGGCCTCGTCTGTCCTCAAAACAGAGGCCAGATGAATCAAAACACCCTCCACCTGTTCACAGCACACAAATCTGAAAACACAAAGCGACGCCTGTGAGCTCGTTCAGACAGGAATCTGGAGCTGCACCGTCGCACTCGTTTTGCTTCATTCTCACAATCACCTGACGGACGTATCCTCCCAATTTGGCAGACTGTTTAAGTTTATTTAAGTTGCAGTGTTTTACAGCCTCTCCCTCTGCTGAGTCTCTGCCAAATCTGCTCTGCATCAAACTTAAACATCAACATCCACCTGCAGACTGCAGCATGAAGGAAGGCGGTGGAGTTGACAACATTATTGTATCTGCAAAATCCCGTGATTCAGGTCCTTGTTCCAAAAGTTTTCCATAATTTAAGTCAAAAAGTGAATTTTCTGAGATAAATCTAGAAAATTTGAAGTTTTTAAACCAAATTACATGAAAATATGAACTTTTTAGGACACTCTTGTTTGTGCTACATCTTTATTTAAGTAGTTGGTAAAACATAGAAATTTAATATAGATCCTCCATTTTTCTAACATTCCCTCTTAGCATCAATCAATCTTCAATATTCTGCATTTAGTGTCAGATTAAAGCTTTGCAACACGGTTTCATTTTGTTCAAACTAAATATTTTGATTTCTTCGTTTCACAGACCGAGGAAAATCGAAAATTATTCATCTATATATATGACGATTGCTGACAGAAAACCCTCCTAGTGAAGCACCAACTCACAAAGGTAACAGTTTTGAAAGATATGCCTTCAGTTTGTCTTGAGGCTGGACAGAGATGAATTACTGCAACACCAGATTTATTTTGGTACTTTATTCAAATTATAAAATGTAAACAAACAAAACAGTTAAAAAACAGGTGCGAACAAATGTAACAGTTAAAAAACAGGTGCGAACAAATGTAACAGTTAAAAAACACAAGTGCATTTTCTTCAGCATGCTAACTTCAAATTTCTTATTGCACTAAACTGAACTGTAGAGCAACCAAACAGTGATCCAAACCTCAACATTGATGCTAAAAGAAGTAACACTCACTTTAAAAAACAGACCGGAAGCTTATTTTCCAAATGGAAACATAAAAAAAAAACAAATGTGTGAATCAATACAGCAGGTTTAATGGTTTCCCATTAGGTCTTTGGGCTCGCTGAATTTGCGTCTCTTAGTCGGCTCGGTGGTGGACAGCGTTTCCTGGCTGGTGGGGATGTCATACGGACAAACCTGAAAGCATCAGAGGAAACAGTCAGCTAACAGCGAGCTAACCACTGAATTGTATGAGTGTACCGACAGACAGCTTCCCACTCAGAAAACCAAAGTGATCAGTGCTGACTCATCTGTGGAACAAACGGGGATCCTACGCATTTTTCCATTTTAAGACTCATCTCTGGAGAAATGCTCTATTTGTCGAAGAACAGCTGTTAAATCACCAGAAATCAAAAATACACATGCTGCATGTAAAACCAACTGAACCCAGGGAACCAAACTCCAGCTCCGAGAAATGCAGTAACAGCTCTGAGTTTATACACAGGACTCTGTAAAGATGAGTTTTTCACCTCTTTGGGCTTCGCAGCTGTCCTCTTCTTGTTGTTCAGGGTCAGGTTTGTCTCCTGTACAAACACACACATACACACTTAACGACACAGAAGCTGTTTTTTTATTTCTCTAATGATTTTTTATCATCATTAACATCATTTAACTTTCATTTCTCAACATTTTTAACTTTAAATAAACAAAAAAAGAAAAGCAGTTTTCTGCTACCGGCTTATCCAAGTGGTCATTATCTGTGAACCATCTGCTCTAACTGCCTCCACACTCGTGCTCAAAATCCTCAAATAGACCAGATGTAGTGCGCTGTGTTTTAACATAACACATTATGTAAAACAAACCTAAGTGCAGCCTTGTTTTGTTGCATAAAATACCTCTCATTTACACGTCAAAACAGTCCAAACTAAAATAATATCTGCTAAGTGGTTCATTAGCAGAGGAGTTAAAAGGTTGAAGAGGTCTAAAGGAGTCTGGCTATGACAGTTTAAGGAGAGAATAAGAAGCCGTTCAGGTTTGAGAGGCTGACTGACCGTAGTGGATCTGATGATGCGGCCACTCCTGGTCCTCCTCAGGCCCACCTCCATGTCAGAGGTCCTCTTCACAAGTGTGTCCATCTGAGAGGGGACAGATGGTCTGTGACGCCTCCGACCATTAAAGCACTTAAAGCTGTTTTATGCTCGGTGTTTACACTCAAGTCTACACCCACTTTGTTTTATGTTAAAAGAAGACCCCCTTATGGTTTTTGAAGAGGGCTCAGGTGTTCATGTTTTACTGCATTATAGTTTGTGTCTCTTATTATTTTGGAGTTTGTTTTAATGTGAATTTATGGATAATTTCTGCACATTTTATAGACCTATCCAGCATTTTACAGTTAATGTAATAACCCATGTAATGCTGGATTAAAACATGCAAAAATAAAAGTGCATTTCATTGAACTTTTATCCACTTTATTAGTCACTGATTTCTAATATACCACAGCACAAAACTAAACAAATCTAATTTAACCCTTTATTGCAGGTTTCATGTCTGAGTTTCAAACCAGCAGTTTTCACTTGCCAAGAAAAGTAAGACTGAAGCGAACAGGTGTGTTTGCATGAATAACAGCCAGGCCACACTGCCTGTCTAAGTGGTATGTGTGTGAAGTTCAGAGCAGCCACACAGGTGTATTAGTGTATCATCCTGCTGTTGCAGTTGATTGGTATTAACGAAAAGTATAGATATGGTGTTAAAATAAACACATACGGTTCAGGTGTTTGTGGTTCCTGCCACATTTCATAAAACAGAGAAGAAGAAGAAGCAGCAGCTGCTCAAGAGCTCACTGTAGCAGCTGTCTGAGAAATGATTCAGCACTTTTAAAAAGTTTTATACAAGGCTTTGAAACTGATATGTGGTTTTAAAAAGCAGCTTGAACACTGTGTATGTGTGTGACAGAGCAGCTCAGTGCACACGGTGAGAGGTAGGAAGTTTGGTTCAGGTCTGACTTACCTTCTGCAGCAGAGATCTTCATTTCTACAAATCTCTCTTTGCGTTGAAGTCAGTGTTGTTTGTATCACACTTACCTCTGTGACTTCCTCACAGCTCTTAATCTTCTTCTGACTTGTCATCTGGATCTCTGAGATAAAAGAAAAGACTCTTTAACAATCTGAAGAACATTTCCTGCTTAATTAACATGCAGAGTTATTCCGTCAATTTTAAGTTTATTTTGTACGAAGCTGTTGTGAAGTGAGAGGAGGATTTACCCGTGTTGTCCAAGTCTGTGTTCTTGCTTACAGGCTTGTCTTCGTTCAAATGGCTCTGCAGATTGACACATTTTATCAGAAACCATGATAATACCATGTCAACATACTGACTACTCTTGATAACACACACTGACTAAAACGTCTCGCACGCTTTTGCAGCTCAAAACAAAAAACACGAAAACTTTTCAAATTTCTTCAGCAGGTTGTTTCAGTCAGCAGCTGTGAAATCGGCTGTAAGAGCTGCAGTTCAGTCCTCAGGGCACCGAATCAAAGTATATCCACTAAAAGTGTGTGTGTGTGTTTCCGCTTACAGAGAGTGAAAACTAGTTAGCAGGAGTCCACAGTGAATATAAACGTTACTGTTGAGGTGTGGGAGTCTTACTGAAACCTACTTCAGCTGCTTATTCCTATTCCAGTTTGATCTTGGTATTTTATGTTCCACGTGTGTCGTGTTGAAAGTTGACAAACTCAGGCTTCACGGTAACATTTTAAAGATATAAACCTAAACAAGTGCTGCTGTGGTAGTCTGGAAAATCAGAATAGAGAGTTCTCTATGAGCTCGAGGCAAAAAAAGTATTTACTCAAGTTGGTTTGAGTCTTCATTGTGATTTTATTTAATCTCTTCAGCACTTCGGTCAACATGAGTTGTTTCTTATATGCTTTCTAAATAAGTTTGACTTGTCTTGACTTGTGTGCTGACCTGTGACAGGACGCCCTCCTCCTCCATCTTCAGAAGCCACTTCTCTTTCACACAAACGCTCTCCTCCACCTGCAGACGTTTAACAACACACAAAACCATCTATGAAAATCAGCTCCCAGAGGGGCTGACTGCAGTGAACCTCGTTATCAGGAGACAAAGGTCAAAAAGCTGTCCACTTAAAACTCTGAGACAATGAACACGAAGAAGAACAGGACTCGTACATTTAATAGAGGATAAATAAAAAGGTTTAACAGCCCCTCACTTCAACGTTTTATTTCTGTCCCTTTGTTTTCTGCTTCTTTCTCTTACCCGCTCCAGTCTCTGTCTCTCTGTGGTCATGTCTAGCTTCAGACTGTGGAAGGGAGTGACCACCTCACCCATGGTGAGTCGAACCGGCTCCCTCTCAAACTCCATGGTGTCACCTTCGGCCTCTTTGAAGCCCGACGGCTGGTAGTCGTGAGGAGTGACTGGAAACAGACAAACAAACAGTAGCAGTTAGACGGAGAAGGACAAAACCTGACCAGAGAGAGAGGAGTCAGCTGTCGACTTTATTGTGTGCCATTTGTGTGTTCTTGTGTGTTACCGTTGTCATAATAAGCCAGCTTCATGTTGAGGCACACACTGTCTGGCAGAGGACCCAGGTTCTGCATCAGGGTGTAGAGCTTTCTCACCAGCAGGATGCTCGCCTTCTTGGTGTTGCCTGATGACATGGACAGCGTGTTGTTGTTGTTGTTGCTGCTGCTGGAGAGGAGGAGAAAAATCTTGTTTAGACCTGCAGAAAGCTGAGATGCTCAAGTCTTAAAGCTTTATTCAAAAAAGGCAAAAAAAAAGGAACAATCATCAGAAACTGTTTATGTAATCCATTTAGGATTTGTAAAACTGTCATATTTTTAATGACTAGTTTTGTAATATAGAGGACAATACGAAAGAAAGCATGATTCACAGTTTACACAATCTGTGTTCCTCCTGGATAAATAAACATTCATTCAACTGTATTGTGTCAATCTTATCAGGCAGCTTATCCCTAAATTATTGAACAGATAAACTGTAATCATGTTTCTTTAAAAACAAAATCAACCTCTGGACTCCAAAGAAAACTCTTCTTATCAATCCTATCTTGGTGCAAATTTATAAAACCCTAAGAAAACAGCAAACAGCTCTGTTCTGGATAGCATCTGAACTCTGACCTCCTTTACATCCCATAATTCAATAAAGGAGAATCATGTGCATCATTGTTTTTTTTGTAAACTGAATACCCCAAATCTTAACATATTTCAAGCTAATAAAAACTAGAGATGCACCGATCCATTTTTTTCCAATCCAATCCAATATTGATATTTTTGACCTGTGAGTGAAGGCATCAGGGTTGACATTAGCCTTGTTAAATAAAAGGTAACAAATTAACACAGATATAAATTTACTTGATATTATTTACTAACAAATAAAAAATTGCACATTAGCACACATCAAAAGAATTAAGACTTCCATGTAAACATTTAGTGCAAAAGGAAAGACAGACATAGAATACAGAGCGAACAGAATCTGTGTTTTTGTGTTTGATATTAATTAAAAGAAAAAAAAGACTGTACCGGAACTCTAGATCGGCTTCATTCATCAGATATCCGATCCGGTTAATTTGTCAATATCGGAGCCGATATCCTATCCAAATATCGGATCAGTGCATCCCTAATTAAAACAGCTCCCAATACCGATAGCAAAAAGTTTAAATTCCAGCTTCATAAGTCCTGAACTTATCAAGTTATTACTCTGATTTACTCTCAGTCTCCATCTGAAACTACAGGTCTTTGTAATCATGTTGTTTGTTGTTTCCTACAAGAACACCCGACTCACAGAACAGGCACAGACGTGTGTTGAGCCAACTTTGAGATGTTTTATTTCACGTATTTGTTTCTTGCTCTGGGGATGCTTTGGGGTTTACTCAGCACATTTTGTAGTCGAGTTCATGAGCATCGGTTAAAAAAAAAGAAATCCCACCTTTCAAAGTCCATCTGCGCTCCCTCTGCGGTGTACTGGATCCTGAACTGATAAAGTTCAGTCACTTTCTGAAAGATAAGAAACAAACAGCTGCTGTATGAGATAGGCCGTGAGTATACGAGCAGTTATCTATACAGTTTCTCGGCACTAATAAACATCAACAAAGGCGAGAAACAGCCCGTGCATTACCTGGGGGTTCTCTTGGTCTGTATAGATCTAAAAAAAAACAGACAAAGATAATGAACATTATCAGACTAATACAGAGAGGACTAAAAGCTGCACAACATCTGCAGGAACACTCGTCCCAAAAGTACGATTAGCTGTGGTGGTAACTGCTCAGATTTGCCTGTTTAGCTCTTTACTGCACTGAATATGTACCATGATTACACATTACAAGAAGATACGAGCAGGTGCAAGTTTGAAGATATACTCACGGACATGATAACTGTCCGCAGCTGGAGGAGAGAGGAAAATACATGTAAGTCTGAAGCTGTTAACTAGACAATGTTTGTATGGACTTAAAAAAAACAAATCATTCAACTCAGATTTGACTTACATATTTCTTCTGGATGGCCTCAAAGCAACCCTGCATCCTGGAAATACAAGAGGGACAAGAGTAAGACTGAGCTTTCAGTTATCATCATGATAAATGTTTTGGCATCTGAGCATGAAGGTATAGTATGTGGTCTGATAAATATAGTGCACAGCAGATGAGTGATTTAAAGCCTACAGATGGTGGACCACTAGTTGTGTATGAGCTTCACTTCATGGTATAAAAAGCTCTGCTGCTCATCCACATCACAAATGTTACCGGTACTTCATGCAGCTTCTGTCCTCAACTTGAATCTAAAGCCTTTTCATTCCGTAAGAGACTCCCAAACTGAACTCTTAACAAAGTGGCACTCTAACTTCAAATGTGGAGATGTTGCACTAAACCATATTGCAGTAATAATTTTTTATCATTATTACAAGTAGTATGGCTCCCTTCTTGCTCCTTGTTATGAACTTAAACTATGTCTGAGAAAAGTTTTGGCACTCATGCAGATTTTGGCCTTAGGCATCAAACTCAGACATCTTCATAAACAGTGAATAAACATTTAAAAAAAGCATATCCTCAGTTTAAATGTTAACACTGCACTGAGAGGACAATCATTCTCAAAGAAAAGCTGCAAGATTACAGAGTAAAAAAAATACACTATGCTTTATTTGTTCAACTCTGAGCATAAAACTGATTGTTTTTTCAAGTTTTGCCGTTCATGTACAGGTTTACTAAAAGTAGAGCAGATCACATCATCACATACAGGATAATTGATGGGTTGATGTCACAAAACTAGTCCGCCTCACCTAAATATGAATCAGCAAGAGTACAGTCAGACATCTATACACCTCTTCTGTTTTATGAGATATCTCACAGAGATGATTCACAGCCTTTTATGTATTGTTTTTGAGTTTTTATTGCTTTAGCACAGATCTGTACAGTGGATGTTTTGAGATGGGTTTTTATTTCTGACAGAATTTCACCATATTCAGCTATTTTCTTAACATATTCTCATGTTACTTAAATAACCATGTACTGATGTATTGATGGTCTAAATTCTGTCTGTTTCACGGCTCATTTTAAAAAGGTATTCATTTGAATTTTGTACACAGAAGGCCAGACACTGATTCATGTCGTTGTCTTGTAAGTGTTTATTAAGTTGTTAATATTTACCACTGGACAATCTGACTGGCCCCAGGACAGCTGCGCTCCTCTTTAAGTATCATCACTTTCTGATCTGTGGGGAGAAAAATAAGGAGGAAAGGATTTTCTTTATAAATGTTTCTAAATGTAAAAGCGGACCTTGATAGCTGCTGTTCTGTGTGAAATCTAACCTTCGACATATTTGTCCCCGTAGGCTGTCACTGGGAAAAGACCCCGGAGATAAGTGATGCCAGACACTGCAATGGCCAGCAGCTTCTTTATAACAACCAAGGACTGCTGCTCTGTGAGAACCTGGTTAGGCAACAGCTGAGTATCCTGTATGAGAGACATACATGAATCATAAACACTCAGGTCTGGTTACTCATAACAGTCTACACAAACAGCAGAAATCAGCCGACGGCTGCATATCAAATTCTATTTTTCATATCAGCTTCACAAGTTACCCCCCGAGAAAACGTGCAATTTTTTCCACTTGTTACGTAAGCTTTTATCTCTGAAATCTACAAAAACATCAAACATAAAAAAATAATAATGAGGATGTTTTTTGTGGGATATAATGAAGCACAGCTTCTCTATTAAATTTAAAAGATTCCTATCTTGCATATTTCACCTACGCCAAACTTTATGATGCAAGTCCCTCATATTGAGCCACGCTGCAGGGGTGTAAGGGTTTAAAAACTCCAAAGATGTCAAAACTATACAGAGCAGAGTTTGAGGTTCATACATTTCCAGAAATTCAGGTACATATGGCTCAAGCTCCAAGGTCAGAATAAACACAATAGCACTTATGTAGAGTACTCTCCATGAGCAAATGAGCTTAGTTTAGAGGACTTGGATATGCTGTATACTACAGTAATAATATAAACTTCATGGAGGATAAGCTCATGCTGAAATTTGAAGGAAAATGGTCTGAGAGCGTTCTGTCTGAACCAAAAATGAGAATATTTACATCCTTCAAACAGAAGTTTTACCCCGATTTAAATCTCGTTTATCTAGAGGCCAAAACAGTAGTCGAGATCTGATGTTCTTCTGCTAGCCTTTTAGGCTGGTCTGAGGGTGAGGCATATAAATGTATGAGAAGATAACAAAATGAAACTTAAAACTCCTTAACTTTTAGAAAAATAATACAGTTCAAAAAAGAGTTAGAAAGCTGTGTAAAACATTCATTTAAAAGTAGTGAAAAGACGACACTCCATATATTAAAACTGAATTTTCTTTGTTTTATGAAATAAATAAACTTACTCTAAATGTGACACCAGCAATATGTTTAGTAAGAGACAAGACAAGGAAAATACAACACCAAAATTAGTGTTGTTGGAGATAAATCTTCTGATTATTAGGTTAACTTGCAACAGGTTTGTCATTTTATACCTGAGTACATGAGTGAGTGTAAAAAAGTTAATCCAGAGAAGCTGAGTCTCCGAGAAAAAATGAGGTTTATCACTCTGAGAGCAAACAGTTCAACAGTTTCTGAATGATGAACAGGCAATGGTAAGAAAACACATCTAAGACAGCACCATTAATGCCAAACAATACAGTAAATACAGGCTGCTGCCATCCAAACACTGACTTTTTCATTAAAGAACATTACAGTTAGACAGCTGAAATCCTATGTGAGGCAGGATGAGGGTAACTTTTCACCCTCAAAACTCCAGAAACAGATCTCTTTGCTTACAAAACTGCTAAAATAAAAGTTAGCTTGTTTGCAATAACTTACAACACTGACTCTACACTAGTTAGTCAATCTTATACTATTTTACCTGGGAAGATCTCACTTGTTGAACACATGCCATTGCTTTGGTGAAACACAAGAAAATAATCGACTGTAAAAGAAAGAGTAAATGTGAGCAGGGCTACAAACATCCCTCACTTTGCTTTAGCTAGGTTAGTTACATTAAAATCGTCAGTTTAACACATTCTGAGCAAACCACTCGCTTTAAAGGACAGCAAAACTAACTTTAATCTTTAATAACCTTGTAGGTACTTACATGTCCGTAAGAGTGATTATTTATCGAGGAGAGACAATGATTTTTGTGTTTTTTTTAAGTGGCTTATGGCGGTTTTATGGGAAAGTAACACAACGATTTCCCGCTCAATATTTGATTGATGGGCGGGCTCACCCTCATAGAGTAGCCAATCACCGAGCAGATAGCTTGTTATGAGTGTTTATCAAACAGTATCACTAATGTCAGCGACTACTGCATTGAACAAACAGTTAGTGTATTCATGTGTTGAATTAACAGAGAGTGTGCTACACTAAACACCAGTAAGTTCCACCGATAATATATATCTTCTCTGTCATACAGGTGCTTTGTGTTGATGCAGTGCGGCCCCCGCATCGCCCCCAGTTTGCAGAAAGTAAAACGATTGGCCAACAACGCTGTCAATCATAGCGAGCGCTGCTGTGTACGGAATCTCATTGGCTCAGAGCGGACGTCTGACGCTCGCCTATTGGTTACTGTATACGCCGATCACAAATGGGGAAAACCTACCGGGGCTGATGTCACAACTCGTTACGCCATTTTTGTTGGGGAGCAGCAGTCGTGTCCAGAAAAGGAGGATCAGATCCAGTACAGGTACATTAGAAACGGTACCGCGTCTTTTCACCTCTGTGAGTTGTCCGGAGAGCGGGACACTTGCTTCGTCTCACGCACACACACGCCATGTCGACAGAGAACCTGGACTCGGACACTCAGGTGGACTACGAGGACGAAAAACAGGTGGGTTTGTCCCTGCTGTCTCAGTGTTGTTGGCTAACCACCGAGCATGCTAACGGGGAGCGGCTAACACCTGCTAGCTCAAGTAAAGAGTAGGGGAGGGGGGAGTCTGTGCGACCCTGAAAACTGTGATAAATCTGCCCGTTTGTCTGAAATGTCCCCACCGTGGCTGCTGACCACCCTGTCCCTGTGTCACTCTGTTTTGTCCCTTGGCTTGTGTCATTGGCTGAAAAGTCCACAGCAGCTTGGGCCTCATTGGTCTGTCCTGGAGGGTCCGAAAACGTGCCATGACAGGCCGAAAGTCACATCATTTAGTCCTGTCACTGAGTTCACATTGATCCAGTGTGGGAAAAAACAAACATGCATGAAGGGGTAATCTGACTTTTACGTCCTGATTGTCACATGGTCTCAGACTCCAGATGGTCTTCCCAACATCTGCAGTCTGACAGGGGGAGTTCCGCATTTTCACACAGTGCAACAACAACAACAAGCACAGTGATGTGCACACGGATCAATTCTTTATCTAAGGTACACAGACTTCATTATGGGCCAGGAGAGAACATCTAGTGCCAAAGCCTGACATCTATGTCTCCTGATGGAAGTGTTAAAAAGGGGTGGAAAGAGTGTTAAAATAGTCTTTTTAAGCACAATTAGTTACTTTAATGACATTTTCCCAAGTAAAAGTCACAGTTTCTTCAGGCATCTTAGGAAAGAAAACAAATCGATTATCAATGGGAACTATTTAAAGACTAGTGGAAAAGTTGGCCTTGCTACCTGCTGGGTGCCTCCCTCTCTGTGCACTGTTATTGTAGTCTTGTGTTAAGTAGGGCTGGGCGATAAAACGATAATGATATATATTTTAAATTAATTTCCCTCAATATCAATATAAAATATGTACTGTGTTCGAAATGGATCCCTAACCCCTATATGGGGGTTATTTTGAGGGGTGTCCGAAACCTGAGTGATCAATTCCAATGTCCCATATAGGCGACTCAAAAGTTCCCATAGAGCATTGCAAAATGTAGTGACCATCCACTTACCGGTGGTGGGCATTCCGTCATGCATTGAGTCTCCAGCTGCAATTCAACTGCCTCATGACGAGAGGAGCCCATGGCGCCTGTGCAGCTGAATCAGCCGACCATTCAGTCCGCTTTCTCTAGAGCAACGTGTCTCAACGTCAAAGAGACACAAAGACCTCACAGATGCAGGAGATTATTGTATTTCAAAAGACATGCAATCAATAAACAGTGTTAAATTTCATTTTTTATATCGTGATATATGCCGATATCAACTGATATGAAAAAAAAATACATTGTGATAAACTTTTTCCCATATTGCCCAGCCCTACTGTTTAGCTATTTTTTCAGGCAAAGTTTGCACTTTTCCTCAGTTTTGTTCTTGTTTTTCTGGAAAAGTTCCTTGGAGAAATTTCTGCCAGTTTCTGCAGCTTTCACTGGAGGTAGAATATCCCAGAGAACTGCACATATTTTCAGCAGAACCATGCGTGTAATGTTTTTGTTGTTTTTTGGCAAACAGCTGCAGATTGGCCACAGCTACTGTGTGGTGGTTGTTTATCAAACATGGCCTGGTGAAAATCCTGTTGTTGTTTTTTTTAAGGTGTGAGGAACTGATCATGTTGGCGCCCCCTGTGGTCAAAGCAGTCTCTGCTCATCTTGTCCTTCACACATTAAAGTTATCTATCTTTATCAATCTAGATATCTATTGAACCTATTAGGATTATTTTAAGTGGAAATAGCATAAAGGGGATTGTTTCTTTAGCTGCTTGACTGACACCCAACCCTTCACATCAGTTTTGGGAATTTAAAGTCACAATAGTGAAAAAAGAGCAGTTTTGTTGTTTATGTTCACTTTTGCTTTTGTATCAGAAAACTTTCTCACAGAAATTGGATTTAAGATAAAAGTTGCATGAACTATTCGATTCTTTACAACATGACGATTGATCAAACATTCAAACATCATGACAGGGACCCAGTAGAAGAAAACTAATAGTCTAAAAATGAACTCAAGTAGAAGGAAAAGTTCTGTACTTGAATTGTACTCAATGTTCTTACAGTATAGAGAGCTCACTTGTATCCTGTAGGGTGGGAGGAGTAAGACACGCCCCCGTTATGCAAATTAGGCTCATTTTCCCAAACTGATTGTTGCAATATAACCAACAGCATCCGTGTGTGTGCAGTGATTTTGACTCTGGAACTATCTCAGGTGAATTTATTGAATAATGCAGAGGGGGGAAGGCATGGTCTCCTGTGCAGGAGGCTTCTTATCATGTACAAAAGTCAAGGATTTACGTGTTTATGATGGGTAAATTGGTTGCACATTTAGGAACAGTTCCAGATTTTTTTTAACACAATGGCAGTGGGTTAAAAATAATAGACATGGCAGCACAGCAGGTGTGAAATTGGCGTGTCTGTTGCACACCTGTTTGCTTGTATGGTTAAATTCAGCTGTGTGTACATACCGTAAATCTTTTAAAATACAGCCTCACTGAAATAACTGGTTAAAAAAATGGGCGCATTATTCCCCCCTCCTCAGACTCACTGATCGATGTTTAATGATCATGTTAAATGCTATGTGTGTTTTTTTTTTCTTGTACAGTTCTGTTAAATAATTCATGACCTGTTGCAGCATGAGACAGTTTTAATGAGGCACTGGGAACATGCAGAGACATTATCAAGAGTTTAGGGTAAAGCTTGGCACTGTGGTAGCAAAATCGAACATCAATAAAGATTATTGATGCATTATTAACAGCTGTTTTCAGGTAGTTATTGATTTGATGACACTGATATTTGCTGTTTTGGGGGGGTCAGGGTTTAGGTTCCTCAGGCTTTGGAAAATCCACGGTTCGGTGTTCGCATGAGGTCAAACTCTGCTGCACAATTAGAGACCAAATGAACTTCTCACTTTTAAAAGCACTAAAGCTCTTAATATTTTCATCATGACACTTAAAATGTTGATGTGTTTAAAGACAAACCTTTACTCGACTGTTCAGTGCTGTAATAACTTAAATTATTCAACTTTGACATGACATTGACTTTCATTTGCATCCTTATAATTCATAAAAATGAATTATTTAATACATCTGATTTTCCCCTAGCTTTATGCTGAAGAAACTAAAACAACAGATCATCAAACAGCATTGAAGAGCAGTAAAGTCAAACTTTCAAACTACCTAAGGTTTTTTGTTTTTACACCGATCTGTTCACAACCATAAAACCAATCTACTGGTTTTGGACTCTGCAGTTTCCCTGCATTAGGGTCAAATATAGTAGCTCATAAATTTCTCGTCATGTCCCAAAGTGAATCTGCACACTCAGTACCACAGCAGCCCCCCCGTCTCCTCCTGAGGGAATCAGTTCATTGGATTCTGTGGCCCGAGTCACATTTTAGCCCTGTCCTGGCAGCCTTTCCGGGCTGAGTGCCCTATCTAGTCCGCGCTGTGTGCCACCCACTCCAGGTGTGTGTTTGTGTGTGTGAGGGAAGTGCATAAATGCCCTTTGGAGTTTGTCCTCTGTAGCTGTTGGTGCCCCTACACCCACTTTTTCCTGAGATGGTTTGGTTTGCAGTCATGTCACCTGGTTCATACTTTGTACATAAACAAGGTGTGTCCCGGTGGCCCAAATTACTGGTTTCAGTGTCCACCAGACAGGGACGTGATGGCTTATACCTGACCAGTTTGGCTAGTGGTAGTCAGAGAAAGCAACACAAATACTTCTGTTGTGTACACAAGTTGGCACCTTGTGTTTTTGTTATCCCTTCTTAGTGTCAAAAGAACCAGAGCTCTGTGTGTGTCAGCTGATGGTTTTTTGACCTTAATACCAGGAGTCTTTACTGGTAAACATGTAACTACATCACCAGGAGAACAGCAGGGATTATTACACTGTTAACCCTGTTTTTCTGGCTGCTGACATTTGACCTCCACAAGACACTGAAAACAAAGTTTGTGATGCTGGTGTGTCTAGTAAAAACTAGAGATTTAGCACTTTACATCATCCGTAGTCACTGAAAGGGGTTTAAAATGTAGTTTTAAGCACAAAAACTTGATCTGTAAACCAACATTTATTTACTTTGTGGACACTCAGTAGTCACGACATTGCAACTGGAATTTCGGGATGTTCGGTACTTTATGTAAGTCCAATTTATAAATCTGGCTTTCTGGCTTTTACTGGGAAGATAAAATATTCCAACCTGCATCCCCACAAGGTGGCAGTATCAGCAAGGAGGGTATGACAGACTGTCAATGATGTTCACCTATCAGTCATTTACTTTCATACAGTTTGAGAGAAAAGCAATGCCTTTGCCTCAACATGTCCACTACCTACAACAGCCCGAGTCAGACCACCAACTGGAGGGAAGTCTCCTGTGGGACTGCTCTACTCTCATGGTGAACCCAACGACTTACCAAAAACTGTACCATAGCGTCCTGCAATTAGCTACTTTTAGCCTCGCCAAGGGCCTCAAAGACCGACACTTAGACCCCTCCTAAGGGCGCCAAGCGCAACAGGTCAGAATATAAGCTAATGGGCTAGTTACCTGCCATGTTACTCGCCATTTTAGCTGAACTGGCTCTTTAGAATCACAGAACCAAACCCATTAACAAGGTGCACTTCCATGTGAGCTTTACCAACATAGTACACTTACAAACTTGTTATCAAAGTCAAAATTTTGGTATAGAGTAAACTGTCCTTTATTTTTCTAACGTTAAAGACCTGATCTCTTTGTAGTAATAGTCAGATCACTACAGTGATCATAAATCCTTTAGTTATTGATAATTTGCAAAGACAGGTTCACACAGATAAGAAGAGACCTAGAACCAAAGATGACAAACAAATGAACCAAGCCCAGTGAATATAAATAACCTTCTGAGGATCATGACAGTTATACAACCATTCCTCTCTGCCATAGGTCATAACTGTTTCAAATTCTTCATATTGACAAAACAAAATTAAAACGTGACTCACTCTCAGGTCGTCCTCGGTCACATTATAACATCATTTACACGGCCTACTGACCTCTTTCATTGTAATTAGTGTTTATTTGAAAGTGGAAGAGTTACATGCTTGATTTGCCGGAGAGGACTTGTACGGACGTGTGACTGTTAAAGTTACTTCTTCACTGCCTGGTCTAAAATAAACTACGTGGAAAACTGTCATGAATTATAATCAAAGAAGGTGTGGGCGGTTACATTCTGGTAAAAGACTCTAAAGTCGTGTTTTTTTTTACTTCTGTTTTGTCTCTTTTTGAGGTTTTTCCTCTCAGGCACGGTGGAATAAAAGACACTGAAATAGAAGAACAATCGCTCAGTGACTCATGATAACATTAAGAGTTTTAAAGCAGAGGGTTTTCAAGTGCTGTTTGAGTTCACCTGAAGACTGAAGGGCCTTGTTTACTCCGGTACACTCTTCTGCTGGAATTTGGGTGATTTTTGTAGAAGCGGCAGCATTTTTGAAATTGCAGTCTGACCGTAAATGAGCATCTGTCACAAAAGCAGCTGTTCCAGAAGATGCATCAGCCGACAACTTGAAGAGGTGTTGACCTCCTTTTGTTTTTGTCTCCACAGGACTGTCAGGAGAAGAATGCAAACCCGGTGATGGCGGAGGAGGCAAAGCTGAAGGCCAAGTACCCAGGCCTAGGCCAGAAGCCCGGCGGATCAGACTTCCTGATGAAGAGACTACAGAAAGGGGTGGGTGACCGCGGTTATAACATGGCCTGAGAGGAGAACAGTGAAAGGACAGGGTAGTGTCTCAAAAAAAACTACAGGCATGTTTCTTTTACCTCATTTAAAGGGTAATCTCACCCCACTCAGCGCATTAAACCAGAAGCTTCTTTTGCTCGTTTTTATTGCAAATTCTTTGCAGGAATCGACGGGATGTGAGCGTCATCTTCATTTTCCACATTTTTGGCAGGTTGTACCCTGTTGAGGATATTCCTGAGTGCTGTAGAAAAAGGATTCAGGCCATTTCTAAGAAGTACTCTCATATCATTTTGATCATACAGATACAGAGAGATGTTTCTAGATAACAGTAATAAAAGACGGAGGTGTTATTCTGCATTTGAAGTTTTTTTGAAACATCCTCTCAGGCTTCATCAACTGAAACATCCATGAAAACTTGTCCAGGTCTTTTAAATGAGATGCAGCCTCTTTGTTGGTGTGTGAAGCACAACAACTTGTTCAGTAGACATTTTTTTTTATCTGTAATATGAGCCGCAGGACAGAGCACACAGAGGCTCTGATCTTTCAAACTTTTCACAATTTGAAAAAAAAAACAACAACCGCTCTCTCCACCTACGCTTACTGTATATGTTACTGAGAACTTCTACCTCTGGAGATTGTTGAAAGTCATTGTGGGAAATCACTGACGAGGAGTAGGAGTAGCTGAGGCAGGCTGAGGGGGGGAGCCAAAAAGTAAATTGCAGCTCTTAATCATAACAAAACTCTCAGTATGAACATGAGAGCGGGATGATATCTGAGGATCTATGAGTGGAGGTTTACTCGTGTCTATTTTGGTATTGATTAATTCTGCACAGCGCAACATTAAACCTGAAATTTGGATGTTTAATGACTGAATCTTAGCTGTTTGTTGTGGTGCACTCCAGGCAGGGAACTTCCTACACAGTAACTCAAACGTTAGAATAAAAGGTCTTGATTGGTCTCAGAAGCCTCCAAAGTTTCTGTCAGACACAAAAGTTCTGTATTTATGTGTTTGATTTTCTTTTGAGCCGCTCGGTCAACTTGTCTCTGTAACAGAAGTTTTAAAAGTGTTAACAGAAAACAGAAAAGTAGTAAAATGTTGGAAATTCAGAAATTTTAAGAGCAACAAACCTGCGTGAGAGACTTTGACGGGTAAGTTTCTTGACTGAATCAGAATCATGTTTCTGAAGCTGTCGTCACTTTTTTTTTCTCTTTTTGTCACGCAGCAAAAGTACTTTGACTCGGGCGACTACAACATGGCCAAGGCCAAGATGAAGAACAAGCAGCTTCCTGTGGCGGGGCCCGACAAAAACCTGGTGACCGGCGACCACATTCCCACGCCGCAGGACCTGCCTCAGAGGAAGTCGTCCTTGGTGACCAGCAAACTAGCGGGCTAGCTGACACCATCTGAGAAGCACCCCTTCCCCTCCTGGGGCTCCCGGCAAACGTCCCACCTCCTCGTCCTCACCCATGTCCCAAATCTTGTCCACCCCTCCCTCCCTCCCCTCTCTTCCTTTTTTATCCCCAGGCACCACTGGCTTTAACATGTCAGGCAGAGTTGTATAAGTTTAAGAACTCCATTTTGCTTGTATGTGGGCGGGGCCGGGTGGGAGGGATGAAGGTTCAGGCGATCCCACGAGGTCGCAGCCCTCTCTGCCTTCCCACCACGCACAGCTCTGCCCCCTCTGCGCACTCTGCTCTACCGCCTCCTTTATATCTTGGTTTTCGGTGTTCCAAGATGCATCACAGTAGGTGTGTGTCATCAAGCAGGGGTTGGATGGGGTGAGTTAATGCACTTTGTAGTCTGTATAGTATGCCTTTGTTCTTTTTTGCATCCTAAATGACACCAAAATAATGTGTGAAAGGGAGTTAGGAACCATAACCGCGGCACGCTCTTCGGTTTTACGTCCATGTCGGCGGCTTGCTTCAGCGGGGAGATGTATGTGAATAATCGCTTGCATACCAAATCTGTGAGTGGGCAGCTGCCTAGCTTGAGTTCTTGATTATTCACTGACACCATATTGGGAAATGGGACAGTGAATGTAGGATTCTTTTCATCTCACGTTTTCAGTCACTTTACGGCGAACAAAATCTGAGATCATCTGCTGCAGCTCGGTCAGACACCGGACTTGAAAACCCCGACTTCTTTTGTTGTTGCCTCCTCTCTCTGCTCATGTCGCTTAAATCTCAACCTGCTTTACTAAAATATGCTGCATGATTGTAAAAACTGAGAATTTTGTTTTTCGACAGAAGTGGGGCACCTGCTTTGAGTTCGGAAGTATCAAAACAAAAACACTCGAGCCCTCAGACTTTCACAGTCATACTTCCTTCCCTCTTTTCCTGTTTGCTGTCCTGACAATCCATGTGCACACACACGCTCCAGTTAGGGGGCACAGGGCGCGAGCCAGCTGAGTATATCGTCATATTATTGTTAATGGCCGGAAAACCTGCCAATATCGGAGCTCAGTCTTAGTTCAGCCGCCGTCGAGTTGCATCAAGATGTGTGTTTACTATGAGCCTAAAAGATTTGTGGGGGGTATGAATCTCCTTACATAGAGTATATATGCTTCTGTAAATAAACTTGGAAAAGCACGTTGTGATAAGCTTGGCGCTTTGAGGCCCAGACCTGCTAACATGCCTAAGAGAGATGGTCGTGCTGAATAGATGTATTTGGATCCGATCCTGAAATTTCTGGCTTGGAACTTTTCTGCTTCACCAAGAGAGCCAAATTTCACGCTGCAGCTATCATCAGAGTCAGAAACTGTGTGAAGAGATGTCTTTTCATCCTGACTGTCATTGTGAGGAAAATTTGGGCCTGAGCTGCTCTGGCATGCGACCACACGCTTACTTTTGTGTCACCTTTGAAAGGCAGATTCTAACACCGCAAAAAAAAATTTAGTATTTCAGTCTCAGAAGTGGATATGTTTTTTTTTTTTAACCAGTCTGCTAAATTTGTCCACAAAAGTCCCATCGGAAAGACCGAAGTAACCACAATCGATGCCTTCATAGAGGGTTCAGCGGTGCAATGAATGTTTTTACACATTTGGGACTTCCCAAAAGAATCTCTTATTTTAGCTGCTTGTCAAAGCTTCAAAAGAACCCTCATTTCCCAGTTTTTGTTGGAGCTCTCTAAACTTTCCTGATACATCTGTAAAAGTCCAGCGAGGTCCTGTGACTATATCGCTGTCTTTAGTGCTCAAAACACAAGAATACTTTACCTCCCTAAAACCTTAGCTGAAATAGAGACCTACTTATTCAATCAGCAACATCTTAGAAAAACATTTCTGCTTCACTAACAAATACTAGTCTGACTGATCCTTTGCTCTCAGGAGTCAAAGAGTAAACAGCAAGCAACCTGATAACCACAGGTGTCAGCCCAGCTCCCAACGCCGTCATCACGAGCTTAAAGTGGGACACTGCATGCCTGTAGAATACGCTCACTGCAACTCTTGGCAAACAGCAGGAGGTTTTATAACACACGTTTAGTGAAGTGAAGCTCTGCACTCTGGCTCCCTCTAATATGTGGTTTGACCTCTAACAACAGTTGCATTTACTGTCCCAACGCTGAGTGCATGTCGTCCAAGAATTTGAACTGGATGCCGACCCTTATTGAGAATCAGCCTCACTGTATGATAACGCTTCAGGGAACCCTCACAGAAGCCCACTCCACCTTGGTGATAGGCTAGGTTATCGGGTGCATGCACCTCACTTTCTCAGCCCCACTTGTTCTTCACTGAGACTTTAAAATGTGTCAAATTTGCAGCAGGTGAAAGAGAGCTGACCTGACCGTATGTGCTTAATCTGACAATGTATGAATGCCTAGCTTTTCTCTGTTTTAGCCAATGTAAATAGAGTTCAACAGGAAGGGATGTTTGTGTTTTCTCTCCCTCATCCTTCTCACTCTTTCATAGCCTGAGCTCTTTTCTGATTGAATGGTTCCTCTCTCCTTTCCATTAACACTACTTCTGCTCAATCCAAGCGACACGCAGAGGCTATGTGAATCTGTATCATATGAAAATATGTGTAAATGCTGCTGATTCAGTCAAAGACAAATCTAAGAGTTGATACCCTGTAAAGAACACCTGTCCTCTTCATTATACTAGTTCAACGCTTGATTCCCCAAGTATCTCAGTTAGAGTCCTGTTAAGTCCACTAATTCAAGACTGGGCAGCGTGAATTCTGCTGCTCAGTTTTATGATGCTTTGTTGGATTTGATTCAGTTTGTGTCACTTAACATGATTCAGATTTACTATTTAGCATCATATTCTGTTAAAAAAAGTTGACAGTTCAAATATTGCTAAAAGAGACGGGCAAATAAGCTGCAACAGGTTCTATGAAACAACAGTGGACAGGAGTTCTTGAATGCTACTCGATGTTTGGCTTTGCACGGAGCAGTTCAACGAGAGGGGAAAAGCAGGGTTCATTTCAGCTCCAACTCACAGGGTGTCTCTCGTTCAGCTATGATAAACACGTGCCAGAATGTATAAAGAACTGACAGGCTGTGTGCTCTGAAGTACTTTTGTGCTGCTTTTACCTGATCTGGTTTCTTGTTGTTTTTGCAAATTGTTTCTTTTTTTGTTGTTGTTTTGTTTGTTTCCTTTGTTCTCTTATTGCATAATGAAAAAAAAGTCATCCTGGCCCGAGATAACTGCAGGGAAATCAGAGAAACCCTTGCTTCCAAGAAAACAAAAGGGTTTACATAGTAAAGAGGATGACTGGAAACACAGGAATGATTTTATGACTTCAGAAAGTACAAGAGTACTTGGAATGTTTCAGTTGTGTGGGAGTAGGTGAGAGGATTTTTGTCAGTATTTGAAATAAACTTTTACATTAATAAGATTCCCTGTTTGTCTGTGTTCTTCACAGGTCCTTGTTCCTGGTGCACTTGCAGTTAAAGGGTGTACTACCTCTTATTTACCACCAGGGGGGAGCACAACATTGGTTCTAACGTGGCCTGAGACAAGAACAAAAAGTTCTGTCTTTTTCTCGACTTTCTAAAATGGAAAGTTTTGTTTATGTAGAGTAAACACAGAGGGGTGGTGTGACAAAAAATCCTGCGGTTCTCGGAGCTGAAGAAGTCTGTCAATACACCCTCATGTGAGACTACACTTCAAGAAGAAAGAACAGAGTTCAGTTCAGATGGAGGAAAAAAAAAAGCTGTTATATAACAGATACTTTTACCCCATTAACATTGTATGTGGGATGATCACAGTCTATTTAAAATCACATTTAGCTGCACAAATAGTCATTTTAGGACAGATAGACCATTTTTAAAGATTTCCACCAACATTAATTTTGTATTTTATTGGAGTTTAATGTGTTTTGTCCCTTAGTTTAACAGCTAGGCTCAGAAAAGCCATTTTGAAGTCTATAAGGAGACACAAAGCTTTACTAATATCACCATGCATACTGTTTAACTCAAGACTTGTTTTATTTAGCCGTGAAAAACAGCTTTTTGTTTAATAAGTGAGAAACATTTTTGTTTCAAATGTACTTTGGGGACAAATAGTTATTAATGAAACGTGTTTAAAACGTGCCGTGTCACTATTGGTGTTACTTTATTTTTGTTATGAAATCTATAATTGTTTTTTTTTTCTCTTCTTTAATGTTGATGTTATGTTGTGATTGGTTGTTGGGTGTTTCCGGTGATCTCTAATTACATACCGTACATACCGTAATTGATGTCATGGAAAAATACAAAAATAACCAATGAATCAATCATAATATAGGGTCATCCGATTTAGAGTTTTCGCTTCTTTATAACCATGACAACCGTAAATATGTTCGATTTTCTCTGTAAAGCTGACGCTTGTTTTAAAAAACGATGAACAAAACCCGACTGGAAATATATTTATTTTTCTTTTTTTCCTCTTTGTAACTCTCGTAAGTCTTATTTTTGGACAAAAATACATGTCACCATATCTAAGTGAAATGTTAATTGAAAAAATAAACACATAAAAGAATAAAATCGTGAGGAAGTAAACGGCGAGAAAAACGGTTTTGTTTGGGGAAGTTGGAGACATTCAAACGTACGCGATGACGCATGCGTGTATCGTCACGACGCCCTTTTCTATATATATAAGCGCCTGTACTGCGCTTCACTTCCGTTTCCAAACGTCTCTGCCATGGGAATTAATCAGCGTTAAGGAGTAGGCTAGCATTTTGAATCACACAGGCTAGCACTAATCCATTTTTAAACCTAAATTTAATTCTTAAGTAGGAAACGGTAAGCGTAACTTCAACATTCAACATGAATATCTTTGCGAAGCGGACCGCGCTCAACCTAACAACCGGAGCCATGGGCTGTATGCTCCCTCAAAATGGAGTCGCGGACGGACAGATGCACTACGGCCCGGGAGCGTCCTCGCCTCAGATCCCGATAGGTCCATCTAAAGAGCCTCACAACGGGAACGTGGAGACCCCGAAGAGGCCGAAGGAGCTGGGGGTGAACTCTGGGAAAGGATTTGCAGCGACGAAAGGGTTTCGGGAAGACAGCGACGACATCGACGACGGGTCTCTGCCGTGCACTCCGGAGCTCCAGTCGGACAGTGAAACCGACATGAGCAGCTGTCCGTCGGGGTTCGAGGTTCTGGAGAGTGACACGAGGCAACTCCTCAGCCAGTTCCTCAGAGAATATACAGGACTGTCAAAGCCTGGCTGGAAGGAGACGAGTGCGTTATCGACCATGAAGAGAGTAGTGGAGGACGTTTTGGCGAAGCACAGATACGCATACAATGGTGAGAGCTGGGGCTTTTTCAGACCTGAGACTGAGCTGCTCTTAGCTGTTAGCACTTTTAGCTTCTAGACTGCTTCACTTAGAGTTAACAAACATGTATAAACCTGTTTATTTACTTTCAAAGACTGTTCTTCCCAAGGGAATTTATGTTAGCACCACTTTATTACATTTTACCGTTTGATTGTTAAACAGATTTTTATTATGTGCTTTTATAATAGGCCATTCTGTGTGACTCAGCTGCAAAACACTAATAGGACACGTAATATAAGATTTATCTGAGGACATAGAAACATAATTATGTTATAAAGTCCAAAGTCCTCTGGATATCTCTTATGGAAACTTCTACCTGAGAAAATCTGCAGGAAATGGTGCATAAAGCTTAATTCATTGGGAAACTCATAGTTATACTTATAGAGACAAGTCGAGCAACAGCATCTAGGTATTAATAGCTATTATTATCTATTTTCCATACTCTTGAGTTCTGCACAATTTATATGAATCACCAAACTAAATCTCTTGTTCTCATGTAGGTATGATCAACAAACTGTCACTGGATGACAGAGGGGAAGATGCGAGCTATGTCAGTGCAGTAGCAAAGAGCCTCTTCGCAGATGGAACAACAAACTGGGGCAGGATCGCAAGCCTGGTGGCCTTCGGAGCAGCTGTGTCTCAGTACCTGAAAGAGAAGGGCAGAGGGGACTGTGTGGAGCTGGTGGCGCAGGAGATCTCTTCGTATCTGCTGTCAGACCAGAGGGACTGGCTGGTCAAAAACAACTCTTGGGTGAGTGAGTCAGGCCTGAAAGACGGGATGTAGAAGAAAAAAGTGGTTGCATAACTGCCCCCATTGTGCAACGTAGCCTACGTGTCAGACGGGCTTGAGTCTTTGCCCTCAGAATCTAATGTTTTAATCCTTTCTTTCCAGGACGGCTTTGTTGACTTCTTTAGAGTAGCAGACCCCGAGTCCACGGTGAGGACGACGCTCATGGCCTTTGCTGGATTTGCAGGGATTGGGGCGACGCTGGCCCTGTTGATCAGGTGAACTTCTGGACTCTTAAGAGACTTATTTTTTACACAAGTTGGACTTCAAAACAATGGACAGTGAAGCTGAACTGTGTGGATGTCTTCACGTTTTTTCACGGACTCGACTTCAACAACCAGCTTGACAATAAGTGACTTTTCAAACAGCAGCCAACCTTTCAAACAATTAGGTTTATTTAATTTACAAAGAAATTTATTTTTATAATAAATGTAAAAATGTGCATCAAGTCGACCTAGAAAGGTTCTGAGCACTCAGATGACGAGGTTTTTGCTTGATTGCTTTTTTTCTCACGATGTTCCTGTGCTGACGGTGTCTGTGAGGCCAAGGCTGGATGGGAAAGCTGCGGTGTCATGCAGTCATGAAGCCCATTTCTTTTGAGCCCATTCATAACCCCTGGATCCTTTACCGTGTGAGGGGAGGAGGGGGCGGATTTGCATGAGTGTAGCGCTACTTCCTTGTTATGAAAATGTTGGATTCTGCAGGAAAACCGCACACAGGACTTCTTGTTGTTAAGGCTGGAAAGTTTGAGTCTGTTTGGAAAAATGAACAAGGACTTTGAGTTGTGTTGATCACTTGCATCAAAGTTGACTTCAGTTTGTGGACTAAAGAGGCGAACACCGACAATTCTAGATAGTTCATCCAGCTGTAAGCTAACACAGATCTATATAAAACAATAAAAAATCAATACAAATCACATGTTTGACCTTTTGATATGGTCTTTCTGTCAGGGGTTGAAGGTTACATGTTCACTCATCCTGGTTCTGTTGTCATAAATCAAGTGACCTCGTTTTAAACTAACTTTAACTCCAACGCACGTCTCAGCCTTTGATGTCAATTCACACCACGCCCCGAAACACAGCCACAGCTTTCGTTTCCTAGAAATAAGATGAGGCTGTGGTCGCGCCTCCAGCGCTCCGAGCCGCTCAGCTGCATCTGCAGTTTTTGTGCGAGCTGCAGTCGACAGAGTTGTTATCTGCAAAAAGCTGGTGCACAGAGCCTGCTGCACTAGCAGGAGTTAGATTATGAAACTAGGGTAAAAAAAAAAAAAATTCACAGTTCATAACCGCCTGAAAGTTTCACAGCAGTACTGTATATGCCTGAAAGTCTCTCTGCTGCCTGGAGACTGGTGAGATGTTCAAATTAGGATGCTGAGTACTTAGTTTGTTTAAAAGTTTTTCATTGTGGGTCTTTCAACACAAAATTCAGCCAAATTCTCCTGACCCAGTCTGAATCTTTGACGTGTTTTGTAGTTTGGAGGTTTCTTGAATCCTCTAGGTTAAACCCTCCCCCATGTCCTTTTGTTCTGGAGCTTGAACCTAAATGAAGAAATATATTCACCCTACTTGTCTTTGAAATGCGTTTGAAAACTTGAAATCCAAGTCTAAACCGTATCAGACCTCAGACAGCAGGATCCCTGGTGATGCTGCGTGGCTGCACCCTTGTTTGTTCAGATCCTCCCCGTTGTCTCGGGTTACAGGACAAACACAGCGCTCATTGAGGCCTTTGGAGGAAATGGAGTAGAGCTGCTCTCCATGGTGATGATTCACAGCAGACCTCCCCGTGTCCTCTCCTGCTGCTAATGATGTTAGCCTCCACCCAGGTTACCCCGGCACAGTTCATTGTGAAGAACATGCTGCTGCTCTGTGGGGAATTAAGGCTGAGGCAATCTGCTTCAGCAGTTTGCACCATCCGCTGGTGGACTGGGGGGTGCAGAAACAGGCCAAACAGTCTTGGGGCTGAATAGGCGAAGAGCAGAAGTCTCTGAACATCCTTGATGTGGTGAGCATGCTCATTAGGGACATCCATTATTTAGGTGTTTATGCATATATTACTGTGTTCTTACTGACTTAATATGTTTTACCCATTTGTATTTAAATTACTCCTTGATTGGTTCAGTGTTCAAACTCAGGTTGGGTCAAGTGTTCTCTATATGCAAATAACAACAACAATAACATCATTGCAATACTTAGGCTTAACTGCACATACAGGAAACTAATGCAAGGTACTCCAGCAACTATTGCATGGCTTTAGCAGAACATACATCCACACCGACTCTCTTAGATCGTTGCACAGTAACTTTAGATTAGTGGCCAGCCTGGGTTTGTAGTAGATTGATGATTTTGCTTTAATCCTGTCTGTATATTCTGAGCATAAAAAACTTTAAAATGCATATTTACAGGTCTTATTTCTGCAATATAAACCAGCAGCATCAAAAGGAAAACACTACAGCCAGAAGCTTTAAACTCTCTCCATTGAGCTGGCTCTCTGTCAGATAGATCACCCTAAATTACCTGTGAGGATCTTCCTGTTTGTGTCAACTTGATCTTGTCCTGTCCAAATGCAAGTTGTCACATTGCTTTTAGCAAATTTTACTGTTTTTTCTTACCTATCCTAGTCGTTTGTTCCCACAACCACAGCTAACAGAGGTTTAAGGTCATTAAAAATGACTATTGTCAGTCTTGCTGATTGTACAGATGGCTTTTAGAGCTTTTAAGTTATATTTTATCCCAGTACTACATCGCAAGACTGTCTCTTTATTGGTCCAAATTAAAATTAAAATTAAAATGCTTAGCAGGAGCTTTAGGGCGGCTTCATGGAGGAAACAAACGAGGCATCAGGATGCGCAGGTGATCGAGGATATTAATACTGATAGAGATGTTACAGTCTGACATTTTTAACGATTAAACTAGTCCAGTAAACGAACATAATCATAGAAAAAATACAGATTTCCACACATTAAAATGTCCATTTCTGCCTGTGTGTTTAGTGAATAAGTCACACAGTGTGATAGCTTCTCTATGTTTTCTGGATGTGACATTTCAACACATCATGATAATGTGTTATTAACTTTTCATACATGGGGCCGCAGATGGACGAGCAGGTGAGCGCACCCCAGGTATGGGGACCACGGTCCTGCCAGCGGTCGCGGACTTGAGTCCGGCCCCGACCATGTGCTGCATGTCCTCCCCCAACCCTATCTCCCCACATTTCACCCTGTCCTCTCTATAAGAGGCAAAAATTACCCAAAAAACTTTCCATAGCAGAATCAAAAAAGCTCAAACATGAATAATGCAGATTAGGGTTTAAAAATAGAAACAGGTCTTAATAACTATCACCAAATAACAGCATAAACCAACAATGTCATATGGTGACAATCATCACTCTATTCAAATGTCCAAGTATCATAGCTGACAGACCAATAAAGTCCATATCAGAATGACCTTTGAGAGATCATCTCATGTTTGTACATCTACAGCTCTTACTCAAAAACATGCACTTATACAAGATTAGATAAATGGTCGACTGCACATGTTATATTCTCATCAACAGGAGAGAAATATAGAAATATCTGAACCAAAACTGTCCATTTCTTCACCTGAACCTTTGGGCGACCAGAGTTCATGTCTCAGAGGGGGGGTTATTGGGTTCCTCTTCTCTGCGAAAGTGTTCGATACCAAAGCAAGAGACAGATGCAACTGTGTGATTCAACAACTGAAAGTGGTTAGCAGTCGGGCTCTTGCAGCCGTGGTTTCTTATTGCACATCTGCGTTTTGCAAAAACAAAAAATACCGAAGAAAGAAGTTAAAAACATTTTAAAGTGAATCAACAAATTGTGCACAAACTTTTGCAGGGCATCACACAGACGTGTAAGACTGCACACCTGCTTTTCAGACGTGCAGCACGGCTACCTTCGACTCAGTTCCTTCAGATTTGGTTAAACAAACTGAAGTGTTTCCTCTGCTGAGACAGAGCTCCACAGTAAAACAACTGGAGAGCCTTTAGAAACCTCAGGGCAGGTGATCACATTCCCAGAGTGGGATAGTTTTAAGGAGTGGTTTTACAGCTATTGTCTCTGCACATACTTCACATTCAGATACTGCTGGGAGTATTGATTATATCAAGCTGCGGCCCAGCCCAGAGCTGGATTCAGGACCAGCTCATGCAGACTTTTGCAGAGTTTTTGCACCTGAATCTCTCACAGAGTTTACTTCTGTGCTGAGTATTTTTGGGGATGTGGGCTTTCTGGCGGCTTCAAGAAGGAAGTCTGAAGTCTTACACAAGTGAGAAACTCTCAACAACACATAACATCATAGCTGACGATACTCTCAGAACCGTATAAATCATGTTTCTTCATGTTTCATTGCTCTAAGCTTTCTCCTTGAAGCCTGCTGCACTTTATTTTGCAGTTTGGTAACTCGAGCTCCGAGGAACAGCCTTCTCACAGCGGCACAGCATTGGCTGTGGGGCCTCTGCACTTCCTCGTAGCAACAGCCCGCCCCCGTGATCTCAAAAAAGCAACAGTTTCTGGGAAGTCAGCTGACGCACACAAAGTTTATCTTTAACAGGAGGAGTACTCGTCGCAGAGTTACTTGTTAAAACCAGCAAATACTCAGAATTCCGAGTCTGAGATGCAAAGATAGGCCTCGTCTTCGTAATTAAAGTCACACTCAGAGAGACTTTGAGAAACTAAAAAGTAGAAACTGCTGCAGAAGAAAACTTTAAAAAGTCTCTAAAGTAAACATTTTAAATCCTGACCCCAGACTCTTTAAGTGAAATACTCCAAACTTCTCTGTCCCCTCTTGAGCACAGTATCTTAGACCTGTCTCAGGAAAAGGACCTAATTTTGCACAAATAACCTTTCAGACTCAGACCTCAGGGACATTTAGCACAAACATGACTTTAGGCTCCAGGGAGAACTGGTCTGATCCCATTTCCAAGGATTTTTCTTCAGAATTTGGCACAACTCAGTCATAAAAGTTCCCAAGTCCACTTCTAACATGCAGTCTGCTCTATTTTTTAAAGTTTAATATCCTGCTTCTTTAGTTTCAGATCAGCTGAGTTTTTCCCAAAGACAAGACCAGGAAAGTTTATACATGAAAGTCCACATTTCAGCAAGATATTAGATGCAAAGTGTTTTAAATAAAACTACAGAGTATCAGGCCCCCATTCCCTCCTCCGAGCTCAGAGTATGATGGGAGGCTTTGCAGTGTCTCTGAACTTTTCTCTCTAAATATCTCACAGTCATACATTCAGAAGAAGTTTAAGCTTGTTAAGTTCTGTTTTTGTTTAAAAGACTCCTCACTTTAGGACGAGTCAGACCGTGCATGTGGGCGTCTCGGCTGCATATGGTGGATCAGCACCATCTCTAGCATTTTTGACCGAGCAGCAAAACCAGACAGAACACCAGCTGTATCACATCAACAGTCCTCCTCCTCCATTTCCATCTGATGGTTTCCGTTTTTCCCAAAGATTTCCTCACGTAATCGTCCAAACTTTTTAGAGTTTTGGCAGGAAAAGCACAGGTGAAAATTTGGCTGTTTGGGTTCATGCGTGCAGTTCGCCCGGGCAAATTTGGGAAGTTCTCGACACACTTGATATTAGATGCTACACTTCTTTATTAATAATGGACAATCAAAGCTATTTATGGCAAGCAGTTAACAAGACAACCCGGAGTAGAGGCTTAAATAGTTAATCAATATTTCACATTTGATCAGTCATAAAAGTATTAGTATTAATCTTTCACACTCCCTTTAAAACTGGGTCAATTTAAAGATCCAGTCTGCCCAGATTTAGATCATTGCCCGGCATTAACCCTCTTGTCCTCCCTCTTAACCTCCTCTGCAGGAAGACCCGTATTTGCAAGCATTTAAATCAAACAAGGATTTTCTTTTAACCAAGAGTAAGTGCAGCGTGACTGAACGGCGAAGGCCTACAACTACAGGGCAATGATCCGGTCTTCACATGGGCTTTCTGACCCAGTATTAGTAAGTGGTTCTCTTGATTTCCAGCCCATACTGCTCAGTTTATATTATCATTCTTAAATAAAATACAATAACAAACCTGAGACCAACAATTCTAACAATTTCCAATTTTGGAAAACGAGCAGAATTCACAACATTTATGCAAAAATAGATTTGCATGTGTACCTCCTCGATTAGAAAATAAATAACTCCGCAGAGACTTTGATGCTTGTCACATCTGCTATTTTGACTGACACACAAAGCTGCCTCTCTATCCAGCTCTATAAATGGACGTCAGCACATTTGTTTGTAGCCTTATTTGCTTGCCCAGGAATAGAACAAAGTTGATATTTACACCCAGCCCCACTCATCACCCTATTCAAATTCGGGACTATATCAAGAGCTGTGGTGTCCTCCCAAGATATCAAGGCCCCAGAATGCACCAAAAATGGATCGGTCCGACACGAGATTAAACAAAGTCACAGAGAAAGTGAAGAGACTGGGACAAAGACACATGCCAGATGGATCGTTGGAGGATTTAGACAGACAGTAGTCCATACATGTCTCTGATTATACTCTCTTGTCCAACAAATAAAAGCATAAATCTTCTGCTCTAAGTCTGAATCTTTGCACATTGACCGTCATTTTGTAGAGTCACACTCTCTGTACTCGAAGAATATTTCTAGAAGTGCTTATTTGAGTCATCTCAGCTCTCTGTGCTTCACCGCTGTTCACAAAAACAACCCCTAGTGCTCACCGTGCATCTTCTAAACTTCCTACGCCTCGTTATATTCTCGATCGAGAGTAAAAATAGTCAGAGGTCGCAGGTCAAAGGACTTTCACTCATCATCCCCTCAGCCTGAACTCTGATCTTTTAGTTCCTCGTGGTGTGGATGGTTATCGCGGATCAAATTTAATCCATGGGGTGATGTTTCATGTTCCTCTCTGTCCTGAGTCATCTCTACTTTTAAAACTTTACTCTTTGACTGGTGACTGTAATGCAGTATTTAGATACGGCTTATCCACGGCTGTACACTATCGTTTTCTGCAGTAGATGACCTCATGAAACCTTTGCTCAGTGTTTATGTTCAAACTGCACTAAGACACTCATAAAAGATCAAACTTCTTACACTTTAGAAAGTATCTGATTTAAAATGGACACGTTTTGGTCATCACTTTAACTGTTTGATATTTCAGAGTTTGCAGAGTGCTTTTATAAAATTCAAGCGTTTATTATCTATGTCAAACTTCAAATGTGCCGCTTTGACCACTTCATGCACAGTTTTGCTCGAAGTCCAGCAGTGACCATATTTGGATGTGAAAGTGGATCAGACTTTGCTGCTTGTTTATCCTGGTTCTAAAGACTGCCAACATGATAAGTCCGTCTATCACACGGAGCCAGCCCTCATGTTAAGTCAGAGTGAACTTCTTGAAGAAACACTTTGTGCCAGACAGAAAGTCACCCCTTATTAGGAGAAACTCGTGTTATCTCTCACCATTGTCCTCAACGAGCCAAAGACAATTCTCTCACCAGCGCCGGCTCATGTGTGTGAAGGATTATTTTACCTCCTGCTGAACCTCAAAAACATCACCCTGTTTACCAAAACTGAAAGGGTCTGTTGATTGAGGCCTTTTACTTCCATGGAAATCAAACTGAAACTAAAGTAAGCTCCTTTTCCACACAGTTAGAAGATGGATTTGCAGCATGTGAAGTCGCCCCCTGCTGGTCGTATGAAAACATACAAATTTAATGCACTTTTATATTGGGTAAAGAAGTTTCCCAAACTTTCAGCAGAAGAAGACTCGAGTGGCTTATTGATATGATTAAAGTATTAAGTGTCGTCTTAACGTCTCAGACTGTTAGCTTTGAACGTTTTCAGACACAAAATGCACACACTGTTATGTTACAGTATCAGCTCTAAACACAGAACAGTACGACGCAGAAACTGACAGTAAAATCCACACCCTCTGTGAGACCGACAGCCTCCCAGTGTTTCCGTAACATCCAGGAACTTGTTTATTTGTAGATTATTATTTGATTATTTGTAGTTTTCTATTTTCTTTTATCTCAGACATGTAATCTTTGACACGCACCTTGACATGTTTCAGCAGAAACTTTCGCCTTCCTCAGAAGTGTCACTTGGCGATAGGTGTGACGCATCAAATCAGCTAGTGTTACAGAGGCGTGATCCTCCTGTCGGTTTTTTTGACAAGACCGTCACGTCTCTGCAGGACGCTGCTCTAAAAGTGTGAGAGCATGTAGGCCCCCTTATCCCTTTTCATCGTCCACGGGCCCCGTTTCCTTATTTCGATGGCTCCCCTATCCCAGCGCTGGTGCTTATTGTCCTCGGTGCGGATGACTCTGGCCTTAATCAAATTTACTGGAGGGTTACGCCTCCATAACACCGACTGATATGGTGCGTCACACCTACCACCAAGCGACACTTCCTGGTAAGACGGATGTTTCCGCCGAAAATGTAAAGGTACAGGAAAAAGATTTACACGTCTGAGATAAATGAAAATAGAAACGTATTTCAAAGAAACTGAAGACAAAATGAACGTCGTTCAACTAGAGATGATTAGTGGTTTTTAGAGACCGTCCTGATCCAGTCTCTTTAAAGAATAAAGCTAGTCTGTGATGAGTTGTGTATAAATTCTGGGGGATTAGCCAAGAAGCAACCTCCAGTCTTAAGATTGGACGCCAAAAACTGCAGTACCATAAGTGCCCATGTGAGGCACTAGAAACCACGTACACAAGTAGCCAAAACAAAAAAACAACATGTTTACAGCCTGGTTCGAAATCCAGAGTCCTTTGTAGTGATGCTCCTTCAAGACAAATATTGTCTGTGCTTTAATAATTCAACAAAGAAACCGCTCGATTTCAGCAGTTTTTTCAGTATCTTCCAAACATATATGGTCAAATGCAAAAAAAATACAACAATTATGTGATACCGGCTTTGTTTAACCCCTAACCTACTCTCTTATTAGTCGTATTAGCCGCTAAAAGGGATATCAGCTGACCTGAAGTTACCTTTTGCATTTCAACCCCATAAAAAAACTGTTTTTTCGTCACTCTGGAAACAAACATTAATTATTGAGTCATCAGCGTGGGAACAAATGTTCAATATCCCCACAAATTGATGAAAAAAATCTAAATCTGTCCTGATTGGATAGGTTCGTTTGTTGTACTTCCTCCATGATCTAATCTTAGTGATTTTTTTAACGTGCAGAAAAATTCAAACGGCTCGTTCTGCTCTCAGACGTCATCTCCGTGTCCTGGCTTTGCCCGGGCAGATGTTGTCACGTCTGCTCGCTCTCAGAACACAGTGTACTCTGAGCAGGTTGTTGACCCTTCATTAGGTCATTGGAGGCTCGCCATGTTTTGTTTTGCAGAGGAAAGTGAGAACAGTTTGGCAACGAGGCAAACATTCACTGTTGGGAGAGGGAGGACCGATGTTCCCAGAGAGAGATTCCCGGGCCTGTTTTAGACGGGAAGGAAGTTGGAGGACATTTGTTCTAAGAATAAACGTTCCACAGTAGCTGTGCTCACACGGCGCTCGCTCCTAATCTGGCACATATTCAGATATTTTTCAAACCATAACATGCCCTGTGTTTTTCTCCTTCAGTCTGTGGTTTCTTTCTTGTTCTTTTGATTCCAGTTTGTGAATCAGATTGAAAGTGAAAGAGAAAAGGATTAAGAGCTAACAGGGTCTTTCAGCTGCTTTAAATTTCTTTGCATGGACTCAAAAGTGCAAATGAATCCAGAGCTCACGGCCCGTCTATTCAAGTCCAGAACAAAGAGGACGGGAAATTCTTCTTTGATTGTTCAACACAAATCTGCAGGTGTTGTTTCTGCTGTTTCAGAGGTTCTCAGGTTAAAACTTTCAAGTTAAGTTGAAAGTAAACTCTCCAGCTGAGATAAAACAGGTCTGACGATCTGTCCATGACTTGGCTCAAGCAAAAGTCGATGTTATGTTCTGATTTTCTGTCGTTGGACATGCAGATAATGAGGTTAGGGATCAGTTTTATCCTCCTTGTATACGCCTCCTTTGGACTGAAACTGAAAAAACTGCTTCTGTGTCGAGCCATGACAGCTGAACCTGTGCCAAATGTGTTTTAATTGAGGTTGATATTGTTGTGCAGCAGCTGATCATACAGAGAGGGAGACGTTAGAGTAGACAGACTGTACCATCACTGAGGAAGATGATGGGGGACAGCAGCGGTACCAGACACGTCCGGCACCAAGCAGACCAATCACAGGGCTCGCAGATTTACTGTCATTCAACGCTGATGTCCTGTTTTATTTACTTGATAAGTTTTTTTTATCAGAGGCAACAATGAAAGAAAACAAGATAAAGACACAAACAACCTTGAAACTGGAAAACTGCCATCTGGGACTGCCTGAAACATCCCGGTCCAAGGTCGACCACGAGTCCCATTACTACTGCAACACGTTTGTCCTTATTTACAGCTGTGGTTACGGTCAAACCTTCATGCAACCACATGTTTGACCATTTCTAGGTTATTGCAGTTGCTCTGCTGCTTCAGTCTGGTTTCTACCTATAAACCGGTTTACTCTTACTCATTGATCCAGGACAGTCAAAGACAGGTATGTTTGTGCTGCTCTTTAACCTCTGCAGGACTCGCTGCCCTTTTTGTTGTCAGTTGTCAGGGCAATATGAAACCATGAAACTGGGTGACAAACATGTGAGAAGTAGGTCACCCGGTTCCTTTTTGCGCCTGAACCTGCATGAACCATAGCAGAAGTTAAATTCGCCGGATCCCCCCTGTGTGCTGTTTGCAGAAGTCTCGAGTCTCGGCTGCGAGGCGTCTTCTTCCATTGACTTATGGCATTTCAGGGTCACTCTGTAACAGGTCTGGGCTTGTCTGACCCCGGTGCTCCAAGGTGTGATGTTGTTATGTCTGGTTGAACCATCAGGTGGGTGGAGGGTCAGATGGTCAGAGTCAGTTACAGCTTGAAAGCCCCTCCACCCCTCCACCCCTCCTGTCTTGCACCTTTTGTTTGGAGAGCTCATGTTTGCAGAGCGCTGATGGCCGTTTGTTGACGTCTGCAGACTCCAACATTCCTCTCAACAATCTGAGGAGCTGAGGCTTCAAAAGCCGGCTCAATGGGGGGTATTATGCTGAAAGCAACAACAACAGTGCTGCTGATAGTCATCCACCCATGTGGTCATTTGGAGAAGCTCAACATGTGGCCGCTTGTGCATATGACTGATAATCATTCCAGCGGCAAACATGAAGTCATGCATCACGAAATCACATGTTGGGCGTGATGGCTCTCTGAATAGATGACTGTGTGGAAACCCGCGTGTTAACCGGAGGATGACTTGAGGAGAAGTCGCAGAGATGACTTCATGCTCAGCAGGATAATTATACACCCCCACTCTTTGCCCCATGTGGAGCCTGGATCAGCACTAAGTCAGCAGAAATGAGCGCAGAGACTTCAGGAAATGAGTCACGGCGAGCATCTCCCAGGGCTCGGGATCAAAAGTTACTATCAAGCAAAACCACAAAATTTTAGGTGGTCAAGCACAAGTGTTGCTGAGGGCACAAACACGATGAGTCGTGCCTGAACAATGCCTGCAGTTTGTGACTGAAATGTTCGTTTCTGGCTGAATCCGGTCTATTGACTGATGCACCGCTCTTTGCTGATGCCACAGTATCTCATGCACAACAGGCCCTGACCTGTAACACAGTATGAACCAGGGTCAGTGCAGCTGAGATCAACTGGTGGAGATGCAACAATACACAGATACTTGCACAGTTCAAATCATCCATTACATACTTGGTGTTTCAAACAGTAATCCTTTACTTTTCTCATTTCTCACAACGAAACAGAAAACCAGTAAAACATTTGAACTGTTGCTGTTTCTGCTCTCCTACTTCATGGCAGGTAGCTGAATACCAGTGAAAGGTAAAGCTACATAGTGCAAATACGCAGCTAGCTAATTTAACTAGAATTGGAGCGAGATGGACGACAGCTAGGGTGTTAACTTAGAGGAAATGTTCCTATTAGTTTGAGTTTTGGGGGGAAATAAATCATCACAGTGAAATTTAAGCTTTTTCTGAAGCCGAGAACTTTCCCTCAGACTTGAAGAAGCATCAGTTATTTAGACGTAGCCCTGCAAACACTTGTAGTGATGCACAATCAGTTTATCTACATGTTGCACTAGTTTGACTACTTTAGCCCAGTTTACGTGCACCGGGCATGGATCGAATTATTGACAGGAGCGTATTTACCTCTGCTTTGGTTAGAGGAATATCCCCCTTACAGCTCGTTACTCTCGGTTGGCAAGAGGCTCACGAGATTCACGTTGAATGATATAAACACCATCACATTTACAGCTCTGTGCCATTTGCTAGTTAAGTTTTTTCTTTTTTACATCCTTCCTTTGTTTGTCAAGATTTTATGCTGCGTTACAGTAAACAAGTCAGAAAACCAAGATAGACGCCTACTGTCAGCCGTTGTTAACAATCGTCAGCTGTCGTGAGTTGTTGTCAGTTGAGCCATACAAGTTGTAAACAACTCATAACACAGTATTTTACTCTCGTTATAGCACCATGTTCACAGTCTGACTTTGCAACTTTCCAAGTCGGAAATTCCGACTTCTGGGTACAACTGAAAGGCACCATTATTTACAACTTGGTTTCCCTAGCAACGCATCCATGTGATTCAACCACCGTGAACGCTTTCAGTCTGACTGAGCTGTATGACAGAGATATTGATCCCAAACCGCGTTATCCAAGTGTGTTAGTCTGACTGTGAGAACTTTGATTCAGTGCGTTTTCAGTCGGACCAGTTTCCTTCAGACTTCGGCAAAAAATCATCTTCACTGCACTGCAGCTGGTCTCCAGGAAGTCTAACACCATTTGGTTTAAAATGGTGCTAGACTTTCATTTGGTTGAGGATAGATGCCTCTCTTTTTCCCTGATTTAGTCATTGCCAACTGGTGCCACCAGAATTCATGTAAAGAGGAAGTAGGATGTAAACAAAGAGAGACAGGACTGATGATTGTAAGTAAACTCCACCTACGCATGTCATGGTAAAAGGTCGCCCAGTGACACCCGAGACTGCCTTTGTTTGATTTAATCCCTTACAGAGAGCCTCACAAAGGAACAGCACCAGTTTTATAATCCAACTGATTATTATTCTGATTGTTTTATGAGGCTTGAGGAAATCAAGGAGAGTTTTTTTTTAGGGGAACTACAAACTGTGAAACCCAAAACCAAACAGTGGAGTGAAATAGTTTGAGTGTCCTCCCTCTAAAGAGACCCGTGCTGCCACATATTTTAAAGAGCAGGTTCACTGTGATGCTGATGGAGCAGATATGATAGAGGACCCGTGTTTACAGATCAGTCAGCAGAGAGTGGGAGGGTTTCAGAAGTATATGCAAAAACATACGTGCAGACTAGACTTCACCAGAAAAGGGGGAAACCCAACAAATCTTTATTTGCATCTCCACCGCTGACGTCGACCACATAGGAAGACTATTTAGGTCAGGGCTCAACCATCGTCTCTGCCTATCCTCATGTTAAAACTGTGTCAGAGGATCGACTTGATCTCATCAACCTGATCTAATCAAGGGCAGAATTTCAAAGGGACTGAAGGGTAGATATCTGTTAGCTTCACCGTATACTGAGTGATCGTTCTTTCTGACAAAGACATCAAACGTTGATGTCTTCAGAGCTCCGACAGTCAACTCAGGAAGTCACTTTGAACAACAAGCTTGATCACACCTGCAGTTTTTTCTCTGTTTTTATAGACGTCACAGCTCGAAAATCTGTTTTCCTGCAATTGTGGTTTTCAGACGCAAACTTACTGACCCCCGTATGAACCTTCAGATGTAAAGGGTAGATGTTAAAATCTACACAGTCGGCCATATTTGTTCACCGACAGAACAAACCATGTTTTAGCTGCAAATGTACGACCACAAAACTCAGCAGAATTCCTGTTTTTATGAGTTAGAAAAGTTATTTGAAAATCTTTTGCCTTTTTAGTGAATTTATTTGACCTTCAGAGATGAATTCAAAGAAAAATAAGGCTAACTTTTATAGATCCTATGGAAACTAATATACATTAAGCCTGGCAGTGATCTTGATTTTAAGATCTGAGCGAGAACCAGCAGCCTTTGGTCTCCCCTTACTCATCGTTCTAGGCCAGCACAGGACTTTGTCTTTGTTTCTAGATGAAAATCCAGACAAACCAAGACCATCACTGTCTGAGAGCATCTCCCTATACTGTGGTTATGATCCTTACAGCCAGGTTTTTATCACCAAGTTCTCTTTATGAACAATCAGCTCCTGTTAAAGGTATGAAGAGCAGTGACCGTTGAAAGGTGGTTTCCTCCGCTCGGTTTTACGACTGCCCCGCTGTTTCTCCTGCACTAAAAACAAAACCAAAAGTTCAAGTTAAACCGACACAAACTGATGTCGGGTCTTTATGACTGATGATCTGCCCCATCTGCTTCTAAAGGACAGCCATGGGAATTCCTCTGAGAGTCAAATGTTTTGATCAGAGAGACACCAGATCAGGAGATTAAAAGCTAAAGCTAGAGAGAGAGAGAGAGGGAGTAAACACGACTCCCTCTGAAAAACAGCTTTGGGGTACTTCCTAAAAACCAGCCTCTCTGAGTTCTAACGGTCTGCTTCTGTTTCTCATTCATAGAGTTAAACCAAAGCGCCCCTCACTTTAACCACAGCCTGCTGAATGAGCCCGTCTAGTCTACTGCTCAGATTTTATCAGGTTCCTCCAGACCCCCAAACCCTGCACATTTTTCTGAAGTGATACCGATTCAGCACACCCTGTTCAGCTGCGTAATCTGCAGAGTTTGCAAATGACAGAGGTGACATAAGGTGACGTACGACCCGGGCTCTGATGAATGTTTTACCAAGCTCATGAAATGACTGTTTTCATCCCCTGAAAAACGACGCACAGCGTACCTGCACACCTATGAAAACGGTCATTAAGAGCTTTTCTTTGAGCTTTGCTTTTGTTTTGTCTCTCAAGGCCTTTCTGTGAATTTGGGTCAGGGCTGAACTTCCTTCATCCTCCCCCATGGATGACGATGGGGGGGATTACACAGGAGACAAAATAAGCGCTCAGCTGATAACCAAAGAAACAAAGAGGGCTGCCAGCTCCAGCCTGTCACCCTCATATTACCAGAAAGAGATCTGTTTGGGAAAGCGTTGATCCCAGTGTTTTTGCTCCGTCTTTTCACACAGACAAAGAAAAGGCTGCAGAAAACACCACTGTCAAAGATAATCCTCTCAAATTCTGCCATGAATGCCTTTCAGAGCGACTTAAATGAAATATGACGGATATCTGAGATATTTGTGCTCTTGGTGGATGGCTTAATCCAGTGTTTCAGTAGCTAAATCCTACTGTGCTCGAATTCAATCAAGTCTTTAGAGCAGCAGTGAGGTTAAGCTGTTTAGACGGAGGTTGAAAGTGTTCATAAACAGCCAGTCAAGTTACTGTCCGCATCGTTATTGTCACGAAAAAGACGAAAACTGACAAAGCTGAAACTGTCAAAAATGACGTATAGAGCCAAAGTTATGTCTTATTCTTTAACTGTAGAATAGATCTAGACATAGAACAGTACAGTATAGTGGCTATCTGTAAAATCCACTCACTCCGTGAGAGTGGCACCATAATATCTAGAGCTTTTCTATCCCACTGAGAAACATTTTGATGTTTTTGCAGAGACCTCGCAGATCTATTCCCCCCAAAATGAAGGAAATCAGTGGTGATTTCTGTTTGATTTGTAGTGATTTATTGTTATTTCTGTTATCTAACTTTGTTCAGTGGAGACTGCCATCTTTGTTTTGGTCTGTTGGCCAATCAGAGGCTGTATCTGAAGGTTCACTTAGAAGCAGGAGGCCTGAAACAGACTGTTGTCAGTATAGAAATATGGAAGATAGAACTGTTCCAAACTAGATAAACCCTTTCGGCTGATTCTAGTATATATGGATTTATGCTCAATGCTAAGAGCATTTTAATTTGAGGATATTATTCTAAGATATGGAAAATATTATAATGTCAAAAAAAGATCAACTTACCTTGTTTTATTGAAAGGGATATTTCAGCTTTATTTTTTTAAAGCGATGCTGTTTGAGAAACATGTTGTTAGTAAGAGTATTAGCCACAGTCCATTTACCAAGAAAATGTGATGTATTTTATATTTTATATATAAAATATGAAAGTATTTTCCTAAAAGCTGATCCTGAAAATTGGTTCATCTCACATTCAGGTTACTTCAGTACATTTAAACTCCACTGAACTAACACCCTCATTAGAAAAACGATAAACGCTTCATCATGTGTTCTGACGTCAGATAACTGTTGGTGTATTATCTTTATAGAGACCTGAAACAGGATGAAACATGTGCTTCAAAGCGCCAATAAAGATCTTTAAGCTCATTTTAAATCAGATGTAAACATGTTAGTCCAGTTAAGTGAAATTTCTCCAAATTAGACTAACAAACCGACAGTAGATAACGCATTTGAGGCTGATTTTCTCTTGTGTGTGTTCAACGCGATCTACTCCGTCTGACCCAGACATTCTGGCGTGCTCAATAGCTCGTCATGTCAGGCGTTGGCCTGGATGTCCAACAACATACAAACAACAGGCTATTGAAAGTTTTATGGTACATTTCAACCACAACCGTTCAATACATTTGATTCATACTATCTAAAAAAAAAAAAAAACTGGATATATGCAGAACCATGACTAAAAATGCAACTAAACATAAACCTGGAAGTATGAACTGTACCTGATATGTTGTAAAATTCACATTAGGTTTTTTTAAAAGTTATTTTTAAGGGTATTTTACCGTCATGGGGTATGACAGTTGTAGAAAGACAGGAAATGTGGGGAGAGAGGAAGATGTACAGCAAAGGGTTGTGGCCAGAAATTGAACCACGACCACTGTGACTACATCCTCTGTGCATGTGTGTGTGAGTCAGTGTGGAAGTTCCCCTGGAGGTTTAAGTGAAAGGAACACTCCTGAAAATTGATTTCCTATGAAAATCGATTTTATGTTCGTTTAACTGTAAGGCTGTTAAAATGACGGAAAGAGAGAGACTCATTAATAACTCTGGTTTCCTCCTCATGCTTGTCACAGTTGTTGTCAGAGGTGCAGAGCTGTAGATCCAACACAAACCAGATTATCAGGAGTTAATATTAACCTCTAAACTGGATTAAGGTGCATTTAAACCTGCATTAAGCGAGCATAGAGCTAGTCCAGGCAGGCCTCTCATATTTTTATACTGCATCTAATTTCTTTGCTGTCTTTGGGGTCTTTGCTGCTGCTCTCCCCACCTCGGTTTCTCATGTAAACGAAGGTGGAGGTGTGCTCTAAAATTCATATTTAATATTGAGCTGTTAGCCTTAGGTGACATGGAAAATTCCTCTCCTGGAAGCGGAAGCTTATCGGAGGTGTAAATCTGATAAGCAGGGCAGGTGTTGGATCGAACTACCGGGGCGATGACTCAGTTTATCATGTTAGGGTTTGTCAGAGCTAATGATAGATCATTATCTCATAACTAACCAGATCATTGACAGGCCTCTTAGATTAGACAGGCTTGGTTATTACATGTTTATCTGTGCAAGCACTAAACTGTAGTTTTCAACCATCTGATAGCACGAGCGTGTTTGTTGTAAAGAGATGATGTTTCATGCATGCAAACGTTTTGCACTTTTTGTGTTGCTGCAAAGCTGTTTTTTCGCTTGATAGCCAAAAGGAAAGATCCGTGCAGGTTTCGAGGAGTCCGGAAAAAACACCTGCGTTTCAGGTTCTTGTTCTCTGTTATTCAGCAGCTGGCCTGCTTGTGACCCATGTGCCTGAATGAATAATACTGAGAGTCCCTGCCAGCTGCTATCCGGTTCACAGTCACATGAAATGTTTTCATATTTATGCAGGATATTTGCTGTTGGCCCTACAGTAAGTCATCTGATCCCAGTGTGTTTGTGCAGCAGCTCTGTTTGCTCCCTCTGTTTGCCCGCTTCATCATGAGCAAAGGTGAATTTACGCTAATTAAGTCGGTATAAAAGGAAGCCTTTCATTACCTTTGACTTTAGGAAAACATCACATGTATTCCCGACAAAACCCCTGACCCATCAGTGCTCTTTGTGCCAAGGACAGAAACCACGCGCGTCTTAACCAGCTGATCAGAGATTTCTTATTTACTTATTTGGCTGTGATCACATTTTGTCCCGCGCCCTAGGTTGGTTTATCATCATCATCGCTTATACACCCAATGTTTCGAGAATTCACGTGTACCAGGAAGAAAAATAAAGCCAAGTCAAAAAAAAAAAACCCAGACCTTCAGCGATGGCACATTTTTCTGTGTCCAGGCAGAAAAACAGGAACAAGTGGAATCGGTTTCAGCATGACAAACAGCGTGAGGGACAGATGAAAAGTTTCTTGAATTGCAGCATCCGGCATGAATGAAAACACACTTTAAAGTTAAAACAACTAAAATGTGACGGCTGTGTAGTACACTGAGTCAGCCATTCTTGCTACTGCTCCTTCTTCATCTTTCCTTTGTTTTATAGCGCTGGCAACCGATGTAAAAAACAACAACAATGGCTTTCCAGAAAGATCCACTGTCCCTTTATTTGAGGTAGGACTATTGCAGCGTTCGAGTTACCTCAGGAGTCAGATGTTGGAGCCGGAAATGACGTCACATCTGAGTTAGCAGCGTTTCAGTTACCAAGTTGGAAAAAAGCAAAATCGGAGGCGGAAACAAGATGGCTACATCTACCAATGTTATTTTAGCACTTGCCTTGTCCGAATTTAACAAGAACAAGGCAAACACTAAAATAACTTTGGTAACTCCGGTGTGACGTCATTTCCAGCTCGACATCTGACTTCCGCGGTAACTTGAACGCAGCACATTATTTGAACCCGGACAACTTCTAAAGCCACGATCTACAAAACCTGTGATTTTTGAGTTAAACCTAAACCAGTCCATAACTTTTGGGTTGTTTCTTTGTTTGGTGACTTTGCAGTTTTGGATGGTTGGTTTCAATCCAACATATATGACGTTATAACAAGAATAACACTAACAGATTAACTAGCGATGGCAGCTCCACCGTCTTCTTCTGTGAGGTGAAATATCTGTTTGAGTTAATCAGGTCTGGATTTGAAGAGAGCAGTAATGTCTGTTTCTGGTTTTAAAGCAGTATTAGACTTCTGAATGAGAGACAATGAATGTCTCAGAGAGGATCACTTCTCTTAAGTTGTATAAGAACAACAATATGAGACTTGTCTGTTGTATTTTCCCACGGGTTATGTTTCACCCATTAAGGTCTGTTTTCTGTTGTTGCTGTTTTGATGCAATCCCCAAAGTTTATGTCCCTTAATCCCATAAATATTGAAAAATTAGACATCCCCAGTGGAAAAGCTGTTCTCAGATACCCAACTTCACCTTTAGTCATCTCACATGGACTTCTAAAATCCACCTCAGGTCACATTAAGGTCGCTCTGGACTTTTAAACATTTTTTTAAACACAGTGAAAGTGTCACAATAGCTGCAAAACAATATCTTTATTTTCACCCAGAGAGGAAACTTCATAAGAGGCTTTCTTGGAAATCACACCCAGTGTTGCATATAACTGTGGTGACTCACATAAAAATAAAGTTTTTTTGCTAATTTTGTAAGAAGACAAGGAGATAAACCCGAGCGTGTTGGTGGAAGAAAGGAACACGACCTCGGTGATGGATTCAGAGAGTTATGTTCGAGGTAAAGGTATCTTTTACAGTGTTTTACAGTCAGATTCTAGGTTGAAGTGCCCTCTTTCTCACCCCTCCTGCTGGCGAAGTGACGGTGGCCTTCAAGGACAAAAAGCCCCTATGATGCAGGATAGTTTGTAGTGGAAACGTGTCAAGAAAATAAATAAAAACATATTAAAGAAATATTTAATGCATCACATTGAAAGACCAAATGAACTTTTTGGACAAATATGATCCTCAATTTAGCAAATTTCTAACATCCAAAATGTCAATCAAACCAAAAACTTTTTTGCACTTTTTCTGGTGCATTTTGTGCAAATATTAAAAGTGCAAAAAATGCTGGTATGTCCTTTCTTTGTTGCCCTAGAAACATGGCGGCTAGTTTACATTCAGCTGAGTATACAGTAATTTAAACATACAGGTGAATATTACATTCCATTATTTCAAAGTCTGTTTTGATAAATAGGGCTAAACGTCACACACTGTATCTTTAATTGCCAAGTGCATTTGCTCACTTCCCGTCATGAACCTTGGGTTGTTTTTGCTCATTTTTATACTGGAACCAAAGCAAAGGGGTTTTGGAAATCCCACCAAGTTTGACAAATTGCTGGAGTGACTGACGCAGAAAACAACTCCTACGTGACACACCAACGCAGGAAGTTGTCAGAATAGTTGCTGGTTAAAGTGCATGTCAAAACAGACTATAAAAAAAACAGCTTCCCACTCATGACTGCATGTGAGTAAACAGTCCTGCTGAAGCCTGCGCACATAAACACACACTGACAGACACTTAAAGGTGAAGGACAGAGGAGGAGAATATCACACTTCACTCAGCGCTGGTGTCGTCACCTCGTTCACCTCGTTATTTTAAACATTTATGACCAGAGACGAGTCTTCAAACCTGCTCAGCAATACGACCCCAAACAACGACATTTACAACAAAATATAAAGAGAGAAATTCAGAAAAAAACAAACTTTAACTTCACAGTTTTCTTTAAACTACATTTATTCCCTGTGAAGGTGTTTATTCTGTGCAGGAATAACTCCCATAATGCAGTTTTTCCTTTGCCCCCATTGGCTGCTGACTGAGTTCAGATTCCTCTGATAAATGTGTGATAGGTTATCGGTCCTGCGTTAAAACAACCTGCTCTTGGAGTTGCTGTTTGCTGCTTCTCACGTCCCTCTGAGTCCATGTGAATCCACAAGACCAAAAAAACCCAAACATGTGTGATACATCTGTTTTGGCTTTCGTTTTGACTCTCTGTTCATGTAGATAACAGACGAAGAGTCATCTATTCATCCTGAGTGATCTGAAGAATTCACCTCTGGGGATAAAAAACAGCTCTTATCTGAAAGGGGAAGTGAAACAGTTCAGGATTACACCTTAGGTTACATATTGTAATTATTTACTCGGCAAAGACGATGAAATCATCTGGGAATTTCATGAAAAGAAGAAGCCTGATGGGAAATAACATTAATACGCCTGTGATCATTAACGTTGTTTTGACTGCTTGCTTCTTACGGGAATTTTTGATCTATTACTTTTTTTTGTAGTAATTTTTTTTCCAAAACTGAGTAGAAACGAGTTTGTAATCTAATACTTGAGTTGATGAAAATAGATAAATGAATAAATAAACAGCAGGTCAAATTGCCAAGAGGTTCGATCAGTTTTATCGATTATCCTTTTTCTTCACTTAAAATGCTGAAAAAAGGAATCAAGATGACATGTTTTATCCAGAGAGAGCTTTTTACATTTCATACATAGTGAGGGAATCATGGGAACTTTTTACATGTATGATATACTGTAAGGGCGACCAGACGGTACTTCTTCATGTTTAATAGACAAGAAAAAATCCAGATAGACTTTTTTTATTACAATTAGATTTTTCATACTTGAAGGACATCTTTTAGAAGTTTTATACAGAAAGTTTATTCTTATGTCATATTCAGCAGAGGAACATGCAGAAGACACTTAATTTCATACAAAATTTAATCTAGAGGGACAACAGTAGCATCAAACTGGTCCAATCACTAAAGTTTAAGATGTTCAACTTGGACTTTACAGTGAGACACGTCTTCTTGTAACCCAATCGTTGTTGGTCAGATTATACAAGACAGGTCGTTGTTTTAACCCAGTAAAGAGGACTGACTAACCAGTCCAAACAGTGGTTTGTTTTCCTTGTTTTCATTTCAGTCCGGGTTAACTGTGGTTTGGCTTAGCGCCTGAATATCACCTCATGTACGGAAATTTAAAGCAGTTGGCCCCTTTTGTACTTCAGCCTACTTTTTCCCGTTAGATAATGAGTATTTACAGAGTCATCGAAGTTTAGGAAAGTCATCACAGTTTTGTCGATGTCATCTATTCGTACTCATGTGGTTGAGCGTTTGGACCAGATCATCAGACCAGGAGCAAAGACCAAACATCCAAAGTTCCCTAATCTGTCACTTTAACTCCTCTTTGATTTTCTCGATCATTTTAAACATTTATCAGTTAATAATCAATAAGAATAGGAATAGTCACGTGTTGTTATTCGTATTCTTTTGAGACTTATTGTGAAATCCAGGAGGTCAACAAGGACCCCGAGCAGCCAACAAAAACATCCTGGTTGGACTGAATGACTCGAGGAAACAGAGGTGTCAGCTGAAACTGTATCAGGTTCTGCCGATGAAACATGATCAGCGTGAGACTGACGGGAAGCGGCATTCCTGAGAGGACGTTCCCATGTGACGATGTGGTGTAACGTGCACTGATTACTAACAGAGATAGGAGTCCGCTCTCAGGCCTATGACAGCGCGTTTATAAGGTCAAGGAGAAACCGTCCTCCGAGACCTTTAATTCCACCAACCTTAGACTGAAAATAACACAGATGTACGAAGGTCTGGATGTTCTTTGACCCATTTTTCCTCGTGTTTATTTGTTGTACAAAGCAGCTTAAATGAGTTTGTGTAGGATAATATTGTTTGTTGAACAGCAGAGAACTAATATTTGAGGGAAGCATTACAGAGCCATGTTAAGCTTGAGGCATCTCAACACACATGTACCTGAACATATGTAACCCTGTGACTGTCCAGTTCACACAGAAAAGGTGACGTAACTCATTTTCCATCCGCTGTTAAAGGAGAGAGACAGATTCAGACTTAACGTATACGCAGACGACACTTTATTGTTTCAGTATTATTTTGGACCCCTGAAGATTTGTTATGATTTATTGCAAAGAAAAATGTAGGTCTAACTTTCTGACCCGCTGTAACTTCAGGGCTGTGCTTAACGTATATGCAGACGACACTTCGAAGATTTGTTATGATTTAATGCAAGGAAAAAAGTAGGTCTACAGGGCTGTGCAGTACCAGATTATCACCACATGATTATTGTGACCATAAAAGATCACATTGACAATATTCATTAAACAACCAATCAAATTTGGGAAAAGCAGGATGACTGATTATTAATAAACGCAACTAACTTACACGTCAGTATCTGTTTCTTCTGATCCTCGAGTTTATTATTACTAAGGTACTTATTGCTGAAATATCTTGTATGAGGACATTGCTTTATAAAAGGATTGCTTTTCAAAAATTTAAATTGATATTTTTTCCATCTTGCCTTCAGATTGCTTTATTTCCTGCATTATTAAACTCTGTTTTTAACTGCAGGACTGAGCAAAACCAGCTAAAAAAGTGCTTAAAAAGTCAAAATAATCAACTGATCAGACACCCAAAGAGGCACAAGCTCTGTGTAGTTTTTGATTCACTTTAAATCTTGGAAAGTTTTTAGGGGTGCTCCGTTATTCCTCAGAGGGCTTCGACATCGTATTCAGCAATGTGCAGTTTAAATGCAAAGGCGTAGTCCTTCCCAGTGCCGCTGATTATCGCCATCCTCCCAGCTGATAGAGCTCAGCCTGTGGTAGTGTTGATTCCCATGAGATACAGATGGACTCACTGCTTGTAATCGACCATTTGGCTAAAGGTCCTCAGAGACCAGAACCAGTCCAGAAATGTGTCAGCTGATGGAGTATTAGCCGTGGTTGGTAGTTGAGATATTCATTGTTTCCTGAGGACATACCTTACCATCTTTGCAGCGTAACTTTCACGTGGTTTTTTTAAGTGAGATGTCTGATGTTGGGAGTTGGGCTGTCCCGATATGATATTGATATCGGATATCGCGCCAATATCAGCCAAAATTTAAGTATCGGATTATATCGCCCTGCATCTAGAATCTCCGATATCAGCACTCTGATAGAAGCAGTCCATTCCAGACTCCACTCCAGCACTTCTATCTAGCAGCACCCGAATCCAGCATGCAGAGCCCACGTGATCACTACAGTGTGTACTAAGGTACTAACAAAGTATAGAGGAGTAGGAGTGTTTTTTTTTAGTAGTATTTTTCATTTAAGTCCGAAAAAGACGTTGCAGCGGAGTGCAAAACTTGTCATGCACAACTTTGTGCCAATATCGGATCAATATCCGTATCGGCCGATACTGAAAGCTACAATATCGATATCGTATCAGGAGTTAGAAGTTGTATTGAGACACCCCTTGTTGGGACTTTAAATGACAATGATTTCTCAATTTCTGATCCTGTTTCTGGCAGCTCTGTAAGAGAACTCTAGATGGAGTGTAGCCACCAGAGACCAACTCCAGTTTCACTAAAGTCAGTGTGGTTTGGTGGAGGTAATGGACGTCCAGGTTGCACACCTGTCCTGTACAGGTACTGCTTCACTGAAAAACATCTGCTTACAGAGCTTCAACCACACCGTGACTCATAAGAGCCATCATGTGCTCTGGACTTTAAATAGGCTTCACACTCGAGTGTTGGGAAATACAACCTCCAAGTGTGAAGTTAATCATAGAAACCATTCTGGAAATATGCATATGAGACAGAATGACACAAAGATAAACGCCATAACCATTTCTATGTTAAGTTTACAAGTGTGTAGACTACAGAAAACACATTTAAAGCTAATGATACTTCCACCAGTCTGAGTTGAAAGTTTGCAAGAAGTTCTAGTTTGTCTAATTCTACCAAGAACTGATTTATTCAAGCAGAAATTTTGGTCTCTGTAAACTCTATAAACAGGATCTTTGTTGTCCGGATGTTTCAAAGTCTCAAATTTCTTTATAAACTCTGACAGATCAACTAGAATGAAGGTAAAGGTCAAATTTGACACAGGATCACTGAGTCTGCAGCTTAATGTCATCAAATCAGTTATCTGAGTATCGCCACAATTCGCAGAGCTAGCAACACCAGACTCAGGTCCTCCCTGCAGGTTAGAGTCCACATACCTGTGCTCTGTAGTTTTATGATGGTTATACAACTATATCTCCAGTTTCTAGATCAGTATTCTGCCATACGGTGCTGTGATATGAGATCTGTCACTGCTGCAAGTTTACATACTGTTAAAGGGAGCAGCCGTGTAGCTTAGACACAATATATGACAGGAGTTTTGGTCCTGGTGCCAACTAGACCACATTGTTGAGTCCCAGACCCTGATTTTTATCAAGCCTGAGAATGATGAGTGTATGAAGAGTCATCAGGAGTGCTGTGTCTCCTGCAAACAGAGCCAAAATTGTGCACTTTTACCACCGCTGGAGATTCTCATTCTCTGAAAACCTGAGATCCTGTCAGTTTAAGGCGATTACAGCAGCGTTTTGGTCCTGCAGGTGCGCTGACAAACATCAGGTGTGGGTGTTCTGGACTTTACCTGGCAGTGTCATGTGGTCACATGTGTGGGGCCTGCATGGCACATGAACTTTAGTGCTTTAGCTCAGTGATCCGAGGCGTTTTCAGGCTTCACCGGGCCCCAGTGAGTCCAGAAAAACAAGACCTTAGCGTGAAGGAATGCAGAGAGCCCTTCACTGGACCCTGAAGGGGCTCCGCAGCTTACATAAAGAGAGCTGCAGAATGCACTCCTCCCCAGTTTGAAGAGTCTTTTCTGGTTTTATAGAGTCTTTTAAGGGAGAGTGACAAACTATTCAAATCACAGCAGATCCAAACCACACAAGAGCTGAAATCTGCAAAGAAACAGCTGACATTTGCAGCAGATTCACAGAAATGCAATCTTTTTCTCGAACATGCAACCAGTGCAGATGCAAATGAGTCTCTTTGTTGTCTGGAGGAATATTTTCTCTCTCTGGTATTTGCTGTTTCCAGAAAAAGCCCATTTCTGCGGCTGCTTGGTTAACACCCACCAAATATGAGAGGCTTCATCCAAACCATGTCTCAAGCATAAGGCATTCGCCTCGGGCTGCTCGCATGTAAACACGAGCGGTATAAGTCGATTTGTTTACCAAAAAAATATGCTGTTCCTCTACGGTGTCACGTTGTCTTAAGTTTCAGTCATTTCTTCGCCATGGCTCCGGGTCATATCTAAAAGAGCGTGTTTTTCTGACAGCTTTCTCAAAGATCTGCGCCTTATCGGCCCACACAGAAAAAAAAAATCACTCCTTTACCTGCAGAAAATCTCAGACCTTTAGAGCTCTGAGTGAAACCTCCCACACACACATCTGACTTAATTAAAGGCCCTGACACCAGAGTCTGTGGACACGGGGAACTACATGTCTGTGTTTAGAAAATGTGAGGCAGTGTTTGGCTGTCTCTCTTCTCCGCATTCTTTCCTTCTGCTCGCCCACGCTCTTAAAGAAACACCGCTTAAGAGTTTCACATTGCAGCGCAGTCCTGCGCCAGTTTCAGTCTGTGTCTCTGCTGATAAGAGCGGCCGAGTAAAAGTTTTATTCTGCCCTCAAACTTTTTAATCGGCTACTCCACACCCAGTCTTAAAAATGGGTGTTTAAGTTTAAAGCAGTTTCTTCATGCAGGGTGGGATCAGAAATACTTGGGGTGTTTTCCTACATCTGAACTAAGACTGATGACTGGAATCCTTCAGAGTAAAAGCTTCATTTCCTCCAGAGTCGGCTTCATCAGTAGATTTAGGGTGTTTCCATTAGTCAGTTTGGTACTGACTGGTACGGTAAACCCTGATCTTACTTATATTTTCCACACTGAAAGCTTATTAGCTCCTGTTCAGACCGCTGCTGCCGGTCACATCCGTCTCCTGTACAGAAAATCTTAAGGCTTGGAAGCTTGCTCTTAAAAACATTCAGAAAAGTGAAAAGTTGGGGGCTGTATTGGCTTTTTGGAGGCTTTTCAAAATAAAAGCATGATCCGTTTCATTCTGTGAAGAGACTAGCCTTGTTTTTACACAATGCTTTTATTTTGAAGTTGTCCAGGATGGTTATTTTGCTGGCAGGACCAAATTTATTTGAGCCAGTGTTGGACTTTTTTCTGGAATATTGTATTGTATTATTTTTGGCTTGGTTCTAATTTCGTACCACAAACCATAAAAGGTGTGGGGTTTGACATCACACCCAACACCTTTTACAGTAGATGAAGTTCCTTGAATCCTTGAAAAACTTTAAGTCGGCTGCAGGTTACTTGCACTAAATATTCTATAACGTGAGTTTACAGAGAATATTTCTTCTTATGCGTTGTCCCTCCCCCTTTGCAGCCATCTCTGCACCCCTCCCACCGCTCATTTCATGTGATCCTGTTCCTGAATCAGAGTTACAGGTATATTCAGTGTTATGAATGTGAAATAGTATATTTCTGCACATGCACGATCATCAGAGTCGCTTTACAACCACCAAGACCGGAACATGCTCCACCCCGGTGCTGTGAAAGCGCCCATAAAAAATTATATGTGTGCATAGCTGTTTGGATTGCGTGTTCAGCTTTTTGATCTATGCGCGCTCGTCTGCATCCTTGCATGACTGTCTTGTTTGCTTTCAGTGGATTTGGCATCATGACGAATTTACGGTGGCGTAATTTCGCAGGGATTGGAATGTTTGTTTTGAAAATGCATCATTATTTCGGGAAAGGAAACGTCTTCATCGTGGTTTTAGTAGGTTTCAGATCTGCAAACCCATTTTTAAACTACAACCGCTCTAATACGTCTAAACGATGTCAGGGTTCGAAACAGCAGCGTGGTTTGGATGCTATACTTCTGTATTGAATCAAAGATTCAACTGTACCATAACGGCGTAGGCTAATATGTTCAGCTATGTGTTCTTGTGTAACTCTGCAACACTCGCCCTGAATATTAGTGCAATGACGCTCCTGCTACTCAAGCGGCGCGAATGAAGCGAATTGGACGTGAGCTGAAAATGTCTCAATTTGAGCGGATATTTGCGTCGTGAAAACTAATCAGCAGGTTGCCGGGTGACATATGAAAGCGGACTGTTGCTCCCTGGTGTACAAAATGGAGGACAAACTGATCATGTCGGTGTGCGGATGCTCTGAATTATATGATACCTTTTCTTTCAATTACCAAAAACGGACTGAAAAAGAGCGAGCCTGTAGGAGGTCGGATTACTCGGTAAACTGTAAAAAAACTTTTATCATTTGATCCCGCCGGTTGAATTGACAGAGATTACCGTTGAAATTACTGTTGATGCACGAATGAAGCGAGTAAATACTAGTCCTTCACGCGTCTAGATTCGTGCGAATTAAGCGAGTAGATGATTTTACTCGCACTTGGTTTGACCGTCCCATAACAGATGCAAAGATGGTCTAAAAACTAGTTCACATGTCAGGGTTTTGCAGGCAGATGTTTGAAGTCTCACTGGTATGTTTCCCGCCTTTATCTCAACTCATAAACCAATGAAATTACTGTAAATCCAGACCGTAATTTACACCATGATACAAGACGTTATCTGATTTTGGGAGACTGTCTGTGCTAACTGCTTGAAGACTTCCTCTGCATTCAGCAATGTGCAGCTGAAATGCAGATGTGAAGCTCTTGATAGTCAGAGGGTACGAACCGTGCAAATACCCACCAATACCGTCATATGAGGAGGAGGCGGAGCTCTCTGACACGTGTATCAGCTATAGGCTGTAGTCTAGACGTTTGTGGTCACATTTAACTCCATCACACTTGATCTTTGGCGGTCTACTGTGGCGCCATCAGCGTTGGGGAAGTATAAGTCATATGAGGACTACATTTATGGTGTGTGTGTGTGTGTGTGTGTGTATGTATGTGTGATGACGGTACCGCAAAATCCAAGACGTGACGGACTGTGACATCAGTGGCTGTATCAAACCAGTACACCCCCCACCACTAGCAGTTACTTGACTCTTAGAGCGCCACCTTCTGGGTAATCTCTTAGACTGACAAAAATGCTTCTGCTCCATTACATTTCTACCTCTTAAAGACATTTCTAAACCCCCAGGAAGAGAGTAAAGGGAGGTTTTTTTTATGTTTTTCTTGATAAATGCAGGTTTTCACTCATGATTCACGACTTTGTCTTTCCGGTTGAGGATGAGTCAGGTGGTTTCCATGTGAAATGAAACCTGCTTCATCAGGATATCTCAAAAATCCTTCCTCGCTCAGTCTTGTGCTGTGCTTCATGAAGTCATCGACCTTTGTCCAGACTCCCTCTCCCCCCTGGGAATGAATGACCATGTTTGGTGAATCCGGCTGAATCACACTGTCATAGTTTGAGCAGGAAATGGATAACTTTCTGCGTCGCCAGAATAGACTCTGACTTTCTCTTCATGTTCCAGGAGACGAAGCAGATAATCGAGTGAAACTTCCTTGTTCCCGCTGAGCCCCTCTCAAGAAAAATGAATGAATCTGACTTCCATGGTTGCCCATAAATCAGTATTTACTTCCTGTTTTCTGACCTTTGCTCTCTGTTCTCGTCTACTTGTCCACAGACATGATTCAGCCTGTGCGTCCCTCTCTCATTTCACTGTTTTACAGTCTAAGCCTGATCTCATTTACAGTGACAGCGTGTCCGTCCTTTACCAGGCAGCGATCCAAATATACTGTTTGCACTCTGTGTGTCTCCTCAATCAGCTGACTGTGTGCGCTTCCTCCTAAAGTAAATTTACTCTGCAAGGCGACTCACAAGAGCGGGCTTGTCATCAGCTAAGCCATATATCTGTCAGCCCACAGCCTCTTCTTTCATTACCTCTGTTTTATCTTCAGACTTCAAAAACAGACCCTTATTTTTGGTCCTTTTTAATGTCGAATATTTCCACTCAGGAGTTTCTTTAAATCTGTAAGAGAGCGAGAAAACTTCAACATGGAGAGGGGAAGTTTGTGTTTACTTGGTGAAAGTATTTATCTGAGAGAGCGGAGAGAAGAATCTGTGTTTTGGTAGGAATGGGAGGAATGAGGATCAGGACCACAGGGCAAAAAGTGCCAAAAAAAAGAGCTTCAGGGACACAGAGTTCAAATTCAACTCATTTACATGAACAAGGGCGTGCATGACTGCAACTGGATTTCCAGGTTGCAATGTACAGAAGGGATTGAGTGTTTGTTTGCAGGCTATTTGAGGCCTGTGCTTGGTTAAACAGGAATTGCAGGAGCTTTCAGTTCAGCTGCGTTTCATGAAAGCTTTTCAGCCTTGGCCTTTGTCCCTGCTTTGAATAGCAAAGGTAGGAGTGCTGCCCTGAAAACGAAAGACAATTGAAACGACCAACAGCTGGCAATGCGGCGACAGTGAGCGCCTCTGAAGTCAAGATCCAACCTGTCCTCTTCATTAGGGCGAACAGCAGTTAGTTTGGATTTTCCGGTTCTCCTTTTGTTTTGGGTCCCACAGGAAGATTCGTGTGTGCGTCTGTGTGTGCGTCTGTGTGTGCGTCTGTGTGTGCGCCGCAGAGTTAAGCAACAGCCGGTTTACGGGCAGGCCTTAGTAATAATATTCCCACGCATTTCTGTGGGAAACCTCATCAGCAAATCATCAGCACAGAGGTAAACAAAGTCAGCTGACTGTGCAGGAACCGATCTGAGAGAGGAGTGTACACCACACCTCAGCCCGTGAACAGACCATGTTTACTCCCAGGATTAGCTCCAGCTTTAAATATAAACTGAAGAAGACTGCAGCGTTGATTGCATCACTGCAGTAAAGTCATAGTCCGAAAAGTTTATTGTGCTGCTCACAGTTTAAAACAGAGCGTTAAAGAAAGGTGAGGTCATGTCAAAAAGAGACATCAAAACATTCGTGTAAGGTCTGTGAATAAGCACAAACTAAACTCAGTCGGTACTTTAAACTACAGTTAAACTACAGTTAAGCTGTAGTGAAAACTACAGTTAAAATACAATAAAGCTACATTTAAAATATAATCAAACTACAGTTTAACAACAGTTAAGCAACAGTTAAATTACAGTTAAGCTACAGTTCAACTACATTTAAACTACAGTTGAGCTACAGTAAGGCTACAGTTAAACTACAGGTAAGCTACAGTTAGTGTACAGTTAAGCCACAGTTAAGATACAGTTGAACTACAGTCAAGCAACAGTTAGGCTACAGTTAAGCTACAGTTCAACTACAGTTAGGCAACAGTTGAACTCCAGTTAAACTACAGTTAAGATACAGTAAGGCTACAGTTAAACTACAGAAAAACTACAGTTAGGCCACAGTTAAACTACAGTTATACTACAGTTAAGCTACAGTTAGGCTACAGTTGAACTACAGATCAAATACAGTTGAATTATAGTTAAACCACATTTAAACAACTACAGTTTAACCACAGTTTAACTACAGTTAAACTACAGTTAAGCTACAGTTAAACTACAGTTAAAGCTTAATTAGGTGATCTATGCTACAGTAGGTGGCGACGTGCCCCCTTTCGGCTCATTACATCACGTACCAAAACAATCAAAGAACTCGTCAGAGGTTTTATTCACCAGGTAGAGTAAGAGTTTTTATTCACCTGTTACTTTTATTGCGACGCTCTTTGAAGCTTATTTAGTCTGACCAGAATAATCTCTTGAATTAAACCTATCAACTGTAATTTGACCCGGGTCACGATGTGATTTTATTCGAGGTCATTGCATCTTATTTCTTCACTCATCTGGGTCACCTGGAAAGCACCGTACATGTCTCAAAGAAAGGGAAAAATGGGTCGGTTATCTAACCAAACTCCGGGGTATTTTAATGACATAACACTGTTTAATGTAGCGTTAATTAAAGCTTTATTTGTTGGTTTTACTCCTGCATTAGTCATAACAACTTCATTTTTACTGGCAATTGTGGTTGTTCAGTTATGAGGAAGAAAGCTCCCATGATGCACGCTAACATGAAATATAATTGTTTATTCATGTGTGAGAAGGAGAGGCTAAGGTTGGCAGAAATAACACAGAAGTATTTAACAGTCATCTTCAGGCTGCCATCTACACCTCTTATAATACTTTTAGTCTTTACTGCTTTTATAACTCTCGTAACTATAAAAATCTTCTTCAGATTTGGAGAAACTATCAGTCAGATGTATTTCTGTGTAGTCTGGGCATCATGTCTAAAATCCCCTAAATTCCCCAGAGATGGCGTTAAACTCAAGGCGTCTTTTCTCAGAAGATTTTGTTCGTATTTTTAGTTTGTAGCTTTTAGTTTCTTTTCAGGTCTTTGCGAACGTTTGGAGTAACCCACAAAGGTTGGAAACCACCATAACAATTCTTCACCGATCTCAACCAACCAGCTAAAAGCACATTACTCTTTTTCGACTGTGTTTTGTGCCGCTGACGTAGTTGTGTGTATCTGTGTGTTTGTTTATGTGTGGGAATATAGTAGGGAGGATGGTTCACATGGTAAGGCCCGCATGTTTCCCACAGTCCACATCATGCTGGTGGAGTATCAGTCAAATTTAAGGAAGTGGCTAAAATACCAGCAGAGGTTATCTGATCTTACAGGTCCATAAATCCACTCAACCACAAATACAAACATGTTGTTGATGTTGGACTAATAAATTACGTATTCTGAGAAAGTCTTGACCATACGCATTCACAGTGATGATATACCATGATATCTTAAGAAAACCCAGTGAATTTATTGACCTGAGTGCAGCCAATGAGTAACCTGCTAGAGAAGTGAAAGCCAGTGCCTTGTTGCTTTAAACCTGCATTTTCCCGAGTGACCACCAGGGGGCGACTCCATCAGGTGCAACCAAAATACCTAGGGCTCCATTTTTTTGGGGGGGGGGTTACTTACGCCGAGCTGCGCCGCTCATCAAAATACCAAAATGTGCTTGGGCGAACCTGACTTATGATGCGCCTGCACCATACCGCTGGCGAGGCACGAAAATAGAGCCCATAGTTTTAGGCGGATCAGCTATTTGCTTGATTTCCTCACATATTCAGGATCCTAATCGAATCTTTTAATAGATAAATGTGCACTTCAGCAGCTGTTTTTGACCTTTTTTTGTAGTAATATCTCCAAAGTCTGTTTCTGTCCAAGTTAAAAGTTAAACATTAATATTACATTTACAGAGAAGTACACATGCAACTCATTAACCAATTAAGAGCTTGTGTCAGTTGACGACTTAGCATTTTGCTGACTCTTTGCTTTGCTGCTTCATCCTGCTTGACCACATTATGTCCAAAAGGTTTGACTGTTGATAGAATTGACTGACGCTCTCGTGTAAAGACAATATAGGACACACAAAAAAATGATTTTGATAAAAAATGATAAAAACTCTGCAGAAGTTGGGTCGCAATGTAGGAACTGAGTTAAAAAAAGACATTTATGTAACTCTGACTGGGAAACCATGTCTTTTTCTTAAGGGTTAGCACACGGACCTTCTGGTTAAGTTTCTCTTTGACCCCCATCAGCCACAGTGTTACAGTTTGATACCACACTCACTAAACTGCTGATGTGACTTCTCGTTTACCATGACTGCAATTTCTTGGGAAACAGAAACTCTTCGGTGGAAACTTCAGCAAACACTCGTGGGTGCAGACAGCTGACCGACAAAGTCTTTACCAATGTTTTGACACTTCTGTTTCTGTTGCAGAGACTAAAAAGACCATCTTTGACTCCATAAATCATACCTTGTTCTCTTAAAAGTGATATTGTGGGTCCTGATCCTAAAATACATTTTTATCTGGAAATGAAATAAATTAATACTGTCAATTATTCAGCAATTGAACCCAAACCAACAAAATGAGTCCTTGCAGTCTTAAATGTTCCCATTAAAATGCTGTTTTGTATTTTGGGAGGTCAAAGAAGCTGTGCACTGATCTTTTGTAGTCCCTCAAGTCATCCAAACCCCTTCTCCTGTACCTTTAGGCTCAAATTAGCTGATGCCAGACCGTTTAAACTTGGCTGAGGGTCACAGATCACTGGTGCAAAGAGCGCCACATCGTCAGCAAAACGTTGAACAGCAGTGTAGAGGTCGCCGCGCTCAGAGATTTGGTTCATTAATCATGTAAAAATGAAACCAAAGAAACAAATATCTCTGATTTCGGGATGAATTAGGACAGTTTTGGAGTTCAGTCTTGCATGATTCAACATAAATCCCAACCCTGAAATTCATGATTGCACAAGAGTAAACACATGCAAAAGCTTAAACTTGCAGGAGTAAGTATGTGGTCCAAAATCAGATTGATTTGATAATGATGCAAATTACACTGAGTGCAAAATTTCAAACAAAATCAAATGCATGCTGTTTTTTATATTATTTTAAATGCATCACAAAGATAAAGCACAGAAATGTAGAGATGAAATAGGTCAGAGATGCAGCGTGCTCGGGTCTGTTTGACTTTCATCATGTTTGAGAGCGCTGGGGTGGGGTGCGCCTGGCTGGTTAGTGGCCCATATCGGAGTGGAAAGTACCTAAATGTTGCTTCCAGCTAAAAGAGAAAGAGACCTGAACCTGATAGAAAAAAACTACAATCGAGAGAGATAGCAGTGTTGACCTGTTGTGGTTTATTGATGGATGTGAGTGAATAGGTCTGAGAGAGCTGCAGCTGTCAGCTGAGAGATTTGGCTCAGAGACCCGGAGGTGTGCCTCTTCCTGTAACTCAAAGTTAATTAAATCATGAAATAAAGAATTAAAGGAGCCGCACCTGTCAGACTGAAAGGCTTTTTGATTTAGTCGCCCTGAGTGTGTGTCAACTTCTTTTACCGACTCCACATGACCTTCCCGTCTAAAGGAAAAAACCTTTTCTGTGAAATAGTTTGTGTCTCATGACATCAACTTCCTTGGAAATTCTTTTAGCTTTCATGTACCTGGGAAAAAAACTAATTCACCAGTACTTCCTGTTTCATCACAAGATTTTACAAACACTTGATCACTTTCAATCCAAAATCTCCGGCGTGGTTCTCGGCTAAAACATTCGACTTTAAGGAAACTGGAGACACTTTACCGTAAATTGAATCCTTCTCCTTAGACGAATGCATAATTTATGTTTCATTGAATCAATTATTTATCTTTATTTTATGCAGACGATGCAGATATTTATTGATGAGTTTGTATCTTTTCCTGCCCGGTGTTTTGCTGATTTCTGTGCACCCACTGGAGGACGGACATCACAAACAAGCTCAGGCTATAAATATTGTAGTGGGTAGCATCAGATTACATGCTATTTATTTGTCTCTATTCAAATAAACACGGAACAGATGCAAATATCTCTCTGCTTTAGTTCTGCAGAGAGAATAACCTGCAGCACAGTGAGAAACAGCTGACGTTCGATCTGTGTAAAACCCGAAAATAAGACCGTTTAGTTTAGATATTTCGATGCCGACGCCTTTCCAGTTGGTGTTTTCATCATCTTATGCCCAAATATAGTCTTGAGACGAGTATTCCTCTCATTACAGCAGTCTGTACTCATGATTTACTCACTTTAGGTGAGTAAGAAGCTTCATTCGGACTCCACGGTTGTGTCACTGCAGCTGTTTCTGCGGCAGATTCCCGACAGCTGAGGGAGGATCAGCTCTGAAAAGCTGGATGACAACATGCAGCCTAAATAAAAGACTCACATTATATGTAATTGGGATTGCACAACAAGTCTGAGAGCACTTGTGTGAATCGCTGGCTGTCATCTCATATCCCCTTAAACCTAAATTTGGGATGGGGAAGGGTTCGCTGTCTCCTGTCTTCAGTCTGTGTGATATTTTTGATTCACATTAAGCTCACAGAGCAGAAGAAGACAGAGAGATATTAGAGACAGGGACTGATAATTTAATCTGAACCACATCTGGCACCGCTGCAGTTGACCAGTCTAATTTAATAAAACCCAATCTCTTTGAATGGTTTCTATTTCTATCTCTCTGTGGTCTTGAAAGCTCTTGGTATCAGATATCTACATGCACGAGCAGTTAGCGATCTGCTTTGATCGTATATCGAAAGTCCGACTCTGTTCTCGCTTCTCCAATTGCTGGTAAACACGTGTAATTCACAGGAAAGAAGATAAGATCTGCAAAGTTGCCAAACACAATGTCGTTGCTATCGGTGACACATGGGTCAGAAAAAGGGAAACACCAAACAAGAGCGAGCAGGATGAACTCTTTCACTTTCACTTAATGAGCTGAATCATTTCACCAAAAAACAAACAAACAAAAACTCGTCTGCCGTATGTCGACACGCTTTAAGGTTTCTATTTCATCTATTTTACCGAAGACCTGACCCCAAAATGGGACACTTTGTAAATCCTCTCGAAAGACTGCAGACAGTCCAGTCTTCTACCACTCAGCCATGCTGTTGTAAAATTATGCAGATGTGGATTTGCATTGGCTCGCTGTAATATGAAGGTATTGCTTTGCTTGTATCTTGCATGCTTCCTCTCAGACGTACATCTCTGCAGACCTGAAGAATGTTGCTCCAAAACCTGCAGATGAAAGATACCCATGCCACGGACACTAAAGCATCCTCATACCATCAGGGATACTCAGTTTGTAGCTGTGCACTGATAACAAGCCTGATGGCCCTTTAAATGGTCATGTGACATTTTCTCTCTTCTGCTCAGTCCAACTGAAGCTTTGACTCATTTTTAGGCAGATTTATAAACAATAAGTGCACAGCAGCAGGTTAAGTCCCCTCACGATGGACACATACACATGCAAGTTCACATTCGCATTGACTTTAGAAACCAAGAGGACCTTAGTAAGTCCTCAGTCTGCAGCAGCCTCTCCATGATGATTGGTGTTTAGATCATTTGTACGTCTGACCAGATCAGCAGCTACAAAAACACGTCAGCGAGCAGATGCATAAATATGATTATGTAGGACAACAACAGCAATTACTGAGCAGTCTGCACAGTCCTGAACTAACCCCGTGTTGTTCTGTCCACTCGCTGTTTTAACTATGCATGGCTCTGTGTCCTGACTGCATGAAGGCATCACATTTCAGGAGCCTGTGCCACAATTTGCATCGCATGCATGAGGAATGAGACTGAGCCTCACCTGTCTGAGTGCGACTCTTCTGTGCAATAATGTTTGTAAACTCCAGATGTTTTGTAATGCTTGTTTGTCTTACTTATTTTCAGTGTATTGTTAGGACTGTTTTTTTTCACACCAGCTCACATACACAAACATACACATACACAAACACACACACACACACCTTCCTGCACACGCCCTCAGTGCAATCATAGGATAACATTTCAAACATGACCACGCCAAGTGCAATTTGGCTCGGGTGCAGAACAATATATCCTCACAGCTGTAAAGACAAGAGCAGATTAAACAGTGGAGCAGAGATGGCTGTATTGATTCTCAGTCATGTGTGTGCAGCACACCCACTCCTTTCTGACACGCTGACAAAACAGAAAAATCCTGCTTCACCTTCAGAGTCTCTGTGCCAGCAGCAGTCAGGGTTAGTGAACCCGGATGTTTAACAGCCTGATCAGCTTAACTGATTGGCAGCTAAGCTGGGAGTTTTTCAGAGTAGTTGCACCAACTATGTGCCAATATTTTGACAGAAACAGATCTTATCAGAAGTTCACCATGGTTAGTTCCTGTGTCTGTATTTAGGGTAATTCCTGCACCAGACTCTTTGTCCAAACCGAACGGACTCAAAGGTACAAAAAGTTCAGGATTTCTTCAGAGGGTCTAAACCTCGATATTCTTTTGTTTCTCATCATAAAAACAACCTCTTAAAGTTTATTTAGTTACATTTTGAAACCGAGAACACATGTTGCATCGGTCTCCTCCGCACCACCAAACCCCATTGACAAAAGCAGTAATTTTACCACAGTGGACATGACAGTTTCTGGTTTAATTCTGCCATTATTGTTTGTTCCTCATGTCATTATTTGTTATAGAGATATTGTGTTGAACCCAAATTTGAGATATAAACAACAAAAACACACTCAGATACACACAAACCTGTGAAGTAAAACAGTTAACCAGCAACTTCCATGTTCTGTTAAAACCCTATATTTGTCAATGGAGTCTGGTAGCTTAAAAGAGGCTGACATGCACTGTAAAAACTCAGTGTTTGTCTGATTTCCTGTCTAAAAAAAGCCTTATACATGCACATATATTGCACATGATCCATGTTGCACACCTGATGATAAAGATCATTTTCCCTGTGAACACATTTTTGCAGCTGCAGAGCATTTCCACAATTTCAAAGGAGTAATTTGTGTGTGTCACGTAAACCGCCAAGCCCACACTGGGACCCAACATTTTTTCATGGTTTTGCGCTAAATTACGCTCCACCGGGACTTCGCTTTGAACAATTCCCCCTTAAAGATACACATTGGCTTCAAATTTGGCAAACTGCTCACTCAAATAAAAAAGCGGTGAGGCACAGTCAGGTGTTTGCCGAATCCAGCCACCATCCAGCAGAGCGCTAACTCTGAGGTTATCTAACAGTCTGGCAGTGAGGTAAGTCCTCTGCAGGTGCTGGATCATGACTGTTTGCTTTAAAGTGTTTGCTAAAGTCTGATGTAGTTTGTTTTCTGGCTTTTGCAGTTGCTGCGATGTCCAATAAGAATCGACTCCTCTCCTCGCCGGACTAAAACCTCTGCCAGGAAGGAAGATCATCAGCCTTTAAAGAACAACAACATCCTTAATTACATCCTCCACCACGCTCTGATTCAATAACACGGCACATCCAGTTGTCTCTTTCTTTGTCCTGAGCTGCTGTGGTGATCCCCCGGATGTGCGTGCACAAATAAACCAGCACTTTAATTATTGCTGACTGTGAAGTTCGATTAGACGCCGGTCCTAATCTAACGCTGGGCTTTAGATTTTTTACTTTAAATATTCACCATTTGGACGTTTTTCCCCAAGAATTCAGCGCTTTTCTTGAGATTTAACTGAGAATTAAGTGAGTTTATTATTTTTCCAAATAGGAAATTTCAATTTTATAATTTCTGACTAAATATTTTTGCTTTTCTGATTACTTCTCCCCAAGATATCTGAGAGTATTTACAAAAGTCAAAGCTCTGCTGTTTGCACTTTATTAAAAAATGTAATAGTTTGTGTTTTTTGTTTTTATTTTGCACCTTTAAGATATTAAAATGTGCCTAAATTCCATAAACTGGTTCAGTGTTTGTGGATGAGAGCTGCACGATGTAACCCTCTATTTTAATTTACAGTATATAACGCCTCTTCACATTTGGTTTTGCGGACTGTGCCTTTAATTCCACATGTGTGTAGGTGGATGTCTCATTTTGGAATAAAACTCTGCAGCTCTTTGTTCTCCTCCGTGTATCTTTACACATGCAAATGAGGTTTTATCCAGACTTTACCTCCATCCAGCATGTTTCCACTTCTTCTAAATCCTCTCTGCGTCCTCCAGCGATGATTTCAGAATCAGACGTGTCGCCCAAAAAGCTTTTCAATTGCTTTAAATGCTTTCAATAGAAAACCACAGGCCTGTGGGCGGGCAGCGTGTGTTTTTTTACCCTCCCTACAGTTGTTGGATGTCTCTGGGGAGTCTGCTGGATTATGGAGGGGATTTCTGCAGGATTTCAGTGAAATAAAGAAGCCTGTTTTTTCTTTTTTTAAACCGCTGCAGCGCTCTCCTGTTGCATCAACCAATCACAAAAGCAGCAGACCTGATGTGCCCTTAAGTGCTGTTTGTATGCATTTTTAACAGCAGACATCTCCGCCTGTAAGCTGTATATAATGGAGCGTTGCATCATGAGATTTGACTCTGAGGGTATAAGCCTTTTTAAAACAGCGCCGACCTACTTTTTTTTATCTAAATGAACGCCGTTACACAACCTATGGCGCTCTTTTGTCTCTGATGAGGAGGCAGACGACGTCACCAGCTGATGACAAGATGGACTTTGAGATGCAGCTGTAAAAAGAGCAAAAAGAAACAAGAAAGTAGATCCAAAAAAAAACACACAGTGGAGAGAATGAACAGTTTATTATTCTTCATTTTGACTCAAAAATCATGAGAAGCAAAACAGTCGTTTACAATGACGTGACGTCTATGAGAGAAACAACAATACACAAGATAAACACACTGCATCACTGGGTGCAACTAAGGCAGGTCTGAACACGCTGTCACTTTCATCCTGCACTGATAAAAAGTTGCTGTTTTTATCAGCGCCACCCTGGCTGTTTTTTTTTACAGTGGAGGGTAAAAAAAGGATTAATATCTGAGGGAAAGAAAAAGCTGACAGATAAAAACTGGAACATGAACGTTCAGAAAGAAACCTTCAGTGACTGGAGTCACAAAAACTGCCTCCTCCTCAACACCTCAAAGACGAAGGAGATGGTCATAGACTTCCGTAGATCCAAACCCCCTCTTAAGCCAGTGAACACCTGTGGAGTGGACATCGAAGTGATGACATCATATATATACCTAGGTTTATATCTGGACAGTTGGACTGGTCTAAGAATATAGACTTCATCTACAGAAAGGGGCAGAGCCGCCTCTTTAGCCTGAGAAGACTCTGATCAATAGACAACTGTAGTTAGATGCTGCAGATGTTTGTCAGTCTGTGGTGTAGATCTACAGTGTTCTGTTCTACGCTGCAGTCTGCTGGAGAGGAAACATCAAACACAAAGATGTAAGACGTCTGAACAAACTGGTGAAAAAGGCTGGCTCTGTGGAGGAGGTGGTGGAGAGATCTACACTGAGGAAGGTGGAGACCATTCTAAAGAACATGGATCACCCACTTCATTATTGGGTATTGGGTTACGGGGCCAGGGTTAGGGTTAAAGTCACTGTCCAAGACCTTTTTAGGAGCATGATTCAGACCTTTTGGAGTTAGAACAAAAAAAAAAGGAAAAAATGTCAAAATTTTGCATCAGTGTATTTCGTCACATACTGTAAATATGGGAGGAGCCACATTAAGACGTATCAAAGTGGTCCCAGTGTGATGACTGGTTGGACCTTTATGGACCTGAGTGATAAAAGATGATCACCGCCAAAGTCTCTGATTAGATTTGAATCATATCCTTCAAAAATCAAGATAAGACTCCAAGTTTCCTTCCCCGCAGACCACATAATTAATGCTCTTCCTGCTTTTGAGCATTTGTGAGGCTTTAGCTCCACATAAGAAGGATCTGACACTTAAACTTAGTCATTGGTCATGGCGGAAGTTATCTCCTCAGAGTGGTCGTAAATGGAGATAAGATTTGCCCCAGATGAGATGTTTTACGGTGCATTGGTGGTAAAGTTTCATGAATGGATTTGTCATGTTTAGGTCACATGTCCTGTAAAAACCATGTCATGATTGTTGGCTAATGTGACATATAATACATAATACAACTGGAGTTACCAGTGATGTCATTCTGCAGGTGTGCTGTCAAATATTAGAAAGTAAGAATACATCAAATTTGATGCCATAAAAAGATCAGACAGATTACTAAATACTAGGAAGTGTCAGGATGTGTTTCTTTTGACCATTTCTGTGAGATTCTTGTGCAATATGCGTTTGTGTAATGTGTGTGTGTGTGACTGTGTCTTTGTTAGGTCACTTTGTGCCATCATCAGTCTGCTACATTTATGGGCAGCTCTTGGAGTCCAAGACAAATTTCCCAGACACAATAAAGTTTATCGTATTGTACCAGATTGTATCGTATTATATCGTATCGTACTAAATCGTACCATATTGTATTGTATCGTATCATATCATATCGTATAGTATCATATTTTTATATCATATTGCATCTTATCTCATTGAATTGTATCGTACCGTATTGTATAGTATTGTATGGTACCATATTGTTTCATATTGTATTGTACCGCATCATATCATACCACATCACATCGTATTGTATCGTATCGTACCGTATCATCAACTCAACTCAACTCAACTTTATTTGTAGAGCACTTTAAAACAACCACAGCTGTACAAAGTGCTGTACATAACTAGACAAAACAACAAGATAAAAAACAATCAAGAAACAATTAAAACAATGGATAAAATAAAAGCAGAATTAATAATAAAATATAGCTTCAATGTTTTTAAAAACTAATTTAAAAACATAGAAACAAATAACTAAAAAAACCCATAGAACACTAAAACAGGAGCCGAGTCTCATGCAGGGTTAAAAGCCAATGAATAAAAATGGGTATCATATCATATTGTATCATATTGTATTGTAATAAATCGTACCATATTGTATTATATTGCATCAAATCATATTGTATCATATCATACTGTATCATATTGCACCATACCGTATCATATTGTATCGCATCGTATCGTATCGTACCGTATCATATCATATTGTATTGTATTATATGGTATCATACTAAATCGTACCGTATTGTATAGCATGGCATCTGTTTGTATCATATCATACCGTATCGTATCATATCAAATAGTATTGTATTTTCTACCTGAAGGTGGCGCTCATTATGGAGGATTTTTATCCCAAGGCTTTTTTGCAGCTTTTCTTCATAATTAGCCTGTTTGGACCTGTTTCTGCTATTTTAATAGAGTACAGGAAATCTTAACTTGAATCTTTTTCAGATATGAAGCTGTATGAAAAATTTAAAGGAACATGTTTTCTGTCAAACCAGGTTCAGGAATCAGTTTAAAGGTGTGCATAAAGGTCCTCCTTTGACCTTAAATAGCACCGTTCCTGCAGATTTTGGGTAACAAGACTGAACGTGCAGAGCTGCAGGTTGTTGTTTTGTTGCTGCCTGACATTCCTCATTAATGCTGCATCACGTCTTGGGAACATCTTGTTCTGAACCGCCTCACTCAGGCAGATTCCTGCACATACTGAGGAGTACACGTCTGGACTTGCCGAGTCTTACATAAGAGTGGATGTAATCCCATCAGACGTGACTGGGCCTTACAACAACAAGGGAGGCTCGTGAGATGGAAGGAGGTCAGAAGCTGGCGCGACTCCCAGCCTTCCTGATGACACACCACGGCAAGAACAGGGCAGGGAGATCTGAGGGAACGCCGCCAGGCGTTTTCACGTCATGTGGTCTTCCTCAGCTACACGGCATCATTATACATACATGAGCTAACTGTATGTACAGTACGCCAACTGTCTCTCCTCGTATATTAAACTCCAACATGAGGCGCTCCCTTTTTATGTTATGCAAATTTCCAAGACTTGGGGGGTGGGGGTGTTCATCTGTAGCTTCGCTTGTTTACATGTTTGCGAACACATACAGTTTTCTTACTTGAATCTGAGGACTATGAGAATTTACCCTTCAGTTTTATCTTCATGAATACTAATTAGGAAAGCACAAGATTGGCTTTTTGCCAATTTTAGACATGCCAATAAATCTCTAACCATATAAATGCAACTTTTCTTCATGTGGAGGAATGCAACACTTCTAAAACTAAACGTCAAGCAAGAAAAACGGTTTATTTTTTCTATTATTCAGGGGTGGACACTAACTTTTTTCACACAGAGCACATGTGCTCTTTAGAACTTTAGGGGCACAATGAAAATTGATCATATAATGTGTGTCGAAATTGGTCAAAATAAGTATCATTATTTGATATCAATTTTAGGTCTTTTGGTCACATGACAGTGAAGCCATTGAAGGAAAACAGCCTTTTCTGAGAACATAAACCGGTAATTTATTGATGGTCCCTTATTCAACACCGACGTTGACAGTGAGGGTGTCGAGTAGATTTAACCGCGCTGCTGTTGTTATTCCCGGTTATGGAGAGTGAGAAGACACCGGTAGATCCTCAGAGAATGTCCGTCAGATATCCAACCTGAAACTAACTTCACCGCCGTATTTACAGGAAAATATATCCAACCTGAAACTAACTTCAGCGCCGTATTTACAGGAAAATATATCCAACCTGAAACTAACTTCACCGCCGTATTTACAGGAAAATATATCCAACCTGAAACTAACTTCACCGCCGTATTTACAGGAAAATATATCCAACCTGAAACTAACTTCACCGCCGTATTTACAAGAAAAAACATTTGTTGCCTCGCCTGATTTTTTTTATGCGCACATGTGACCCTAAATACATTTTACAATTCGCACACATCTATTTTTAGTCACAAATGCGAGTGAAACGGTCACACTGTCGAGCCCTGGTATTGCGATTAATTAGTTTTTTTTTAATTAATTTAAATATAGACATCTAGTAAGGCCGTTGCTGTCTCTAAACATTTCTTTGCAACCAACGTGCAAAAGCTGTCACTGCATATAAACACAATGGATGCAACACTTTTATATCTGCAGAAATTTCCGGATCCATCTGTATTAAGGCTGTAGTTTTATCAGATTGTCACCTCACCTGATCATGGTCATGAAATATCGCGTTACAGTATCACAGTATTATGAAAATTTAAGAAATAAAATCAGTTAAATTAAGAACGGGCAAAAACAAAGGTGAGCAACATTAGCTTTACTAATTACATTTACCTGACATGCTACCATCTATACCTCTATTAATAGTTAAATGTCTGATTTATCGTCAGCCCTGTGACTGACACTTCTCTGGAGAAGACATCGCCTCATTGAATGATTGTTTTTCAGGCTTTTATTTTGAATTTTTTCTGTCTTGGGTTTTAGTTTCTTGGTTTCCTGTACGCTCAGAATGAAAACCATAAAAGAACAATCAGAAAGTCTAATGTGTAGTTGACTAAACGAGTCTGGTCACGCTCGAGGTCTCTGCCTGTTAAAGGAAGTTCTTCTTCTCCTCTGTAACTTTGGAAATGCTGTAAAGTGTTTAATTAATGTGGTTAAAGACAGGATGGGAGTTTGTCTGATCTTACAGGATGGAGCTTTTTTGTCAAGCGTCTAGGAAAAGCACTTGCTGTGAATCAGCAGTAAATGAACAAATGAAGATTGATTGATTGAGTTGGTTTGTAACCGGAGGAAGCACAGGGACTAACAGCTTTGACACGTATACGGCCCGTGTTTAAAAGGTTACGTGGGTGATCGCTGACTGTTTTACAGGAATGTCGTGGTCCTGGATGAGTCCGCGGTGCCTCATTGTAACTGTGCATGAGTTTTTCCAGACAGGATGATCGTATCTGTTGTGATTAAATGATGGAAAAAAATGTGAGGGCATTAGCAGAGTGACACATCGTCTGGTTGTTTGATTTCTCTGGTTGTTAGGTGTCGCCATGATGAATTCCCGGCTTCCTTCATGCCTGTGTGCTAACTGTATGTTTATTTTTCTTGTCGTTTTTTGATACCATCGTACCCTTGTGTCTTCTTACGTATCTGCTCACTCCCCTCACCCTTCCATACTTCCATGTCTTTATTTCTTCAGAAAACTCTCTAGGACCACGATAAGGCATGTTTAACTTTTGTGGTGAGAGCCTTCAGGGCCTTTTAGGATATTTTTTGGTATTCTCATGATCTGAACTCGGATCACAGAAGCGTCTCAGATGAAATGTCTCTTTGTTATGTCCACAGTTCCCTCTTTTCGCTTTCTTCGTCTCTTTCTGCTCTTGTTTTGAGTCGCTCTCCAATGTTTGATCTGGCGCTCTTTGTGCCAAGACTTTTTTCCCTGCGGCTGCTGTGTCCTCATCGACCGGGATTTTCTGTGTTTTACCAGTTAGTTTGCCAAAACTTTGGTGGCACTTTCAGTTACTGATCACATAAAACTCTGAAGTTTAAAGTATATAAAATAAAAAAAGCTTTTGGAAAGTACAACGTTGATTTCTTTTACCATGAAGACCCATCCACACAAGACGCTGAAGGAGTATTTCTGGACTCGTCACCCTGAGGACAGTTAGAGCGAAAACTTTCTCACTTTTCTTTTATTTGACAGTCCGTTTAGTTTGGTGATCAGCAAAGTCAATTTTCTCATGAAATCAGGTGTCCTGTTAGTATAAAAATGTCATGTTTGACTTTCTTTGTCCGACTAAAAGTTTTAATCTGATTTATTTTCATCGTCAGACTGTTTTATCTCATCTTCAAACAAATTTGGCTGAAATGAAGAAGAAAATGAAACCAGATTTTCCGAATTTGGCTCTAAACGTTCAGATAAACCTTGGAGTCGTCAGCATATAGCATGAATTGACATTGTATCCTGGGTAATGTTGACTAATGTGTGTGAATGAATGGTCCAGAGGAGACCCCGAATGAGACTTCAGAGTCCCTTTGAGAGCTCTTACTGTTCCTTGTTAAAGAGAGTACAGAACAGCTTTCGGCGTTCAGTACACTTGGATGTTGTATCGCCAAAATATCTCCTTGTTTGGCGAAGACGAACTTTGTCATTTTTGGGTTTTGACCAATTAAATCATAAAGTCAAAGTCACAGAGTCAGGGGGAGTCCAACATTTCTGTGTGTGACGTCTGTCTCCTGGGAGATGGTTCAGAACCATGAAGGAAGCTGTGAAGTCTGACAGCCATGATGGGGACCGTCAACTTGAACCAGACAAGTCAGGACGTTCTTTTCTTTAGCCAAACCTTTATGGAGACCTCTGATGTTATACCTGGGAATCAATGAGGGAAGATAAGGTCACGCTTTACAGTTCACACCTACTCCACATGACGTGTTGGCTGATTGACTTCCTGGTTCGACTGCCAATGTGACACCTACAGTCAGGTAAAAAAGTTAAACTACAACAAGCACAGTAACAGAAGGTTGGCAGAGAGGAAACTTCAGAAGATGTCGACCTTTATTTCTGGACAAATAACATCAAAATTATGAAGCAGTTGGAGATTATCATCCTGATTTCTCAACTGTTATCATCACTGTTGGTCTTGACGTTGTGTTGGCTGCAGACCCCCTCGTTTGGTGCAAATAGTGCAGACGCATTTCCAAAGCCCCGATTGGATTGCAGGATCTGAAGTTTGTTGTGTTGGTTGGAGTCGTAGATCAGATGGTAGGAAACCTACTTTCCAGGGTCAAACATCGAAAGTAACTTCTCAAGCACGTGTTTGTGATTCTTTTATTGGTGCAATTTTCATCCAAACTCAGACAAACACTCAGATCTTTTCTCCTGGAGTTAAAGTTTATGTCTTGTGTCCTTTCCTTTTTCCCCCGACCCAGAAACTGAACAATAGAGGTATAAAACTTTGTCCACAGCTACTACTCACAGATTTTCCTAGAGTCCATTTTCACAGTCTGTTCCTTCTCGGTCCTTCGCCGTCCCTCCCTCCCAGCCCCCTCGCTCCGTCCCAGGCTGTGTGTGTGGCATGTGGTTTGGATTCTTGCCCGAGAACTATTCACTGTTGGAGAACAAGGCCCCCCAGTGTGCTCTGTTTTCCACATTCCTGGGCCCTGACATCAGCCCGGCTGCAGGAAGGACGCTGCCTCAATGGCGAAGGGGCTGTGTGCGGGAAGAGGCCCCCCCTGACCCCGGCAGTCTGGCTGGCGGACCCTGGCCGGGTGTGGGCCCCCGCCATCTCTGACAGCACAAGCCCCCATAACAATACAATCAAAGGGATGCTTTACATACCACATGTTGTTTTGAGGCATAAATTAGATGGAGATGCCCGGCGATCGTTAAGATGGATTATCCCCCCATAGACGGGCCATATGGAAATTTAGGTCACTCTCTGAATGTAAATATTTTGCTTTGCAAAATTCTGGTGTGAAGCCAACAGACAACTGACTGATGGCTTCTTTAGTTTCTGTTTCAGGTCTGTAGTATTTTTGATTTGGACACATTTTGATGTAATTCTGTGTCATGAAGAACACAAAGCTTTGGTGTCGATCCTTTGAGTGTATAAAAACCCTTTTTTGTTTCAGCTGCTAGTTTGACCGACCCTTCTGACATAAAACTCCGGGTTTGGTCTGTTAAAGGTACAATTATGTAAAGACAAACATCTCTAAACTAACTGTTATTTTTTCACTAACTCCATATCATTTTTGTTAAGTTTCCATTTGAGAGCTTCGTTTTTTACAGTTAAATTGTAGGTCTACAGCCCTGTGAGGCACCACTACGTCTAAAACTTCTAAGTTAGACAGGATTCAGCTCCTTATTTTGTCTTTTTTGTGACCAGTTCACTCTCTAGGTTTTGTTGCCCCAATTCAGACAAAGTTGGGATGAGATGATAATAAAAACAAACTGGTTTACAATCAAATTTCTACATTTGTTTTGGAAATTGAAGATGCTGCTTCCCCCACTTTAAACTCCCACTTCGATCGTTTACTTTTTATTACTTACAGTGTTCTCTGAGTCGTGGGCGGAGACAGCGCTGCTCTTCACATTCCTCTTCACGCTAGCTTGCAGCCTAACGTTGCCGGTGTCGTAGAAGTAGCAGGTAACATAGGAGCTATTCAGCTCTCGGACACTAATGTCTTTAGGGACATGATAAAAGTTAATATCATAATTAGCTTTCTTACGATCATTACAATCCGCTAACGCACACACTTGTTCCGTGATTGTCCACTCTACTTCTCCGAGTCTGGCCTGCATGGTAGGGCTCTGGGGGCGGAGCTTGGATTTGTGATGTAGGAAATCTCACTGTGTCTAGACCTGCCGTTTGGGTCTGCCAGAGGATGTGACTGCAGAGAAACTGGACTGATGCAGTTCTGTTTTGACGCCTGTTACTCTCACCTAATTAAAAATGAGCTGACAGCTTTCATAAAAATGATCCTCCAGTTTCAGCGCTTCATAAACTGAACAAACATCCACATGCTTCTAGCTTTGCTGTGGTGTTAGGTCATAACAATCATGACCTTGAAAAGCTCCGTCTGATAGAAAACAAAGTTTATTGGAGATAAAACACCAGTTACAGCGAAAACAGACCTTGTAAAGTCGACTGCATGAATGAACCGACCGACTAATAATCTGTTATCGTAGACCGGTGATAAGTCCTGACCTGACCCGACTTCAGCAACCTTAAAGTTTGGACAACTTGATATACGATGAAAGAGTGTAGGGCGTAGTTTTTAACCCTTCATTTCCACCTATCTATCTCTGGTTGTTTGTGCATTAAAAGTAAAACAATAACCACAGTTATCTGACCTTTACTGCAGAGAGATGTTTAAGAAATGAAGATGAACTGCTTTAGAGGATTTCAAAGTTTAAACGTACATGCATCTTCAATTTCACCTGGAGGCTTGGGTCATTTTTGACAGGAAGGGAAGAGAAAACTTCTAGTTTCTGGTAATTTTGGCGCCCCCTGTGGACAAAGTTCATCTTTTATCTCTTTTCCTGCACCTGTGAAAGTTGTTTTTTCAGATAAGAAGCTCACCTTGTCTCCTTTTAACAGTAAAATCTGTCATTCATTGACGCTGTTCGTTCCTGATGGTCTTGTTTGTCACATCACAGGTAAAAAAAAGGAATAAAGTCAAAGTATTATCAGGAAAATTTTGAAAATAAGAGAGAATAAAGTCATAAATTTATTACGTAAAGTCATAATTATCGGTTTTACTTTTGAATTTGGATCTTTTGGCACATCAGGACCAAACCTTTATGAGAACCAGGATCTGACCTGACCGTGCATGAATATAAATCTAACAGGGGTTGTTTCTTCTCAGCTGTTGGTCGTAATTTCTCAAGATGATCTTGTTTCTTATTTCGGTGCATTTCCACATTTTTTTTTGACATAAAATCAAAACTTTATTATAATAAATTAACAAGTTAAATCAGGTTCATTTACAAGTTTTTATTCCTATGAATTTAAAAATTCTTTTCTTATAAATGAACAAATTTAAATTAATACATTTAAGAATTCCTCTTGAAATCATAACTTTGTTCTCTCAGCGCTACTTCTGTCAATTATACACAAGTTTATTTTAATAAATTAACATCATCACTCTCATAAACTTGTGAATTTATAATTGTAAGTTTTCATCTTCTTTTCTTGTAAAATTAAGACTTTACAAATTTAAAACTTTATTCTCAGTAGTTCAACAGTGAACTCTCTTGACATGAACAGTTAACTCTCTCTAAATGTTGCCCTAATTCTCCCTCGTAGTTGTCCACCCCTGAGTAAAGCTCTTGGGTTGATTTTACCTGAAAAAGTGAAAAGAAGTTTTACAATTTTAGTATCTTGTAGTGCAAAACAACAGGAGTCTCGCTTGTTCTAAAAACATTGTGATGTTGAAGTTTTCTCCTTAAGTTTACTCGACTGTCTGTCTGTTTTTGCTCTGATTAGTTTTTGCAGTAGTTTTATCTTTTAGATAAATATTAATGTGTTAAGTTTAAATCATAACCTTCATGGTTTCATCCTTTGTTTTGAAGCTTCTCCCTTATATGCTCATCTTTGTGCACATTTGCCTTCAGTTTTGCCCTTTCCTCCATTTCTGCATTCAAAGACAGGATGGAAAATCAGATTTCTTTGTGCTCTGATGATAAAATGTTGTTTTTGTTTGCAGCAGCAGAGCCGATCAGATGTACTGCATGGTCACGATTCATTTGAACGCCTCATTTACTATGTTAAAGGTCAGTTTAAAGTACTTTTACTCTCCTTATATGTTCAGTTGAGACCTAAAGCTGATGGCGTCTTCCAGCCTGCAGTCAATCTTATCCCACATTTTTCCATCATGCAGTCATTCACCCCGGCATCCAGGCACATGGCCACGCATTCTCCCCCAGATGCAGCCTTGTGTCAGGTTTCCCGTAAGCAGAAGCCGAGGCCAAGTGTTTGAGTGAGTGTGTGTGTGAGTGTGAGTGTGTGTGTGAGTGTGTGTGTGCGTTCGAGGTGGGGGTGACTGTGTGGGAGGGCGAGTGGGTCGGTATGAGGGGGGAGGAGAGGGTTTAAGGGCTGAAGAGTGGAGGCGTGGAAGCGTGGGAGGAGGAGACATCAAAGACGAGGGGAAATCGGATCCTCTCGTTCAGACAAAGCAGACTGTGGGGTTCAGAGACAAAGGAAACGCGATCCACCACGTGACCGTGAACGCCACGCATGCCTCCCCTGTCTGGCTCCATTCAGCTTTTCACTCATTCAACTTTATCAGGGTCCAGCGCCATGGCGAGAACCCGGACCAAACTGTTCTCAGATTCACTTAGTACTTGGTGGTTGAGCGTCCTCTCGTTTACACCTGGTCTATGATTGTGCCAGTTTCTTTCACTTTGGTTTGTTAAAAGTTACTTAAAGTTGTTTTCATGTGAACCTAGAAGACCTACCTCTTGAAACCGTGTGCTTTCTTAAAGTTTTATTAAAGGATTAGATTCTGCAGAAACGATTGCGATAAGTTAGACCAAGAACGATTTGCAAGTTGTGACTCTTTCATTTAGTTTACACCTCATTCCCAAGCACACACGTCTGAGGTGTCTTTAAATTTGTAAATAGATGGATGAATATCCAATCCAAGGAAGATGAAGAGAAACAGGAGAATCTACCTGCAGCGGTAAAGGAGAGGCTGATTTTATCCAAGAGAAAACTGTAAAAGATAATCTAATAACTATATGTAAGCAGAATTACATTTCTCAAGTGTGTTGTAACTTTATAAAAATGTTATTTTTGATCATTAAAAATCACTTTACAATCAGCATAAGCAGCTGATTTGAAGGAGAATTGTATTGAAAGAAAATCGACCACCTAAAGTGGCGAAGAAACGTTTTTCTGACTTCATAATCAACTGAATTATAGGACGTAGCCATCTTATTTATTTACTGTTTAATGATGGTTGACGTTACGACAAGTAGACATCTATATACTTGTAGATACATATTGATGATGCTGAGTTAACCTAACTTTCAGTTGACCTATCAGAGGCCTCCTCGTTAACAGCTCCAACGTGACCTCCTGTCGGTCCGGTCAGCCTTGCCTCTTTTTTGCCTTGTCTGTATCCTTATCGTCAACAAACATGTTTATTTTGAATCTAAAATTGAGCTTTTTGAATTATTGTGTATGTGGTTTCTGGTGCTTCTGCAGCTAGCCTCTAGTGGTCACTTGTGGAACTGCACTTTTTGTGTTTTTTCCATGTAGTGTCCACCAGCATGTTGAAGTTTCCTTTTTTGTTTTCACATCAGTGACGTTGATGGTTGAACAAACACATTTAGTATTGTTGTGAGTATGTGTGTGTTTCAGTACAGGCCTTGTCGCTTACAGTATAAAACACAAACACACACACACACACACACACACACACACACACACACACACACACACACACACACACACACACACACACACACACACACACACAGACCTGTTTTAGGTTTTCTCGGTGTGGACTACAACTGAAGGGGATTGAATTTTTCTCTTGGTCCGAGCTGAAGCGACAATAACCGAAGTCTTTGTTTAGTACAAAACATCCGAAACCAGCGGGACTGGAAAACATGTTTGTGTTTAATGCTTGTTATCTATCAAAGCAAAGTCACATGTCACTCCTCTAAGTCATATCCGGCTGCCGCCAACAATCTATGAAATTGAGCAGACAGCTGTGAGCTGCGTGGACACCAGCGTTTCAAACAGTGAGCCCCTCACAGACAAATCAATTCAGTTCAATGGATCCGTTTTGTTGAAGGGGGCAGGGGAGATCCTCCTGACTCTTTTGTAACGAGTTCATCTTTGGTGAACTTTGACACACAAACACACTCAGCTGACCAACAACAAACGGCTCCAACATGGCTGACCTGAGAGAGAGAGAGAGAGACAGAGAGCTGACTGGAGTGGACTACACTAACCAGATTCACCCCGTAGTGATCGGTCAGGAAGTGAGGAGGACGGTGAACACGTTTCTTACTCAAAAAGTCAGAGACAGCTGATAAACGAACAGAAACTCTGGTGTAAAATAATGAAGCTAACACAGAAGTACATGTGAAAAACTGCAGTTCCTCTTGTGTCCACTTGGGGCTGGGTTCAGAGGCCCAGGAGTCCCCACTGGACCTCATGTTACACTTCAAATTTTTGATGCTAATGTTTACAACGGGGCGGCACAGTGGTGTAGTGGTTAGCACTGTCGCCTCACAGCAAGAAGGTCCTGGGTTTGATTCCGGCTCAGGGCATTTCCGTGTGGAGTTTGCATGTTCTCCCTGTGTCTGTGTGGGTTTACTCCGGGTACTCCTGTTTCCTCCCACATCCCAAAAACATGCCTAAGTGGGGTTAGTTAACTGGCCACTTTCAAATTGCCCGTAGGTGTGAATGTGAGCGTGGATGCTTGTGCGTCTCTATATGTCAGCACTGCGATGTCCCCTGCCTTCGCCCGAAGATGCCGGGATAGGCTCCAGTGACCCCACAACCCCTAGCGGGATTAAGCGGTAGAAAATGGATGGATGGATGAAAGGATGGATATTTACAACTTTGAATAAACAATAAGATCTGGACCCTTGTTATGTGGGGTTCATTTGAGTCAGATTAGAGCATTCATGGTTAAAATAAAAACTACTTCCTTTTTTATAGCAAACATCAACACGGTCAATGGTTTGAGCAGCTTTCCATCCTCAATTTGCACATAACACACTGTGCAAATTCAAAGTTGATTGGGTAAAACCCTAAGAACAAGTCAGAGTTCAAAGTTATTGATAGAGGATTCCTATTGTTCCATTATAACATGTAAATTTTGCGAATGCGAACCCAAACACAAGAGCCAGTGGCAGTTTATTTGATTAAATCATTGCGTTGAACTGCCTCCATCAGTTTCTTTTCACTATTATTTAACCCCAGTTCACCTTTGATTAGTTTTTGACTCTCTGATTGCAAGTTCATCCTAAATGAGGTGAAAAAAGGTTAATCATTGAAGCGTAGTAAAAGCTTCAGTACCTTTTCTATTAAATCAGGTTTATTGGTCGTAACTCTGCGTGTAAACAGTGAGGTTAATTGTCTATTCTGAAAAAAAACACAGAGTCAACAGAGTCTGTCGCATCTTTACACATGTGTTTCATCATAAAACAAACTGTCCTGTTTGTTGCGCTACCATGACAACATTCACGTCATGTAAGACCGCAAGCCTTTGAACATCGCTCAACCTCTTAAGTAATGTGGTAAAGGTAAAGGTGCGCGTGACAGCGAAACATAATTGGGGACATTGTTTGCCCTGACATGTCTGAGATGTCCTTTTAATCCAGAGATGTGTGATGTCCTGTGATGACCTACTTACCTCCTCGAAGATCACACCTTCACCTGAGGGGTCGGGGATTTCTCGACAGGTGTTCAGATTATATAATCTGTTTCCCTGTTAGTGAATGTCTTGAGGTGCATATTTTTGGTTTTTGTTCCTCCATAACAGCTGAGAATGAAAACTGGTTCAGCATTTACAGAGTGGAATTTTTAGTACTTTTTATATCGTTGAGTTCAGGACTTACAAAAAGGATCCAAAGGTACAAACAGAGGAGGTGAGAGGAGTTTGTGTTGTGGACATTTTTGTACTCAGAGGCCTCTTTTTTTTTTGGATTCATGACATTCCAGCGGCGTGAAGTTTGTGGTGTGAGGAAATCGTAAACAAAGCAGGTCCAGCAGCATAATTTACCTGTTTGTGTCAGTATCTGCAGGATCAGTGTCTCATGCCGATGCTGTTTTCATTTCCTCTGCATGTGCCTTTGATAGTCGTTATCCTGATACTATCTCCAAGAGAGCTGATGAATAGTTGTTCTGGACTTTGAAGAAGTTTCTACCAGCTGCACAGCCAGATCACAACCTGATATTAACCGACCAACCAATCAACAACTGATGATGTTTAGAAAGTGCTGGAAACTGCAGTACCTCAAGTGTCCACTTGGGGCTACCTGCAAAACCCAAGGAAGTCTGACTGACACTCGTGTTTTTCACAGCAAAATGAAACATGTTTTCAGATTTGGTCATAATTTTTCATAAAACTCTTTTTTTTTTTAAGCGTTCTAGTTTTACGCATAGACTGGTTATAGAACTGACGCGGTGGTTTGTGCTCAAGTCCTCTTTTTTCTGTACAGCTCCATTTTTAAAAGTTATTAGTGGGTTCATGTTTTCTCTGTTTGAGCCGAGCGTCATCACAGCGACTCTCCCACCGAATGCGTCCAACGCAACTGCACATGTGGTGGTCCCAGGAGGTGGAGAAAATCATGGAAATACTGAGAGCAATTCGGCTTCAAATTCATATAATGATGGAAGGTGGAGCCAAGTTGTCCATAGTATAAACAGTCTATGGTGTAACATAATTAGGGATGTAGCTGATTCCACAGCTTCAACATTTCACCTCTTGTTAAGTTGAGTGAAAGCGACGATGAATCAGCATTTTAAAAATGGCGACTTCCATCTTCAACCTCAGAACTTAAGAAATCATTAGATGACAACCACAGATGACACATCTACATCATACAGTCTATGGTATCACCTCAATCACTCTGTCTGCCACCTCCTTATCTTTTTAACATGACAGCACTTCACTTCAAAGATTTTTTCCGTGATTTTTCGTTTAATTATTCCCTCAAGAACTTCCTGCATGAATCAGCTGAAGCCTATTGGTCCAGAGCGCCACACCTCAGAGTGACGAGGCTGATAACAATGATCCCTGGTACAACACCGGAGTCTAATGTCCTCATATTTCATTGATGCGGGGGTGTGATAAGGACAGACTGTACACTTAAAACCAGTTCAGGTCACCGCAACAATGCAGGAACAATGTGAGAAATGTTTCTAAGAACTGAACCGTCCAGTAACATGAGTAAGCACAGAAGAGAACACACAGCGCTCTGTTTCATCCACATCTTGGTGACGCATTTTGATTCAGCAATTCTCTCTGTTCTTCTTTAAACTCCTGATATATAGAAACACTTTATCCCTGACAGGTAAACATAGAAGTCTCTTTGCAACTTTTTAATCAGATACGTTTGTGTTTTTAAACGCCTCAGTTTTCTGAATCCTCAGTGTGAAGCTCTTTTTTTCACTGAAGAGGAAATATGACCTTAAATGAGTTAAAAAGAGGCTATTAAATCATAAAAAACAGATAAGGTTGATCATAAAATGTCATGTACAGTTATGACTCCAGTCTGAATCATGAAGTCTTGTACGTGTGTAAACTCGGTGATCTTGGGTTATATTGTGCTGCAGTAGGAGGGAGTCGGCGTTTGTCCTTAAAGTCATGTATTGTAGTAATATAATGTTGTGATCATCAGTCTTTATTGGGATTGTTTTTTGCACAGGCAGAAAGCTCAGACAGTCCTTGTTGATTGTTGTGAACCAGAGTGAGTCTACGTGCGAGCCGCAGCCTCTCTTATCTCTCAGAACATAGATGAGAACAGTTGGTGATAAACATCAGAGTGTGATCTCTTATTTAAGTCTTGATTTATAAACCTTGAACTGCGATCCCAGTATCTAAAGAGTCATATTCTTGTCAACAAAGTCTGCAGGATTCACCCTGGAAAACACAAATAAATCACTGTCAGGGCCTTTTGTGGTTTTCCCTCAGGCTCTAGTCTTTACCTCACAGGTACAGTGTGTAGAAATGAAAGTATTCAGTAATATCGAGCGATCAGGCTCGAAAAGGACGGTGGCCTTTAAGGACAAGAAGCTCCTGGGATGCATGTTGAATATGTGCTGTGTCAGTTCTATTGTTAGCGACCTATGCTAGATAGAGGCTGCCGTCAGTGTTGACAACTCCTCAGTAAGGAAAGTTGCTAGATGACATACCGTAGTTGCCTAATTTGCATAATTTTTCAGTCAACCCCCCACCCACCCTGTGTATCTGTATATGTGTGTGTGTGTGTGTGTGTGTTTGATGTACATGCACTACCTGTTTAGAAGAGTACCGTATGTTTTGCACTGTAAGGCGCACCTGATTATAAGGCGCATTAAACCAAACAAAACAGTCCGATAAGTCAAACTGTATTTCACTCATTCAACAACTCCGCGAGGCTGTAGTGATTTTAAGTGTGCCTCATAGTGCGAAAAATACGGTAACTTGGATACCTCCTTTTGTGTCAGAGTTTCCAAACTCCAAATCTAGGGACTCAAAATAGTCGCTTGATTTGCCGCTCGGCGCTTTTTTGAAAATAAGTCACTAGGGGTGTCTGAAAAGTCGCTAAATCGAAGTTGCCAAGTTGGCAACACTAGCTGCTGTCTTTGTTGTGGCCTATGAACCAATCAGAGGCTTCATTTGAGACCAGCTGACCTGTAGACGCCAGTTGTCGCAGAAAATCTGTAAAGGCCTAATTATTCCTCACAGATATTTAAGGGGATCGATAGAGAATTCAAAAGCGACAGTTTATAAGTGTTCATCAGATTTCTATAACTTTGAAGATGTTTAATCTGAAACGCAGCAGATTGTCAGTAAAACAGAATTATCAGCGTTACATTTTTAATACATATGACCTTTATTAACCTCTTTGTTTTTGTATGAATCTATAGAAGCGACTTTCAGACTGTTGCTGAACTTTGCAGCTCACTCTCTCATTTATACCTCACCTGAGAAGTCCAAGGGCCTCTAAACCGCCCCTCAAAGACCTTTAACCTTTTACTGCCAATCTAATCAGCTGCTTACCTGTGCTCCAGTCAGGTTTAACCTTTGCCCCGTTTAATACACCCTTTAAATTCCAGTCTGTTCTCATGTGAAGGAGTGGTTGCTTACTTTTGAATCAGAACATTTAAATTGATTGAGCATGAGTTGGCAGCTCCTCCTCATACAGATGACTCTGCATCATCATCATCAGCCTGATTGGACTTGATTGTGATTTTGTTTTGTGCTCCACAGCAGACTAAATTAAAGCCACCACCTTAGAGACTCAGAGCAGAGGCAGCAGCGCTCCAGCTGACAGGTCCGGACCAGATCTGAGGTCACATTAGTTCAGGCAGAGTCTGACACGGAGGAATGTTCCTGATGTGGTTTGTTTGATATTTTCGCTCTGTGCCGGCTGCCAAATGAAAACTGCTTTAGTGGGAACATCACAAACACAGAGGGGAGGCAGGCAGCGAAGGACAGGAGCTATGTTTCCTGTCAACAGAGGCGATCACGTTGGGCACGTAAAACACACACACACGCGCGCGTGCACGCTCACACACACACACAAAGGGGAAGCAGGGGAGTAGATACATTCTTTACAGACAAAGCTCTTTTGTAGGGAATCAAACATGTCACTGGAAACATTGTCACTCCCCCTGGTGGTCAAAATAGAAAACCCCACAAACCGCTTAGAGGAATTCCATTAACGTATTCACCCATTTCACTGAATGAGGAAGCATCCCCCTTTAACATCCGGTTTCTAGACCGGTGGCGTCGGTAAGAGGAAATAATACTGCAGTGAGAGGAGCACAGGGACAAGGACAGACACTGGATATTTTTGACCTTTTTAAAAAAGAATAGAGACAGACAGAAAAGACAAGAGTCTGTGGGTTGTTGTCTTGGTTTCAACCCCAGGGACTCAAATATTTGAATACAAGGGGAGAGCCCCAACACCTCCTGTCAAACAAGGAGAAAACCCCTCCACCGCCCCCAAACAATGGGAAATTTGACTTTCTCTACTAAAGCATAAATAGTCATTACAAAAATATCACACTTTTGCACTCAGATGTTCAGCGTCATGTGACGTCTGATCCGCACAGATGTTGAATGACTGCATGTTTGCAAACTTACTGTTATAATTTTACCAAAAGTAAAAAAGCGTGCAGTGATTTTCTCTCTGCATCCGTCCATGATGGAGTTACTGACTGTTTCTTAGTGTAGATGGTTTCTGCACACTTATAGTAAGTCATGACTGAGTGTAGATGGATGCAAACAAGCTTAGTTTGGATTAGTTTAGTTTGTTTATGGTTCAGTTAATGTTAACTAAATTTAGTTAATCTCAGTTTAGTTTAATCGAGTTCACTATGGTTTGGATTATCTCAGCTAAATTAAGTTAAATTTAGTTTAATTAAGTTTAGTTTATCTGCATAAAGTTTGCCATTGACAAATTAAGATTATTTTATTTTAGTTTTGTTAATCTCAGTTCAGTTTAGTGAGTTTATTATAGTTTAGTTTATCTCAGTTAAGTCTAGTTAAGTTTATTAAAGACTATTTCATCTTTGTTTAATGAGTGTAGTTTAACTTGTTTAAATTGAGTTTATCTTAGCTAATTAACTTCATCTTAATTTAGTTGAATTGAGTTTAATTAAGTTAAACTTGAGTATTTCAGTTGATCTTAGTTTAGTTAATTTCAGGTTTGTTTATCTTAATTAAGATTACTTGAGCTTAGTTTAATTAGTCATTAATAAATTGAGACTAGTTTTTTTGGTTTTGTTAATCTCAGTTTAGTTCAGTTTATCTCAGCTTAGTTTAGTTAAGTTTGGTTATGATAGGTTTACCAAAGCTTATCTTAGTTCAGTTAACTCATACTGTTAGCTGTACGTGTTACTTCTACTTTGTCTACTAGCTAACCTTTTCTTCTACAGAGTGTAAAACCTCTCTTCTCTGTTTCTGTCAGTTTCCTCCCAGTTTGAGCAGAAGTCAGTTTTTACTGATTCTTAGTCACCAGTCAGTATCAGGGTTTCTGACTGATTCAGTCATCCTCAGGCTGGTTTGAGACTGTAAATGAATGTTGAAGTGTGTAAACAGTTTGAATTGGTCAGAAGGAGTCCTGCAGTTTAAAGGAGCAGTCTGCCTTTTTTTCTTTCGCTGAGAGCTGAGTGGGTGATACCAGTTTCTGTGTGAGAAAGATGACTCAGACTGAGAAATAAGTCATTTGTGTCTCTGGTTTTCCTCTCATGCTGTGACATGTTACTTTTGTTTTGACAATTGCTTCATTCTGTTGCTATCCAAGTTTTCTTTTGTTGAAAAGACACTTCTAATACTGGGTAAATTTCATCAAGTCTGCAGTTTTGCAGGAAGTGTCCTTTACCACAGGCCTTTTTTTTCAGGGTTGCCACGTCTGTCTGCGCTGGCTGTCAGACTGCGGTAACTCAGAGTGTGTTCAGGTCGTGTTTCATCTCTTCCTGGTTGCTAAAACGACTGACTGGTTCTGTTTTAACATTACTAATTCGCAGTAAAGTTTACTTTCAGTTTTTAATTTAGATGCTTAAATCTTGGGTTGATAAATCTGTCCATGAAGCCCCCCTCTCTTCCTCTCTCAGTCTTACAGTTTTTTTCTGTTTCGAACCACTAAACTGGTTCCTGCTTTCCCCTCGCTGTGCGGTGAGTCATTAACAAGAAACACCTACGCACAGACAGCAAAAAAAAACCACGCGCACAAACACACCTGCTGCCTTCTGCTGAATTTCCAGAGGTCTAAAGGTCTTTGGAAATCTGTAAAAGTTATAATAGACAAACCACAAACCAGCGAGAATCATTTTTAATCAAATTATAAATGAAGAGGAAGCTGACCTTCAGAGGGAACAACACACATCCACACTAAATCGTTTTAACCCATGAATGCTGTAAAACGAACATTTTAATGGTTTTATGGACCATAAAAGTCTGAAGGTGTCATGTTTATGAAAGTTACCGCACAGTTTGACGTTTTCACCTCTGATCTCTCAAATTATTGTCCAATTTCAGACACTTTTACAGCCAAATAAAAATGAACTGATGCACACGGGGTCATTTAAAGAAACAGCGCAGCCTAAAAAGTACAGTATTTCAGATCCGAATGTGTGCAAACATAAACTTGCAACACGCGGATGCAGAAGATGTTGCATCAAGAGGAAATTTAAGGGGAAATTAAAGTTTAAAAGTTCATCACCCCGACAAACACGTGCAGCAAACTAAAACATGTCGATCCTCATTTTTAAAGCACAGATTCGTAACTAATGATTTATCCATCATAAACAAAACATACGTGACATTTAGAAAGTGACAGGTGCGAGGCAGAAACCTTGAGCAGAACCAAACTCTGCTGAGACTGAGCGGGGTTTGCAGCAAGAAATGAAAATTGTTCGGATTTTATGTTTTGAGTTTTTGCAGCAGATGTAAGTTTTGTAGTAGGCTTGAAACTTCTTTTTTTATAAATATATTTTAAGATTTTGTTTCTTTATTCAGTGAGTAAAGGGCAACAGATGGAGCAGGGAACTGGAGAGAGAGAGTCAGGAGTGAGGTACAGCAGGTTGGATCGAACCTGGACCGCGTGTTTGACAGCAATAGCCTCTGTAAACATGGTGTGAATCTTGGCCACTGAGCCAAACCACCGTCACTTTACTCTTAGTTCTCGTAAAAGAGTTTACAGACTCAGGTTTGGACCGGTCCTCAGTGATGGTTCTGTCGGCTTTAGCCTGATCTATACTCCTGTGTTTAATCGACTCCAGAGGATGAACCTTGATGTTCTTCTCCTCAAAAATCTATCTTTGCATCAAACCTGTGATTGGCTCAGAGAGTAACATCGTATTTTTTGCTTTTACAACATCGACTATGATTCAGCAGCCGCACAATGACATCCACTCTGACGTTTTCTCGCCATAATCTTGACCGTTGATCAACATTTATCTGCTCTTACTTCAACTTTGTGCTTTTGGGTTTGTCACCATGAACATGCAGAAACTCCGTATTAGCAGAATAGAACTTTAACTGTCAGGTAGGCCGAGAACTGAAGTATGGCGAGGGCTAAGATGGCGAAGGCTACAACAGCGTCGCTTCAAAGCAGACCGTCTGTGGTTGTTTTCGATGTTGCTCTCTCATGGTGCTTTAAGGTCAGATCTGTATATTATATAAAAAAGAGGATCCTCTTGACCTGTTTTTTTAAAAAGTGTGTTAGATACGTGTTACTACCTCTTTTGAGGTCTCTACCAACACCCCACCCCAGATCACAGACTCAGACAGTCGTACAGTTTCTCGATCCTCGCCCTTTTACAGTTTTTATTCAACAACAACTTGATCATATTTACTCATTACTGTGTCACATCCTCTTTTTCTACTCTAATTACTAATGCAGAGTAATTATGATGAGATGTTTTATTTTATTCTTTTAATTAATTGATATTTTTGGATAGTTTTTTTCTGCACAGCCTGTTTTACCTGCCTGGAGTTGCTCAGATGTGGCAGTTAATTGATTTTTATCTGCTAACTCTGCATGATTGGCTGCAGACTCAGAGCCCCACCCCATTAAAAGATCCCAAACCTCTTCTCCTAACAAAGGGCTGCAGCGAGATAGACATAATAAGACTAGATGTTTGAAAGTCCTGCTCTTAAACAAGGGAAAGTTTTAAAGAAGCGACATATTATTTTTCCAAGGTGTTTTATGTGCTGCAAAAATTCCCCATGATCATATTTTAACGGTTTTATTGACACTATATCTTGACTAGAAAGTGGTTCAAACAATAAAAGTCCAGAGTGATGTCTTGGGGTTGTCCGGAGAAACCATGGTAGTGGTTCGGGAATTTTCTCAGACTTGATTTCTTTTCCTGAGCGGCACAACTTCTCTGTGTCCTTGCATCATGTGCAAATGTTTTCATGCATGCTTTCTCCCCACTGTAACTTGAAACCCGTCTCCCTCTGTATTTAAGACTCCTGTCATTCACATGCAAATGCAGCAGGTGCAGCAGATCCCATCGGACCGTTTAACAGAAATGCGCCGGCTTGCTAAAACGCAGGGAAAGCAAAAATACATAAAGCGCTTGTTTGACAAATTGAATGCTGTAAAAGTGTGAGAACTCAGGTGTTTACCTCTTCACACTCAGGTTGGATGATGTCTAAGCTGCGAAAAGAAAACAAAAGTATGCCGAACACACCTTTGTTTGTTTTTGTTACTGTTATCTCTTTGCTACAGAGGAGTGAATAGAGAACAGTTCAGGTTTTTTGCTCACTTGAGAAGTATGTGAGGCATCTATGGTACCCTGTCAATCTCAGTTAGACACATCTATCTTCTTTAAACCAGTTCAAAAGTTATGGCTCTGTTGACGTGCACCAGAACAGGCCTGAGCGTACCCCTCAGAAATCATTTATAGAGCAGCACTTTTCACAAAATGATATTTATCCCCCCAATAATGAGCTCACTGTTGCTCATAGCACATCTTGTTTTTCTCATGCAGCCCTTTGGCTCATTTTTAGCCCGAGTGCCAAACACTGGAGGGCATTGTACAGTCAAAACACAGGGTTGCCTGTTTGAAGGCAATGATTTCATAAGAACTGCAGAGCTGCTGTTTACAGTGTCAGCGACCCTCTGCTGACATCTAGTGGTAAAAAGAGGAAGAGTTAGTGCAGGTTCTGGTTAACAAAGCGTTTCAGTCAGACTGAGTCAGTATTTCCACAATGTATTTCTCTAGATAATGTTACTTTTGGAATGTTACTACCAAATAAAAATGATGAACTCTGTTGTAATGTAATCTTTAAGTTATGAGATCATCCCCCAGATTTATTGTTTTCATAAACGAATTTAAAATGTATTTGAAATCTCTTAAAACCTTAAAACAGGTTTGAAGGAACAAACGTTTCATGATAACTTCAAGAATTTTCCCACTGAGATGAAAAAATAAAAATGTTTTAAAAAAGAAAGAAAGCCCTTGTAAAGTTTTGCCTGGCATATATTATTTTATTTATTTTAAGTTACTTTTATGTTTCTGTTTGCTTGTTGTTCTTCACTATCTACTTCATATATTTTATTATTTTTATTTTTATTTCAATTTTGAAATTACTGTATTGAACTGATTCTGCTGTTTGTAATTGTAATTGTTAATAAATAAATAAATCAAGCTTAAAAAAAAAGTGAGACTGATTTTATTGAGTATTGAAACTCCATTAATATTCACCAATTTACTTTACTACTACTACTACTACTACTACTACTAATAATAATAATAATAATAATAATAATAATAATGGTGATGATTTAGAATAAAATGTAAAAACTAATATGTGACAGTGAGCTGTTAGTTGTGGACTTTTCCTGCAGGTTTCCAAACATCATAATAAAAGACTACAGAGGAAGAAGAAACAGCTGATGCTAACCAGCTTTGCTTGTGCTCTCTGAGATGATTCAGCACTTTTAAAAACTGACATTCACAGGTTTTGGTTGGCTCCCGCCTCTTCTGGTTACCAATAAATGTAATGTTTATACTTTTTTCGGCAGCTTTTTTATCTGTTTTATTTTGATAACATTACTAATGAGCTACAAGAGGTAAATAACTTCAAAATAAAAGCATGGTTTTAAAGTTCTGGGAATAAAGAAACTGAAATGCAGGACAGAAAAATATAAGAATTGGAAAAAGTGAGGAATAATTCATTTGAAGCTCCTATCAGAGACTTTCAGTTTGTATGAATTTTGGCGCCCCCTGTTGATCTGATATCTTATAAATGTTATGAGAGATGAGTGATGACATACAGATGCCAATATTTATTTGACTGGAGGATTAAATTAAAATCTTTAATGATGTAAAAGGTTTAAAAAATTAAGCTTGTCGTGTTTAATGCTTCAACGACATGAGTTAACAGTGTGGATGTTAATTCATGAGTAAGCTCAGGTGGTAAAAGATGAGTGAGAGAAATCTGAGTGGCAAAAAAGAAAGAAAAATATTAGGCTAAAGAAAACTTATTAAACAGATTAAATGATAAATGAAGACTTGAAGGAAATCAGGCCTTGAAATAAACGATTTAAAAACAGCTCATATTTAGCTCATCTTTAAACAGCTGTTCATGAACCAGTTTACAAATATAAGAGCAGAGCTACTCAGCTTTTTAAGATGTGATTTGTTGAATTTGGTTGTGACTAAAACTAAAGCATAGAAAAATTACAAATTTATTTTTAGAGTGCTTTCTAATAAATGTTCTAGAGAGAAAAGACAGTTGAAAAATAAGTGTAAATATATCAGCATTAATCTATTCTGCAGAGTGCAATAATACAGCAAAGGAGCTTCAGAATTACAGGCTCCTTCACCGTGAGTTTCCAAGTGTAACTGAGAGTAAATGTAATGTTTCAATGAGGGAACTTAAGATACATGTCATATAGTAAAAACTTGGAGTAATTTAATGTAAATAGGAAACTTTAAGCCACTGAAACTAGTCAAATATGATGTAAATTCCATTACAGTTATATATCCTGCAACAATACTTTCCCAAATAACAATGTTAGCTTTGTTAACTTGCACAATAAGCTTCACACACTGGCGAATTACTGTACTAATATGTAAATATTTAGTCATTGTTCTTGTGTTATCCCTATCATTAACCTAGTTTTCATGATGCAGTGTGTTTTAATAAGTGTAAATCACCGCAGAGTTAAAACCAGGCCAAGTCTGAAACTAGAACAACCAGCTCCAGGACTGTACATCTGTGCTGGAGAACAGGATGTGTATTTTTCAGCTTAACACTTCCAGCATGTTCCTACTAAACAAGAGCAGGGAGAATCCTCGGTAAATAAAAGTACAGACCCAGGAGAGAAATAACCAAAACAAACGTCATAGTGTTCAGAGCACAAAGTTTGTTTTGAAGAGAGGACTTTGACATAATTGTTCTGTACACGTTCCACCTCTAATATGACCCTGTAATCACTGGGTTTCTAAACTGCCTAGCCACTAGGAGGTGCTATAATTAGACAGAACGACACTCTATGGACAATGTGGTTCCGCCTTTCGCCAGTATACGGATTTAAAGCCGAAAAGCTCTCGGTAATTCTGCATTTTTTCTCCATTTCCTGAAACCAACATTACGCAATAGCGTTGTACACATTCTACCACTTGTGCAGAAGCATTGTGCGCATTAGGAGAGTCGCTGTTTTGATGCTCGGCTCAAACAGCATAACTTCAGGGTGGGCTGCACAATCCTTGTACGCCCATAGGCTGTATCAGGTGTCAATCATAGAAAACATGAACCCCCTAATAACTTTTACAAACAGAGCTTCCCAGAAAAAAGAGGACTTGAGAACAAACCAGTCTGACAGTAACTACAGGTCAACATTACAACCAGGGGGGAGAAACATTTATATTCTGTGTCATTCATTTATAAAGTTTGTCCACAGCTCCATAAGCTTTGCTGACGTAGGTGGGATTTATGACCTATACTGCAGCCCGTCAACAGAGGGTGCTGTTCTTGGAGTCGCTTCACCCAGTGAGGAGGCAGACGGCGTCCATTCTATATACAGTCTTTGGTCCACATCAAACACATAAAAATTTAATTATTGAAGTTTGTTTGACGTCCGACGAGAGACACAGTAATAATACACCTCTTTGTTTTCAGGTCGAGATGATCATTAATAACACTTTGAATCATTAACGATGTCGAGCTTTCACCTTTTAAATCCCAGGAAATATCCTGATAACAGTATTACTGTGATATTTTGAAAAACTGGATATTTTTTGTCCTGCATTTAGTTCGCTTTTCTTCCTTTAAGTTATGCTTTTATTTTGAAGTACAAGCTACTCCTGTTAGAAAACAGTTGAAAGGAATGCGAGAAAGAAAAATGTCAAAAAATATATATAAAGATTAGTAAATCTAAGACATACAAGCTCTAATATTGTTTTAAGATTCATGAAAAAACCTTTAAATGTCAGGGTTTTTTGCCCTACTTTCTTACAAATCACACAGCGTAACGCTGCATAATAGCAGGTCACAGTCAGGTCAAATCAATCCGTGGAAAGTAGTCCCGATATATTTTACCCATAGACTGTGGCTGTATCTCATTTCAGAGACCGCATCGGGATAAGCGCGCTTAACGGCGCTTAGCTGCGTGCACTGCCGTTTTGTGCCGTTTTGCGCCGTTATGTACCCTTCCTGTCCCATTTCAGAGACCGCAACCGTCGAACGGCTCATCTGAAGCGTGCGTGAGGTCATCACGCGGCACGAACGGTGTCCCTTTTGGCACAAAATACTAAGCGCGCTTCAAATTCGGTCTCAAAACCACACTACCCCCGGCCCTTTTTCAAGCGTGCATATATGCACGCTTTCGTGCCGTCGGTATCCCAGAATTCTCTGCGTGCCGCTGCACAGCTTTGCATTTCGGGTGAGAGGCTGGACTCGCTTGGAGACGCAGCGCGTCTTCAAAGAAAATACAATACAAATACAATACAATTCAGCCGGCCTCTTCCTGAGTGTGAAAGGAGCAAAGCTGAGTGAAACAACTTTGACATCCAGGGTCGAAACTAACTGCACTTAGCCCGATGCGGTCTCTGAAATGAGACACAGCCTGTATATAAGATGGACAGAGTCTGCCTCCTCACTGGGTGAAGCCACTCCGAGAACAGCACCCTCTGATGGTGGGCTGCAGTACAGCTCATAAATCCCGCCTCTGCCAGCAAAGCTTACGGGACTGTGGACAAACTTTAGAAATTTATTACACAGAACATAATTTTTTTCCCCCCTGGTTGTGATGTTGACATGTAGTTACAGTAAGACTGGTTTGTGCCCAAGTCCTTTTTTTTCTGTACAGCTCCATTTTTAAAAGTTATTAAGGGTTCATGTTTTCTATGATTGACACCTGGTACAGCCTATGGGCGTTCAGGTATTGAGTAGCTGTTCCGGGGGAATACGCTGTTTGAGCCGAGGGTCATCACAGGGACTCTCGGCGACTGCGCGGCCGAATGCGCACAACGCTACTGCACAGCTCTGGTTTCAAGGAAGTGGAGAAAAACCCGGAATTACCGAGAGCTTTTTGGCTTCAAATCCGTATACAGGCGGAAGGCGGAACCACGGTGTCCATCTTATATACAGTCTATGATTTTACCTGTTTGTAGTTTCCCTTGGCGCTAAATCAGTCCGCTAAACAAAATGGAGGTTTTAATAACATTCAATCATCAACTGCAGTCCAGGCAAGAGAAGCAGAGCCGGTGAGTTTATCTCATAGTCTTTACTAAAAGATTTTAAAACATGAGCTGTTTGTTGATAATATATTTACCCCAGTGTAAAAAGTTTTGACTCATTCGTGTGAAAATGTGTGTCAACAGCAGAAGGAGAGCAGAAATGTTTGGAAATATTCAATTCACGGTAACAAATAATCAGGCTGTTAATCCCCCTTTTCTAACATGATCCTCGGGGAAATAATCAATGACATGATTATTGTATTAGCTTGTTAGATATGACTTGATTGTTAAACATGGACTCCACGGTAATAGGGGAGACTGGGGTGAGATGAGCCAAAGGGTAAGTTGAACAGGATAGTAAATATAAAAAGGAATATCAACAATGATAATAAAATAATAACAGGTAATACTGATAATAATAGTAATGATAAAAATAGAGCAACAGAAATGAGCAAAAGATAAAACCATAAAAAGGCTAAAAGATTAATTAAGAAAGAAGTACAAGTATAACAAAAGTATAAAAAGCACAAACAAAAGCTAACAAAAGAGGATCTGGCAAAGGCCTCCTTTTTTGTCCTGCTATATTATCAAGATGACAGTTCTGTTTACACTCATTCTGTTGGTTTGCAGGGATGAACAACATCCTGAAATATCTGCAGATACACGAGTTAGAGACAAAACTAGGACTGACTTGATGTAGTGATCCGAAATATGAGAAATGGCTCATCTTACCCCGCTCTCCCCTATGTGTATTTAACACAGTATCTTTTCTATGATAAAGACCGTCATCGATATCAGTTCGATACGACAGCTCTGTTGATGCACTTTGTAAAAGAACTTAAATTCACTAAGAGGAAGTTTGCTCACTGAGGAAAAGTCAACAGAGGAAAATAAAGCGTCTCTTTGCAGAAGTACCTTCCAACTAAAACCACTAGATGTCCTCCTCCTCCTCCTCTTTCTGTCTGACTGCTCCCTCTTTTAATTGAATGACTGATGAGCAATGAGTTCACGCCTCGCTTCTCTCTCTCTCTCTCTCTCTCTCTCTCCAACCCCCTCCTCTTTATGTGACCCTCTGCCTCCCCCCTCCTCTCCCCCTCAGCCAAAATAATAAAATGCTGACTTCTCAAAGTGCTGAACATCAGTATGCCTGTCTCAGCATAGCAGCCCCCGAGGCCTGACATACAGGAGAGAGAGAGGGGGAGAGATAGGAAGAGAGGGAGAGAGAGATAGAGGAGGGGGGTAAGAAAAAAGAGAAACAACTTTCTCCGGTTTCTAACTGCAGGCTCTGCCTTGCCGAGGGGCTTCAGCACTGCGCTTCTGTGAAGGTAGGTGTGAGGCTGCTTCCTCCTGTCTCTGTCAGTCTGTGTGTGGAGGGGTTTTCGAGGGGAGTCCTGGGGCCACGATAGGCTCATCCAGACTCTAATCTTTCTTTCTTGGTTTTCCTGTTTGAGGTTCAACTTCAGTTAGGCAGAGCTCTACATTTGAGGCTGTTTGTTGAAAATGAGTGAAGTGAGCGGTTAAGTTTGGCGACTTAAAATGGGACTATATATCTTTTGTTTTGTAGCTGCGTCCACGGCTGCAGGGTTGAAGCTGTGTGACTGTGTGAATGGCGCAAAATATGAAACACTGTCACTCAAATGAAGCTCTCGGTTTGGTATGTGTGGAGGGGTTAAGCCGTCCAATAACGGTCTATAGCAGTGCTGTCAGTTTGTCACCGAGGATTTGGAGATGTGTCCTCAGAGGACTATAGACCCTGAAATGTAGAGGTCAGGTTAAGTTTGCACATCCACTTTAATTTGGATGCATTAGTGTGACATTTTTACACATCACTGGATTGAACATCATTGTGCAGATTTGTCAAACAAGTTTTTATTGTCATGACATGCACCACCTACAAAACAATAACTCCACCTGTTGCATCATGATGAGTTTTGCAGCGGTTGCAAACTCTCTCTCTCTTTTTATAATCAAAATCTGAATGTACAAGTCGTTCTCTGGGCCTCAAAGTGTTCCTCCGAGTCAGACTCAAGGAGCAACCCAAGCCGGGCTGGATTCACACGGCTGGAAGTAGCTGACTTGTGAAGCTAAAATTAATCTGAGGGCAGATCTTGGAATGTTACACTCGGGCGGTAAGACGTGGAGAAGGCGACCTGTGGAGGGTGACAAATCCTCTGAGCTGTCGGTCGCAACTCAGAGTTTAAAAGACCCTCTTCAGTCCTGCTCCGAGTGCACAGATAAGACCTCTACCTGACGAAGAGGACAGAGAGCAATAAAACCGAGAGAAATGACTTCTTGGTTTATTTTCCACAGAGGTAAAAACAAACTCCTTGGCACAGGAGCAGAGTGTAAATCATCCTGGAGCATTTATGGGTGTATAACCTTTGTCACTGTGAAATCTAAACCCTTGTAATGGTGTTTGACTTGTAGAACACACGGTAACTCTTCACTGCGTCTTACTTTTGAAATAGAACCTCCTGATGGATGAAGACAATCAGACGTTATGTGTCCACGTGAAGTAAATCACGGTTTTATTAGACGCACCACTAAAATAAAAGCCCACTTTCTTTCTCTCAAGCTTTAACCCATCTGTGCACCAAAACCACCAAGCTCCAGTGTATTTGTCTTCGTAATGAAATCAGAGCTAAGCCCAAGCCTCGCAATCTCTGAATAGTTCGACTCCTGCGACCAAATTCCTCGTGCACACGCCTGCAGAAACTCAACAGATGGTTGCAGACGGAGGGGACCAAATTGGTGGCAATAATCAGGGCGGTCGGAGCAGCTGTTTTAAACATCGGCTACGTGACATTTCTGACGTGTTAGGCGTTAACATTGTGCTTCTCATTATCGCCTCACAGCTCAGATCCAGTCACATAAAATTTACGCATCAAGGATACATTCCCTTTGTTTGTGAGCGACGAATTCAAGCATGTGATCAACAGGTCAGAGTTCGAACCAAAGTGAGGTGCCATGTTTACCAAAAGAGCTTTTTTTTAAAGTGATATTTCCATCTTGTTCGGTTCTGTGAAGTGTTGTGTCACTCTTTCAGACTTTGGATGCTATTGAATATTTATACATGACCCACTTTTGAGCTTTGGCCTCTCAGCTGTTTTGGAAAACTAATGTGTCTGTAGCATTAATCTGGCATGCAGCATGACTCTCACTTGGGGAATTATGCCGGTCTTTGCCAGAGAACTGCAAACTGAATTTTTTTTTGTCATTATACTGTATGAGATTTGCATGCAGTGAAGTTGCTCTATTGCACCTTCAACTTTGACCTCATTGCCTCTACTGTGCAACCATGGCTCAGAGTGTAATATGGTGAAATGCAATCTGCATAAATAGACAGATTATGATAAAACTGTGGTGTTTAGAAACAGGGATTTGCTATAATAATAATAATAATAATAATAATAATACATTTTATTCAAAGTCAAGATCACCTTACAAGTCAAAGTTGAAAAAACGAACAGCAGTATAGAAAAATAGCAAAAATATGTTTTAGCAGGAGTCAGTGAAGCGAAGGACAGGAGTGATGTGGTTAATAGAGGAGGTTCTGGTTTTGATGCAGTCTGCAGAGATCTGGATGGAGTTGAGAGGGAGACCAGCGAGAAGGGAGTTGCAGTTTTCAGTGTGTGAGATAACCGGGGTGTGAACGAGAATGGTGGCACTGTTGGGTGTGAAGGATGAATGGAGGTGATTAATGTTTGTAGATGGAGAAAAACTGAGTATTTGTCTAAGTGGGTTTGAAACAAATGAGGAGAACATGAGTTTTATTGCTGTTTGATTTGAAAAGGTTGCAGGTGAACAACTATTTGATTTCTTTTTGGTACAGAGGGAGGAGAGTGGAGGGAATGAAGTGGGTTTGGTGGACACGTGGAGCTGGGTGTCATCGACGCAACAATTAAACTGGATGTTGAATTTACAGAGAGATGAGGAAGTAAAAAGATGATTGATGGAGGGGGGGCCCAGGACAGAACCCTGGGGGACACCGTTAGTAACTTAAAATATCTAATAAAATAAAACTTACTTTAGATAATTTAGTGTGACTTGATTTTGGCGTGTCAGTGATGTCTAAATGTTGTGGAGGTTGTTTACTGGAACATAGTCTCACTTTTAAAGAGCCAACAAAGTTGTAAGTTCCTGTCCCCCAACACAGGTTTGTTCTGTAATATTAGATTGACTTACCCAGATCAGATTTTAAGGGCTGTTTACTCCCCTTAGTTAGGGCCTGTGTCCACTGGCAGCACCTTATTCTGATGTAAAACCAACACACTCCTCAGTGGCCGAGATACCAGAATCTCTTCAGGTTTAGCAAAAAAAAAGTTCTAATTTGGGTAAACTTCAGTTCTTAGTAAAGTCTCTTTTAAATCACCGACCAATCAAATTTAAGAAGGGGCGGGACTTCTGATGTAAAATAACAACAACAGTGGGGGTCTGTGAGGAGACTTATCACTCATTTTCTCAATCATGTAATTTCTGTGTCTAAATCTGTTGCTAATGCTGCACATCTATTGATTCTTCAAAGCCATCAGTGGACACAGGCCCTTACTCACTGAAGCGTGTGAATAAGAACAGCCCTTTTTGATCTGTATACTGAGACTTCAGATGGTTATCGTCGTCACTTGTTAATAGCAGAAAGGAGAGTTTGTAGTTAGTGAAACTTGGACGTGAGAGAGTGAAGTTGTCAGTGAAATCATGAGTATGAATGGGTTTTGGAAACAGCCCTAGCATGGGTCATATAGACAGTTAAAGACAAATTAAGTAATTGAAGGTTGGAGAGTAGTTGTTAAATTATTAGTTGATGGATCTCATTGACTGATAGATGATTATTGCTCATGCAGAGCAGTCCTCTCGTTGCTCTCTGACGGACTTTGTTTTCAGTATGTTGTAGTTACAGTCTCATCCCTCGGGTTTTCTCAGGATCCAGGCTCCCATCTGAATCTCACAGTTCCCGCTCTCTTCTTGTTGTCCTACATAACTGTAATGAGTTTTATCCCGGGGGGAGGGAACTGTCAAAATTATAAACAGACGATGACAAATTCTGCTCTAACCTGCTAAGAAGACTCACACGTAGGTAATGCTTCTGATTTAGAGTACGTACAACTTGTTCCAGGTCAGAACTGAAGAAACACGACTCCATGAGCGAAGAGAACTTAAAACCTGGGTTAAAATCTGCCCTGACACACTCACAGAGGCGGTTTACATCAAGAAAGTAGATTTCATTAGATAAGATTCAAACATATATTTAATTCCAGCTTCGACTCGTGTCGTGCAGGTGTAGGAGATGGTTGAGATTTAAAGTGGAAAAAGAGCGGTCTGCAGCCAGCTGGCGGCGGCAGGTGACAGCAGCCCCTCCCACTCCGTGTGGGTCGGCACAGGAACTCTTCTGGGACTGCAGGGGGGACAGATGCACATTCACAAACGTCCATCCTGTTTCCAGTGTGGTCGCAGGGCTTCCTGTTATGTGGAACACGCCAAATTAAATGTCAAAACAAATGAAAACAGAGTGTTATTGTCAGAGTTAATCATATCTCTATCCCGACTCACTGCTGACAGCCGTATTCCCGGGAGAAACGCTCTATTCTTCTTTCTTAACCGGCAGGCTGCCTGTGTGCAGTTGTCTGTCTGAGCCTCACTCTTAGCTCAAGTGTCAGGGAAAAAGCCGCGTGTTTAACTCAACAATAACCACGGCTCAAAGGCTTCAGGCAGGCAAATCACATGAGCCTTGTTTGGATGGAGCCTGCGGCTGCGTTCACTTCTTAAAACGGAGACGAAAAACGGTTGAAAACAAGCAAACAGAATACTGACGGACTAATTTCAGGGTTTTTGGCACCAAACATATCTGACATGTTCATTAGTATTGTGTTTATGCCAGAGCGACCATACGTCCTCTTTTACGCGGACATGTCCTCTTTTGTTGGGGCTGTTCGGCCTTGTCCGACTTTGTCTGGGGAAGTAAATAAAGTCCTTCAAATATTCAGGGTTTTGTATGAAAGTTTCAAGTTTGTGTCACATGGACTTACCAAGTTAGAAGCACGTAAAAGACACACGATCCGACTCACCCCCTTGGAGTCAGGTCCGCTTTTAGGGATTGAGAATATGGTCACCCTGGTTTATACCATCAAATATTCTCAAGAGGAGTTTTAACTTTAAATTTAGGTAACTTTAAATCATGTGTCGCTGTAATCAGAGTTGGCCACACTAACAATAGTCTGTCAATCAGTTTACTGTTAATTAACAGAGGCTGTGTTTTGATATGCTGTTCAGAGAACTGCTCTTCATGTTTTACTAATTTTTCACGTCGATGTTGGTTTAAAAATCAATTATTGAAACTTTTACATTCTGCTAAACTTTTTTTTATTGTCAGTTGAGAAAGAAGAGGGATCCAAACTTCGCTCTTAACGTGATAAGATGGATCACAGACAACTTGAGCAAAATCATACGGCTTTTACGAATAATTTACGGTTTTAATAAGATACACATTTAGTCAAAGGTTTGAGATATGAGTTTAAGAGAGGAGGAAAAAGAGGAATTTTTTCAAGCCGAGGGAATTTACATGTAAATGAGAGAAAAATCCCACAGCGAGGCTCCGACTTTAGACCGTCACACCTTCAAACACACCTGTCAGGCCTGTCGTCTCTTCAGACTGTTAGAGTTATGTCATTTCACACATTTTTGCAGACGTCTGAGCCTGAAAAGCTCAAAGATGTGATGTTGATGCATGGACACCATCATCTCTTCACCGTTTCTGTCTCACCTGTCAGAACCAGGTCTTTGTTTTACAGAGATAATCAGGGTTTCTAGATGTCTCACTCTTCAGCAGATCAGCTCCTTAAAACAATAATATTCACACATGCAGATCACTTCTACATCGACGCTGACTTAAATAGATTCAAGAGATGCTCAGAAGGTCAGAGGTCAGCCTTTGACTGTCAGCTCCTCTTTTTAACTGTGTTGTTTGACCATGAGAAGTGATAGAAATCCGACTGTTCAGACTTACAGGCTGTTTTTTTAGCTCCTGCTCCTGATAAAAAGTGAGTCTCAGTGGATTTATCCTCCACCTGGCCCTTTGAGCTCCTGTCTCCTTCCTGTCATCCTTTAAATCTCCTCCGTCTTCCTCCTCTCAGCTGTGTGATCCGGTGTTTGTGTCATTGGCTTTACGCATTAGAGCCGCGCAGCATCAACGACGGCGAGCTGCCTGACGGCGTCTCAGGAGCAAGTTTGACGGTTTCTGCAGCGGAAAAGTCGTGATGCGTGATGATGATGCATTTTTCTGAAATAACAGATCGACTCGTTAAAAAGAGGATCGACTTTGATTCAGAGCAGCTTTATCTTCATTAGCCGTAAAGTGTGTATCCCTGCGGTTACAGTCACAAGATGTGTGTGTGTTTGTCCTTGCTAATAAAGTGTAATCTGATCAGTGAGTCCAACCAAACAAAGGTTACCTTGAGAGGAACAAGGTTGCGGTCACATTGTTTGTGTGTCACTGGAGCAGGACAACACCGTTCACGAGTCACTTTAACTCGATATAAAACTTTGTACTTGTTAAATTTGATCTGTTTAGTTCCTGGTTGTTCAGAAAACAATAAAGCAGAATTCATGTTGTATTTGTGGATTTTTAAACCTGCAGTTTGAGACACCGTAGAGTTTTCCTTTTGAACAGAGGTGGACGGACATCCTGCAGATTACAGGTTTGATCTTTGTGCGGTTAAATGAAATTATTAACTCACTATGAAGATGCATTTCTGATCAGCCTTTTTTAGTTTTCTCAAAGCAGATCAAACTTACAAACTATTTGTGCATCAGGTTAGAAAAGTGTGATCTGAAGTTTGGATAAATTAATATTTTTCATCTCCAACTTGTAAAACTAAAGAAGCGTATTACATTATCCAAAAAAAGCAGTTTTCAGACTTTTTTTCAGATTTTAGGGCTGTTTTTTGTTTGTTTTTCAGACTAATTGTTTTTTTCTGTTCTCTGGGATCATGATCTTTTAAAAACAGACACTTTCCTCCCCCTCTGCTCGAGTTATTGGAAGCAAACATGGCCCACTTGTTCAATTTAATCAAGTTTGACTTTCTTTTGGGTTGAGACTCTGAGAGATCCTCCTTTCTTTAAGTCGAATAGATGGAATCGTCATAAGTTTGTCTACTTAGGATGATTCCCTATGTTTAACTTGTAAGATGCTTTACTCTCTTTGACCCCGTAGTCAGAGTTATGTAGGAGCTGGAGAACCCGCTGATTTGGAGCAGCAGCGGTGGTTCACATGATCTGATTGTATGAGATTCTCGCAGGATTTTGAAGTATCTTGTTTTATCTGGAAAAAAATAGTCAGAAAAACTATAGACAAAAAAAATTGTACGAAAAAGAGAAAAAAAAATTGTCAAAAAAAAAGAAAGAGGTTGAAAAAATATTAGTTAAAAGAAAAAAGTCAGAAAAACAGCAAATATTTTTTTATTTAAAAAAAAACTGCTTTTTTTTATTAATTTTTTTAAAAATGGATTTGTATTTTTGTAGTGCATTTTCTCTCTTAAAGTACAGATTTTTTTCAGGCATTGACATAATTTCTTTCCCAAGTTTCACTAGAAGAAGACAAAGTCTGGTGTAAATATCTGCATTACCACCTCTTCGACTTTTTGAAACTTCGATCATCTATAAATGTTCTGAAAGACGTATGTTGCCCCCTGAAAACAGCGGCTAAAATTGTCTTTAAAATCGTCTTTTGTTGGTGAACGATCTAAATATCCTGCTTGCAGAACAGTTTGCTTGTTAGCCTCCCTGCAGAAGATCCATGTGGGTCAGTTTAGATGCTAAAGTTGCGACCCTGCTTCTTAAAAGTTTCTGTTTGAGATCTTTCTTGATTGCAGCAGAAGTTTGAGAATTTGACACCATTTTCTGCTGTCGAGCAATAACAGAACTTTTTCCTAGAGGTGGTGTTACGTGGAGGTTTTGTTGTGTTTCATGAGATTTCTGCCACAGCCAGAGTCATGCTCCTCCTCCTGTTGGCTCCTCAGGTGTCCTTTTTAATGGAGCCCTGAGTACAGATGTGATTACAAACCTGCAGGGAAATGCTTTTGTTGCCATCACAGATGTTAACGGTTGCTGACGTGCTGACTGGCTGAATGAGACCACAATCTGTGACCTGAACCCTGATGGGTTTTCCCTTCTGGCCAAGTTTGGATGAAGTTTGGAGTGAAAATGAAAAACAGTCCACCTCACAAACCCGATCGCTGCATTACTCATTCTCTGACCTGAGTTATTGTTGTGGTATTTCAGATTTGGAGGCTCCTGCTCTAATGTTTGAGTGTTTGGCTGTTCGCTGTGTGAAGTAGTTTGTCATTAACGTGTCGTTTATCGTCGGTTCGTCGGTTCGTCCACTACTGTGTGAGCAGCGAATGTCCATCAGTGATAAATTAGGGATTGTGCCTTCCACCTCTCTCATCTCCCTGTTCTTCTATTCTTAGCCGGTGTGTGGTGAGCGAAGGGTTTAGAGTTACAGAGACTTCTCCCTCTCTCTCTCTTTTTAACTCCTCTTCCTCGCTCTGCTTCTTCTTCCCCTCTCAAACTGCAGGGCTGCTGCTGCTGCTGCTGATGATGATCACTGTAAGGTGGAAATTAAGCTTACATAAGCGTGTGACCTGAAGGATACCGCCACATATTTATCCAGCCTCTGCTCTGCTGAGTATTGGAGATGCCTTATTGGAAATGCATCTATTATTATCGCCGCACGTTACTGAAGCGCTCTGGATAGGATAGGCGGATAGGCCCTGTGTGACGGTCATGGAAGTTTTTGGCGAGGGCAGTGGTGCTGAAATGTACAGCAGGGGGTCCCCCATTGAAAATAAGGACAAAGAGATTTACTGTTTTATCATTATTTAAATCCTCAGGGACACACTGGTGTCCTGAGGGGGAGGGGAACATCTCCTGATTGTTAAATAGTCAGCAAAGGCATCAAAAGTTCTCAATATTTGGAAATAATCAGAGAAAAGGAAGTTTTTTTTTTTATCCCTCCAAAGTTACGATAAACTTTGATTTTGTTACATTTTCCTTTCCAGTCCTTTCCTCTGAAACAACATCAACAAGTGAGGAGAAAGAAAGTGTTGTTAGAGAGTATGCTGTTGGCGTGGAGTACCACAGGGGTCTGTCCTTGGTCCTCTGTCGTTTCGCTCTGTATCTTGCACCACTCGCTCAGAAAGTGTTTTCTTTTTTTAGCATCATTTCCACCTCTATGTTGATGACCTGCGGTTATAAATGCTGGTTGTTGCAGGAAATAAAAATGGTTGTAGAACAGAGTGTATGCATCTTTTTGCATCATTTTTAGGTTCTTCTGAGTAAATTCGTGAAGAACCTAAAAGTGATGAATTCGCTGCTACATTTTGTCACAGGTTGGAGAGTATAAAGCTCTAAAGTTTGTCATTTCTAACATCCAGACTTTAAACCTAAATGTCTCTTTTGCAACAACCATGCCGAATAAATAATTAAGATGTTGAGTGGCAAACAAACACGTGTGCATGGATCTGATTTAGTGATGCAGAAACATATTTAAGGGACGTAACTGAAAATATCAGAGTAAAGTTTGTTTAATTTGGGGAAAGAAAAGAAAAGGTGACTCCAAGTGTCGTCTGCTGGTGTTTCATGACGTGTGTCTGCTACCAAAGTTTGTGAATGAAATCATCTACAGAATATAACATCGTCAAGGATTGAGAGAATTTGGAGAAATCTACAAAACTGAAAAGGCCCGGAATAAACGTCTGTGATATTCAGGCCCTGCATTTAAGAGACATGACTCTGGGCTCTAAATCACCTCCACAAAACCATTATCTGTGAACACAGTTTGTTGCTGCATTCATAAATGAAATCGTACCATGAAAGAGAAACATATTTAGAAGCTGCAGGAGGGACCTGTTGAGAAGCCAGCATCCGTGTGTGTATGAGGGTCCATAAGAGCCCACAACACGGGTCGATTACACATCTGAAGGACATCAAAACTGCTGATCTATATATAAGAGTATTGGAGTAACATGCTGCCGTCCAGACAGAGCCTCTTTAATTTTCAGTTTGCTATTATGAAGATATTTTCATGGTTTTTATGTGTCAGCAGAAACAGTTTCTGACTTTAAAAAAAGTCATTTTAGTCAAAGTCAGATTGAATTTATGACAAAATATGAAACTAACTGAGGCCTCTGTTAAAACTAAACCTCACAAACATGTTCTCTCTCTCTGTCTCTCTCTTGCTCTCTCTCTCTCTCTCTCTCTCTCTCTCTCTCTCTCTCTTGCTCTCCCTCTCTCTCTCTCTCTCTCTCTCTCTCAGTGCCTCCTGCCCAGAGTGTGCAGCGGTGTGTATGAGAGAGTGTGTGTGTATGTGAGCCGGAGCCGCAGGAGCCATGTCTGACCCCAGGGACATCGACGAGGATGCCATCCTCAAGGGCCTCAGTCCAGAGGAGCTGGATCAGCTGGAGTATGAGCTGCAGGAAATGGACCCAGAGGTACAGAGGGGGGTCCGATTCTGATGCTACAGGTCCACGAGTCCAGAAAGAGCAAAATCTCAACCTTTGATTCCCTGCTTTCCCAGAATGCCATGCTGCCCGCTGGCTTCCGGCAGCGTGACCAGACGAAGAAGAGTCCGACGGGTCCATTTGACCGCGACGCCCTGCAGCAGCACCTGGAGAAAGAGGCCATGGAGCAGCCGGACAGGGAGGACCTGGTCCCCTTCACTGGGCAGAAGAAAGGTGGGGGCGAGTTAGAGGACCATGTCTAAGGGACCAAACAAATCTAGATAACTTCTCCTAGATGCTGTTTCTATATTGTTACAGTGACTCCTCAGATATGAAGACCTGGATGGGCTGTTTTCTTCCAGCTCTGCCTCATAGTTCGGGGTCTGTGCAGGTTGTTTTTGCAGATCAGGGGCCATTTGAGAGCGACATACTCGGACGTACACCAGGGAGCGATCGGCTAATTACAGCAGAGTTCCCATGCTGCTCATCTTATAAACGGGAATAGATAACAAAACAGAGATCTGTGCGTCCTGTAATCTTTAAACTGTGAGAAAAGACAACAAAAGTCCGGCTCCAGAAGACAACTGAGTTTATTGGAGCTGCTCCATAAATCCCTGATAAGCCCGGGCTCACCCGTGTTTGGGAAACATGATCCCAACGGAGCTTTTACCAAAACAGAGACAAATGTCCGCTGTAGAAGAGCCTCCTGTCAGATAACAGGAGGAGAAAAGAAGTCGTCTGAGTTCGACTCTCCACTTTTATGTCTTCGGTCGTATCTGAACTCCTCCGTCTCTTCTGTCTGCAGGAAAAGCTTTTGTTCCAAAGCCCCCAGCAGAGATCCCTGCACACGAACAGGTGCTGCTGGAGCCGGAGCTGGAGGAGGCTCTGAAGAACGCCACGGATGCAGAGATGTGTGATATCGCAGGTAAGACCAACACCCCTAAACCCCTAAATGTGTACAAATGTCCGCCCCTCCCACAGTGTCCTCTGTCTGTCCTCGCCCTGTTTCCCATCAGCTTATTAAGACCGTGACCTCGGTGTGTCCTCAGAACAGCTCTGACCCACATAGATCTATTAGACAGACCCGGTTATCTCCCTGCTGTTCCGGCTCCATATTGTTCCTGAGCTCAGTGGTCTCACATGCAAAGGGGGTCTAATTCCCCTTCGCTCAGCAGCACCAAAATAAATGAGCCCGGTGAGGGACGTCAGTGTGAAGGAAGGGTGGAGTGGACATGGAGACGGTGGGGGCAGAGAAGATAGTCTATCTGTTTACGACAGACCAGGAGGAAGCTGCTGTGTCCACGGAGAGACGAGCGACAGTTAGTTTCCTGCAGAGAACTGAATCAACAGTTTAGAGAGGAGTCTACGGCTCGTTCATACATGAAAACATCAGGAAGGACGTGGTCACAGATCAGACGTTTAGAGTTCAGAGTTCTTAATTATCTCTCAGAGTTTAATGACAGTCGAGCTGTTTGGTTGCAAATGAATCCACCAAAGCGATCTGAAATGTCGTCTTTGTGTCGAAAATATGAGTTTTACATGTTGGGAAAGTTTATAATCCTCGTCTTTGGTAAATAACCGGATAAACGGCAGAGGAAGTGTGAAACTGTGAGCTTTAAGAGTTCATCATCCAGGAGAGTGAAGAGTGATGTCTCTCAGGAGGAGACTGTTTAAAGTCTTTTTATCCAGTTTGATGTGGATTTGCTGAATTTTGAGTTAACCAAAAATTTACTGATACCAAAATTTATGAAAATAACCGACGTCATTTTGTCCATATCGGTATATTTGGTGTAAAATAGATAAATCAATCAAAGTTGTTTTTGGATGTGTGTAGGTAGGCTATGGTCTCATGTCCCTTTAAGACACTGTCCTACATCAGACACGTGACTCCACCCCATCCAGTCAAAGAGGGAAAGACAGGTGAGGAGATGGAGGACGGAGAGAAAGTTGTAGCGGCTGAAGTAGACGAAGTTAATGTGGGAGGGGGTGAGCAGCTTGTGGAGTAGTTATCGTCCATTTATCGTTATCAAGGTGAACTGATCAATATATCGTGATATTGATTTAAGGACATATCGCCCAGCCCTATTATGAGCCCTTTTACTGTCAAATAGACCTCATGATTGGGAAGTATCTGTCACCTCTACTTCTCAAAACTCATGTTGGCATTATTTATGGTTACCCCTTAATCACTGTCCACAGCTGATGGTCACTTCTGGCCTGAAAAAACCAACATATGATGACCTGACGGATGATGAAATCATGTTTTTCTTGCTGTGACAGATTATTGTTGGAAACTTCGATAAACTCCTGTAACTTTGACGTAGCTAGGTTGTGTTGCTCCTCACCCCGCTGAATAAGAGCTAAACTGACCTGACTTTAAAAATCGGTTAAATTGAATCATAAAAGTCTTTTCTCTCCTCGGTGTGAACACCCTGTCTCACTCTAACAGGCCGAACAGACGGGCAGGCATCCGGAAAGGCCGAGCAGGGGGAGCCTATTTGTCCGGCTCCATCAGCCTGTCAGGGAGACCACCGCCGTTTTAACCCTGGATGGAGTCCAGCTGAGGATTAAACCTCAGTTAGCCCCTGTCACTCTTTTGTGTGGGCTTTTTGGCGAACAGGCTAAAAGGGGATGAATAGCCTGGCTGTCCCGCTTCATGAGTTCAGGGCGGTACTGGTCCAACACGTCCCCCTGGTGACTTCATTTCCACTTTTCTTTGAGTTAACGTGTCGCTATATTGAGATTTTCCCTTCTCCGCGGTGTAGCTCACGCTGTGAAGCTACTGTGGGTTATTCTAAGAGCTAAACTGGATGACGGCGGGGTGTTTATGGTCGGTAACGCCCCCCTGAGCAGGCAGCTGTCTCCCTCTGCCTCCCTCTCCTCACAAGGCCTCCCCCACGAGACCCCACACACCAGGTCAGGAGGCTGGAAGGTGGACTGAGGGTGGAGAGGAGGGGCTGCTGTCACTGCAGTTGGTGTGTGACACAGTTTAGCAGGTTTCAAGAGCGAGAAAGAGCCAGGTAGTCTGCCCCCTTCTGGTCTCAAACTGTAACTGCATGTGAAGAAGTTCCTCCTGCTAATAAAAAGAGATGATATTCCCAGCAGAGGAGAGACTGCGTGTGTGTTCCTCAGACAGTGACCCACTTCTGTTGTCACTACATCCTTTGGGTCTCTGAAAACTGGAAGATTACAACCAGCGCCTGAGTCTCCTGCTGAGTTTGGATAACGCCGCTCTTATCTTGTCAAACAGAAACACTCAGCAGAGCCAAACACGAGGCCGAGGGAAAACACAGACTGGGACTCATTTGGTTTTGGACTCAGAATCGGGTCCAGATCAGACACAGTTTGTTTGCAAACACTCGGGGATGACAGAGACGCAGAGAGAAAGAAAGAGCGCGGGTGTGTTCATCTTTGTGTGTGTTTGTGTCCTCGCAGCTATCCTGGGAATGTACACGCTGATGAGCAACAAGCAGTACTACGACGCGCTGGGCACCACGGGAACCATCGCCAACACAGAGGGCATCAACAGTACGTACATGTGTGTGTGTGTGACGGTCCACTCAGGACGGCTTAGACTACTGTGGAAAGTCATCACTGTGCTGAAGTGAAGCGTGGCGTTCAGTGGTCAGGTAGCGACAAGAAAGAGAAGGTTTTTTTATATTATATTTGAAGCAGTAGTGTCTGCAGGAATCAGAAAAATGCTTCATATGAATGATCGATGTAAATGGTGATGGTCTGGTTTTCTTCTGTAGTTCATATAGAAGCTTTAGAGTTTAATTCAGTAGGAGTTAAAAACTCCTTATGGGAGCTTTAAATAGACTATAATGTGTGGCCTTGTGATCAGTTGCTCAATGAAGGTGTGAATTCAATAACTAATCCCTTCAATCAGCGTCCGTGTCTTTGAGATACATGGAATAGTGAACATTACACACTGTGTGACTCCTCTGCTGTGATGCTGCGTCTCCTGCAGGTGTAGTGAAAGCAGATCCTTTCAAGGTTTTCCCTGATGAGCCTCCCAACACCACCAACGTGGAGGAAACCCTGGAGAGGATCCTGAACAACGACAGCAGCCTGACTGAAGTCAACCTCAACAACATCAAGGTGAGCGGGACACAGGAAAGAGTTTAACCGAACCGTTTAGATATTTTCTGAATCTTTTTACACTCAGTTTTCCATGTATTAATATTACTTTACTCTGTCAACATATGTGAGCACTTTCTGTGTGCGCTGCAGGACATTCCCATCCCAACACTGAAAGAGATCTTTGAGGCGATGAAGGGAAACTCTCAAGTGGAGTCTCTGAGTATTGCTGCAACCCGAAGCAACGACCCTGTGGCTTATGTAAGTATGACATTTTTTAAGACAGCTGACGACTCTTTTATATATAACTTTACTGTTAAGGATTTAATTCTCTGTTATATATTCTTGGAGCCACATATGTCACAAATAAACATCTGACTTACCGTTTTAAACCTGCGCCCTGCAGCCCCGTTATTCCTCCAGACGGCTGATTTTCTGACTTAAGTCCATAATTCAACTAAAGCCGCTGGATTTCAGGGTTTCTTGGGGTAAAACAAAAATCTAAGAGGCTTTTTAAGCGTCTTAACTTTTAGCATAAGAGGAAAGGTTTTCACGTAAGGATAAACGTTTTTATGAGGATGTAGCGAGGCGCTTTAAAAACAGTATTTCCTGATATGTGTGTTACTGTGTGTGTCAGGCGTGTGCTGAGATGCTGCAGGAGAACACCAGCTTGCAGAGTCTTAATATCGAATCCAACTTCATCACTTCAGACGGCATGATGGCGATCATCAAAGCTGTGGCCAAAAACGTCTCACTGGTGGAGCTCAAGATTGACAACCAGGTCTGAAACATCAAGTTTGAGGCTTAAACAACTCGGATTTTATGAACTCAAATGGGTTGAGACTGTTCAGACGTGAGATTTTCTTCTTCTTACCGACACAGAGGCAGAAGCTCGGCGACTCCGTTGAGATGGAGATCGCCTCCATGCTAGAAAACAACTCCAGCATCCTCAAATTCGGCTACCACTTCACCCAGCAGGGTCCCCGCGCCAGAGCCGCCATGGCCATCACACGAAACAACGACATGCGTGAGAAACACAAACTTTTTAAAACTCCAGAGATTTACTCTGAACTCTGCAGAAGAGAACGAGAATTTTCAGTCAGATGTTGTTTAATAAAAGTAGAAAAAACAAATTTCTGAGTTTAATATTTATTCAGGGTGAAAATCTTTCTTTCCTGATATTTTCTTCCTGCAGTTCGTCAGCAGAGATTAAGATGAGGACGGCGCGGAGCAAACAGAGGAAATTACAGACAAACAGCCGGTGTGCCAGCTTTCCCAGCATCGGCGCTGGAGTTGAATGAGTTTTCCCAGATGAAGCTGGATTATTGTGCATGGTGCAACCCAATTAACATCCATGACTGATCATTTCATTTCATTTGCCACCTCCAGCTTTTGTGTAGACTGCTGATTGATCATAAAGGCATGTATAGGTCACAAGCAAAAATGTGAAGTGTCTTTTTTTTATGCTTTTAGTTTGTGCATCGCCGACATTCATCCCCAAACCGAAACAAGTTAACCCCTTTTCATCCATGAAAACACCTTTCTAATGTGGTGCTATCTGTGGGAGGAAAACCTACTGTAAATACTTTAAATAAAAATCTATATTCAAGTATTTTTTGTAAATGTTTGGCAAGTTTAATTTTGTGTTTCAACACCTTATCCTGTCGTTGGTTTATTACAATGAGGAGTCAAGATCCGGGTTTGCGAACAGGACGGTTCAAACATGCCGGAAATGTATCCTGGTGAGTTAACGCTAAAGCAACGTTCACAGAATAACCACAGAAATAAAAACGGGGTAAATTACAGTGAAAATAACAACATTATGAAATCAATATTATTATGGACCCTTCAGTCCTAAAAAAAGTCTTTTTTTTTTGTAATTGTCAGAATAACTCTTAAAAGACGACATTGTCCGAACAATATCTTGTGCACAATATTATATGTGCTTAAAACTTGTGCACACATGATCAAGTGCAAAAGAGCATTATTTTGCATGCACAAGATAAAGTGCACGCCAAAAAAAGTTGTGCACAAAAGACAATTATAATGTTCTCACAAGATAAATTAGTAAGATGTTTACATTATGTGCTTTAGATAATAACTTAAATGTAACATATTGTGTACATGACAATTATCTTGTGGTTCTACTTGTGAACACATGATAATTACTTAGGTGCACAAGATTATAACGTTTGCACACAGGATATCTTGTGCAAAAACTTCAACCATTAAGTCCTCATTAGATCATTAGTTTTTGTGCACAAGATTATAATGTCCTTGCAAGATAATTACTAGTGTGCACAAGATAATCACAATGTGCGTGCAAGACAATTCGTGCACAGATCATAATGTCTTGTGTTTGTTTTGCATGCACAATGTAATATCTTGTGCATACAGCATGTGCACACATGCTAATCATATTGTGTGCACAAGATACAATGATTAAAACACTGTAGTTAAACAAAACTTAGACAAAAGTTGTGATGGTAATGTAAGATAAAAGTTCCGTATTAATATGGGAGTGTTTTTTTTTCCAGATGTGTCAGTCTAGATGCCTCACAGCAACAGGGATCTCTGTGTGTTTGAGTTTTTAAATGACCCGTTTGACCCTTTTTTATATTTTTTATTCTTCCACTTTCACGTGTTTAAATCAGAGACTCTGGACTCACAGATTGAGGTCTGTGACAGCTGTCCTGAGGGTAATTGTTCGACTCCTGGGAGGATATTATTACCTACTTCATGTTGACCACAGACTGAAATGAATACAGTCATCTCAAACCTCATGATTTTATAAGTAATGATCCGGCTGAGTTGGACTGACATAAACTGCAGTTTACTGATGAACCTTCATGTAAAGATTCACAGGCTTTAATCCCTCTAAGTCTCTCCGGATCCTCTCACTTCACTCAAGCACCTGAGCTATTTTTAAAACTCTGACGGGAAACACAACCTGCTTGGCTGGGCTTGGGTTACCTTGTTCCAAATATAAGGAGCAACTTTAAGAGGGCTGGCAGCCAGTGTGCACCCAGAGATTTATGAACAGAAACAGCTGCTAACCTCTGAGGATTTTCACAGCATTGCCCGGGTTCCTGCTCGGCCTCCTCTCGTGTCTTTAACCTCTTTTCTTATTTCTTAATAAGGCCTGGATGTAAAATCGACTTTTACATGAAAACAAGTGTAGAACAGCCTGTTAGACCTCCTGCAGGGCACATATTCAGAGGCATTTGGCATCTCCAAAGTCTGACCATGCCAGAGTCTATTCTGAGGGTTTCACTTCTCTTTGAACACCCTTTCAAAGTAAAACGCAGGTGTGATTTTGGATTGCAGTTTCAAATAACATTACTGTGGAGCAACAAAAGTGGCAAAAAATAAAACCTGTAAATGACAGAAATGAAAGTGTAGAAAAATAAAAGCTCTTTTTAATTAATGCATAAATCTTAGAGTCTTTCACATGCGTACAGATGTTTTTAAAAAATGCATATTTTTCTTGACCACACATGTTAAGTTTTTAAAAATTTCTCAGTCCCCATAACAAAGCCAAAGTGGTTCAGAACACCCGCACAAGCATGTCAGACCAGTAGGTGGTGATAAAGTTTAATCAGTCTGTGATGCACACATGAAGAAGACACATGACAAAACGTGAATAATTGTTCAAATTGAGGTAATATTGTCAGTCCTAAAACTTTCATCTTCAGTGATCTAAACCCAAAATGCAGTAAAAAAATATGTTTCCAAATATCCAAGTACAAATATCTCAAAAAGAGAAAATTATTTTTAAAAAACACCCTCCGGTGAGTTTTTTCAAAAATATAAAGAAGTAATTCAGGCTGAAATGCTTTTAAAAACCGGATAGTAAAAATGATAATTTCTTCTTTTGAAAACAGCATTTTAACATGGCGTTGATAGGACTTCTTGAACTTTTGCAGCCAGCCCCTAGTGGACGCTTTAAGAACTGCACTTTTCAGCACTTCTGCTTTGGCTTCAACATTAGTAGTTCCTACTTGGTGCTCCAGCATCCTTAAAATTCAATATTAATTATATAATAACATTAACAGGGACATGAACCTCCTTAAATTAAGTCCTTAAATTACAGAAATGATGTGAAGAATGAAGGTATGTTTGAAAATAATGTTGCAGAGTTAAAGTCAGTGTGCTACGAAAACAAAGTTGTTAATTTAGTCACTATATTTAAGGATGATTTAAGGACACACTCCATGTTCCTCATAAAAACTACGCCTTTATTCTCATGACCATATGACTTCAACCTTGTAACTTAATTCTCATGATATTTTGACTTCAGGGTTTATTGTTGTAAAATGACTTTATTCTGAAATCTTGAATATGATTCCTGCATATTTATCTACATGAATTTTTGTCATTTTCCTTCATATGTCCACCTTTTTTCTGAAAATATGATTTTATTATTTGTTCTTGTGTTTTCCTTCTTCGCTGTGACTCCATGGTTGGATCGTGTGCAGGCCATGTTTTCCACATTACGCCATCCTCGTCCTCTTTTCTCGAACTTTTAACCCTGAAGTGATCTCCTTCATATCAAAGGTCATCAGAATATATTATAGATAGTTTTACAAGTGTTTACGAGTCAGAGAGCCAAGTCTCCACAACAAGTCAGACATAGCTCCGTCATGCTAAGTGCCTTTCCATGTTGTGTTGGCACTCCAGGCCCTGAAATAATGAAGTGAGCGTGCGCTGGACACATATTAGTGGTGTCATCAGAAACTAACCCATGTTAATTCCCCGCACCCCCACCCGCTGACCCTGACGGTGTTATCCAATTTATACCAACTACCCTGGAAGCAGCGCTGGATGTGCACACAGTGAGGAATGCTAACCAGTGGCTTCTCTACCAAAATTAGCGCCCGCACGGCCTAACTGCTGCTGATCGGCAGGAGAGCGGACTGAGGATTAGTCCGATCATTTGAAAGGGTTAAAATAGACAATGGACAATGGAAGTAGTCTCAGTCTATATGTAGGTGAAGATATTCTCAGCTGAGGGGTCAGAGGTTTGTTCAGTCTAAGATGAGACTGAAGGCCGGTCTGGATAACTGATTCAGAAAGTGACAAGGACTAAGAGAGGGACTAGAGATGTGCAAACTGTGTAATCATCAATGAGTGATACTTTTTAAAGACACAAAATACTTTTAAAACTTTCCTGTTTGTTTTTAGGAGTTTTTGAACCTTTTCAAACTTTCCAGGTCAGATTTTAGATTCGAAACACATGACCATGATTCATTATGCGCCAGTTTGACTAGAGAAAAACTGGTTAACTCAATGATGTGTACTTTGCAGCATGGCAACAGTGGAAGAGGATTCTGAAGAGTTGAGTTCCCAAGTGTTTGAAGGGGTTTATGTTGTGTGTTCCATTTGATCTTGGGAGTTCAGGAATTCCTGTCCAATATGTCACCTGGAAAGCTCCCTAAAGTTGTAATTTCTCAGGGTGACCATACGTCCTCTTTTACCCAGACACGTCCTCTTTTTGGGAGGGCTGTCCAGCTGTGAGAGGCACGGAAGTTGTGTCAACTGTATACCTGGCTATCGTTCGCCTCAGTGGCTTTTGGGATCATTTCGGCGGGCGAATTAAGTCACTGCAGCTGTACTGAAGTGTTCCAGACAGTGGACACTGTCAGAAGAGCCGAGTTCAATCATGTATCTCTCCTCTTAAAAGTGAAGTTTCTGTCCCTTCTTGATGCTTCATTCAGTGGCCAAAAAAGACAAAAATTTGATCAAAAAGAATTTAATATTCAAAAAATACAAATATGTTTATTTAAATATGAGTTTATTGGAAAAATTGAACCATTGAAAGCGTCTTCTGATGATCACTGCTGAGTTAAAATCTTGTTAAATCCCGAAGGTGAGTCCTCAGATTCCACAGGCAGAGTCAGAACTCATTATGAGGTTCATGTATTCAGTATTTCACCCCTGAATAATCCACGGTGGCACCGGCTAATCTGTATTTTCCCACAGTTCTTAGCTCTCTCAGGGGTTTGTAGGAATGGAGGGCAGTGAGGGCGGCTCCTCCTCGTCTGAATCAAACTCCACGTTCTCATCCTTCACCCACTTGCCGCTCCGGTCCTGCAGCCACCCGTTGCTAAAAAAAAGAGGTAAAGTAACATTAAAAAAACGCAAACACTGAGAGGAAGGATTCACAGCAGAGTTCAAACAGCTCAGAACCTTTTCAGTTTGAGGTAGTGCTCCAGCTCTTTCCTCCTCTCAGCCGTCATCGGTGGTTCCTCTTGTTTCCCTGCAGCCTGAGAAACTTCAGACTCTTCTTCTGATTGATGTAAGACAAAAACACATCATTACTTCAGCACAATTAAACTGGAAAATTGAAATATTATAAAAACTAATCATAGATTTTTACCTGCTGTGCATAAACTTGAACTTCCCTGCGATAAATGGTTGGAGCTGTTTGTTTTGCTGCAGTTTCCTTCTTGTTCATGTGCTTCTCTGTTGGGAAAGTCTTTGCTTGGATCTGAACCATCATTCTGCACCCCTCGGTCTGATTTTGTGCTAAAAATGAGCAACAAAACAAAAGATTGAGGTGAAAATTTTTGACTTCTTTTTATTCCTTTTAAAAAGATTAAAAAACATGGGAATCATCTCTCTCACCTGGTTTTTCTGTGGCAGCTGTTATACGGCGTTGTCTTCAGTAAAGCATGATGTGTCAGTTTACGTGTTTGTGCCAGTAAAGGAGCCGAGGAGGACGAAGAGGAAGGCTCCTAAAAACACATTCAAAAAGGCCTCTTTAAATTGCAGAAGTGCATTAAATCTAATTTAAAGCTCACCAGGAAGTCAATGCTTCTCGCACATGCTCAGTCATCATGTTTTCCACAATGGACAGCAAGTTTTAGTCAGTCAGGGTCATACGGTCGTCACAAGGATGACTTTAACACCAGACAACAACATACACCAACAATGAAGACGCCTGTTCTGATCATGTTGTTTCCCTGATGATGAGTCTGTGACTGTTTTGACCGATCAGACTGACTCTTGTTTTATTGTTCCAGGAATCCAGAACAAGCTTTCAGACTCAGACAAATCGCAAAGGTGGAAAAGTGAACTAGACTTCAAACATGACATGTTACTGACCTGTGATTTGTCTTCGCTCTGTACGTAGCTTTCATGATGCCTTTTAGCGATTTCGTTCTTCAGCTGTGATTTCTTACCGTAGAAAGATTTTAAACCTACAGAAAAACAAACAAATAAAAAAATAATAATGTTTGTTATTGAAAGCTGATCAAATACTGCTGTAAGATTTACACCTTCCCTTGTTTATTATGCATTTCTCAATTTTAAAAGCAGTTTCAGAATCTGAATCAGAATCAGAAATACTTTAATTATCCCCAGGGGGAAATTACTTTTTGTCACAGTAACTCCAGTGCAAATTAAGTAGAAAGAGGAGATAAATAATAGATAAAATAAGTAAAAATAAAGAGATAATATACAAGTATGTAAACTATATACAACACAAAACAGTAATGAACAGAATAAACAGACACAGAGGACAGAGATTTAAGCGCTTAGAGACGGAGGAATCAAACTTTTTATAAACAGATCCAGAAATGAACGGGAAGTCATGTAAATGATGGAACTGTAAGTCTTTTATTTATTCATTTCTATTCCAGTATTGTACACACACACACACACACACACACACACACACACACACACACACACATTCTTTTAACTGCTTTTTTAATAGATGAATTTATAAACAAATTTAATGTGATGAATCAGGACTGCATCAGTGTGACTGCATCAAAATAGTAAAATAATATGCATATAAACAGTACGCAGAGTTTGTCACATTATCACTCTAATTTCTGTGATTTTCAAAGAGAATCTCAACATTACACACGCCATGCATCACAAAAGAATAAAGCGTGCCCTTTCAAATTAAAAGTCTCACCTTCTAAATGCCGTTTCCCGTTCCTGTGGACTGTCAGCATATCAACTGTGTCAAACACAGGACGGTAGGAACATACAAGGCAAGAGTATCTGCAAATATAGAGGAGGAGAGTGGGGTTAGATGAGCTGTTTGTCATATTTCAGATCACTACATCAAGTCAATCCTAGTTTTGTCTCTAACTCGTGTATCTGCAGATATTAGACTCCTTTACTTTCTCAGTTACCCCTGAACTACTATGATGACTTTATTAGTCCTCTAAGATAAAATGGTGGACTTTTATGTTAGGATTTTGACCTCATGTTGTAGCTCATAGCTACCACAATTGATGTATAAAACTAGTTTAAAATGATCTTTTTTGGTCTGAACACAATTCTAATCAAACTTAAAACAGACTAAATTCACTTTACAGAGTCAAAAAGGGTTTTTTTTTATCAATAAATGTCTAACCCCTTCACCCATGTGCTTCTAACCTGCACAGACTCCATGAAATGATGCCCATCTCCTAAATATTTGGTCACATGATCAATTTCTTTTACCCTTTCTAAACAACAGGGGGTGGATCAACTTACCCCAGTCTCCCTAAAGTTACTCTGTATTAAATTAAGTTTCCTCTACCTTCCATTCTTCATAAGAGCTGCTTCATCTTCTGGTATAAAATTAGACAGGAGATCAGCGACACGCCGTTTCTGAAACACAAAACAGTCAATAATTCTCACAGTTATCATGTAAATCTAACACTCTGTGATGCTGCTAACCATAACAACACGTCTAACCACAGCTAAACAGCCTTTCAGAAACGTTTAAGAAGCAGGTTTTACCTTCAGGATGTTTAACTGGCTTTTGTCATCACCTTCTCTCTTAAATGACATCTTTACTGCACTTTAAAGTGTCCACACAGATGTGAAATTAGAGAAATAGGTTAGCTTCTGTGCAGGAACGCCGCCATACTGTCTGTCATGTTACTTGTGTTGCGTTCACGGTCAATGAGGATGAATGGGATATAACAGAGAAAGTTTAAAAGTATAGTTCAATCAGACTTTTAGTGGTTGCCCTGACATCAGAAGCACCAGTCAGTAAACACAGAGTATACTCACTTGTTTGTCTGTATCTTAACCCACAAAGCCGCAACAAAATCAACAAACCAAAGTTGTTTGTTTGGTTTTGCGTTTGTTTATTTTGGGCGTGTTCGATGTAACACGGGATTTCCAGCTCAAAATAAAATAATTAAAATAATGTTTCTGACGCTGAATTGGGAATAAAAAGTAGATTTTTTAAAATTATGGGTTTATCCTGTTTTTAAGTGTTATCTGTTTACACGGTCGTTCAGATAGTTTTGAAAGCAGCAGCGCCAGTGACGAATCAAGAAGCCTATCCCTGCTGCGTTCTGGTGCTGGTGCAATGCTCGGAGTTTTGAAACACAACAGTTGTTCAGACGTTTCATTTTGAATGTTAACAATTAAAACAGCGAAATAAGTAATAGTTTCTGTTCAGAAATAACTTACATGAATTAAGAGAACCCAGTAATATCGTAAAATTAGCTAATGAGCCAGAAACTGTGCATAATTTGGGAGTCATTGTGAATGTTTTCACTGTCATGTGAACGTTTTCTTTAATCTTAGGTGAATATTTGATTTATCAGGGTTTTTTTGTTGAAATTGCCAGGTCAGTACTTTTTTTTTTTAACTTTCTTTTGTGTTTTCGAGATTTGTGCGAACATTTGTCAGAATTTCGCGGTTAGACTCTAAATTTTCCGATTTTTCTTATGGCTCGTGAACATCGCGTTGTTCCGCACGGCAGCCATGGCAACATATGGTAGCAGCAGGCGACAGTTTACGTCAGACGAGACAAATTTAACAACTTTTAGTCAACTTTCAGGTGTTTGTTTGAGACTTTAAGGTAGGTTTAACCTTAACGTCATATAGGCTTTACTCTAAGTGAGGTTTTGAGGTCCGAGAGGAAATGTCAGACAGTCAGGGTCAGAGTTTAACGCCCTGAAGAAGAATGAACGTCAACATTAATTAGCTCAGTTGACGGTTTAGCTAACAGGCTAACTAAGCTGCTGTGTGATGCTGTTAATTTATACATGTAAATGTTAAAAATGTGAGTTATGAACACAGTCTAAGTGAATAATTCAGTCACAAGTGGTTGTTTGGACGTTGACGACGTTGACGGGTTGTCCGGTCGGGTCATACTCATGTCCGGGGAACAAACACCTTCACCTCCCGGGGGGACCGGCGGCCTCCTCCGGGGGAACCGAACCAGATCATACGGCAGTCTGGTTCGGTCTCCGCTGTCTCCGGTCCGAGAGAGACGGATTGATCATAAAATCCAGCCGGGAGAAACTCTGCAAGGGTTGGCCCTGAAGTACGGAGTGTCTGTGAGTATTTCTCAACACTTTAAAGTCAGTTTTTAATCCGTTAATGAACTTTAATCTGTTTTCATAAGCCGATCATAGAAACAGGCTTGAATAATTTTGTAATTCCATATCCCTCTAATTCATATGAATTCTTGCTACACCAGATCAACTCACCCAAATTAAGCATTATAGTCAGACAATCATATTTTACTCAATTTAAGTAAAAGTTTGGACACTGTGTTTAAAAAGTCAACAAAACAAAGTTTGATTTAAAGTCAGTTTAAACCTTTTTATATACAGGTAATCTCACTGAGACATAAGGTCACATTTACTACATCTGTCTTAGATAAAGAGAAATATAAGACGGAATGTCACATAAACTACCCTGTTGTATTGTGTTCCAGCAGAGCTGGCCCAAGCCTCAGTGGGGCCCTAAGAAAAGTTGGTTTTGGGGCCCTCTATTTCTGCCAATAATATTGATTGTTGATCATTCACACGCCTACTACAGTATAAATTTAATGCGCCTGACATGTCTTTACACATTTAAGGGGGTGGCCTGGGTAATAACATAAATAAAACCAATTCAACCGTACAAAAAATACAGATGAATGACTGATAAATGATGTTCAGGGGGCCACATGTAAGGCACATAATGGTAGCAGAGCTTTGACATATCAGCAGTAAGAATCATAGGCCTACATCAGCAGCAGCACTAAAATGATTTTACTTTATTTTATTTTTACAATAATATATATTTGATCGTACAGAAAGCATCACTCATACATGCAAATAATAAAAAGATAAGCAAACTAAGCAGGTGCTTAGTTCACACCTATAACTCTATTTGTAGGTGGCAGCCCCAATAGAAACTGACCCGTATCTCTACAGATCTTGTTTTTGAATATTGCGCTCACTTCCTTAGATACACATGACCAGAACTTTGATATTCTTGGACAGCTCCAGGAGCAGCGTATATATGTCCCATTTGTTAACTTACACTTAAGGCACAATAGTGATCTATTAGGGTCAATTTTGTTCATAACGTGAGGTGTCCTTTGCTGTCTATATTCTATATTGTATTTCTTTGAATTTATTGCTGAGAAACAGAGAGTGAGTGGTCTGAATACATCCCTCTCAAGTGTCTTCATTGTATACACTTTGAAGGTCCTCCTCTCATCGCTAATGGTAGTTTTTAAAATGCTGTTCATGCCCTCCAATGTTTAATGGTGTAAAGTATTTTGAATATTTGGTGCAAAATAAACTTGCCTTGCCTTTAAAGCTGTGTGCCTAAAGACTAACATGGTTGTAATCTTCTTTCACAGATGGAGCAAATCAAAAGAGCAAACAGACTGTACACCAATGACTCTATCTTCCTGAAGAAGTCCTTGTCCATCCCTGTGATGTCGGACCTGGATCACTGTAATAACGGGGTGGACTTGGTTATTGAAGAAGACAATGCTGGCTGCGCTTCTGCTCAAAACGGACACTCGGGGAGCTCCTCTGAGGAACGGCAAAGTGACGGCAGAGCAACAGGGTCGGATCTGACTCCAGTGGATTTTTTGAAAAGGTTGGACAGCCTGATAAATCAATCCAAGCAGGCAGCTGTGAAAGGATGCCAGGACGCAGAGAAAAGGTACATCTTTATGTCTCCAGTGTAGGCCAGTTATGCCGACAGAGTCATGCTCCATGTTTGCGGCGTGAAAGAGTCTTTTAGTTTCGCTTTAGATGTAGGTCTGTGCAGCTCAAGTGACGCATCTAGGTCTATTTTTTCACATGTCACTCACCACAAAAACGCCAGAATGACACTGAGGCAGCAGTCTTTCACCTATCTCTACGATTATCCTCTCCAACTTCAGAATTCGTCACAGAAAAAAAATAGTTCAAGCATTTTTTCCATTCGACACTGAGAGGTTTCTGTTTCCATTGAGTTTAAGTTAAATGTATTAAAACAGTTGAGTGTGACTATCACCAGAGCAATCTCAATGTGAAGAAAAAAGGTGAAAATTACAGGTATGCACGCCGCAGCAGTTTATGAGGTCGCCGTCACACTCAGACTGGAGTGTCTGAGGCAGTACAGCTGCCAATAATATTCTGCCTATTCCTACACCATTCACAGCTACTCGTGGTTAATTTTCTTTCTTCAGAAAAACATTATTGGTGAAAACATTGTTGGTAAAATTTCATACCACCTACACTGAAATTTTACCCTGTCCTCTGTGCTCATGTTGAATGCTCCCCATCGGTGTATTATTGTTCCAAATGTCAATATAAGATTGAACATTCACCGTTAGAGCTTTAATCATCAGAGACTTTTCTTTTTATAATACTGCTCATCTAGAAGTTAACAGTACTATGGTAAGACTCAGGCAGTCAGAGACAGTCTATCCAAACATCTCAGATGAATGCAGGCAGATAACCTCATGTCATATGAGTCCTCAGACTGTATCTTCACAATCTGTTTATTCTTCCCAGGGTTTCTGCTTTAGAAGCAGCCTGCAACAGCAGGACATCAGGCGGGCAACAACTCTCAAGATCGCAGAGTGCCTCTTCAGCGTTGAGACTGCAGCAGCAGACAGCACATGGAACACTGCCCGCAACCGTCACCAGACTCACTAAGAGACTGAGAGACAGAGAGGATGAGATCTTCCAGCTGTGATATTGCTTTCTGGTTTCTCAGTCTTCTAATGATAGGAAATCCTCTCTGCAGGCCTGGGCATGAATAATAGAGCGTCACGGACAAAGAAGTGGAACTGTGGTGGTTCTGCTGCTGCTGCACGGACCTTAAAGTATTTTCACACTGCCATTCGATGTAGGCCTCAGACTCTAAACTGTCTTTAAGAGGTTTATTTAATGAATTTTGCACTTGTGTAGCCTGTTTATTTATTTTGTGAAACGCACTGTCGCAGTCGAGTTCAGCATCTCCTGACATGCAGGAAATAAGAAATGCTAAAAATGTGCAGTCACATGATGGTTTAGTCATATGACTCATTATACGGTCAACTTAACAAGTGGGCTGTGTCTGAAGTTTCTGCACAGCCTCTTATAATTTAAAGTTGGTCACAGGTTCTACCTTTAGCCGTGATACATGATAGTAAATAAACTATATTTTTATTTTATTAGGACTAGAAGACTGAAGTCGGTCAGTGCTGATGAGTTTCAACTGTTACATAGCTGATGATCTGATAAAGAAACATACTTTTTGAGTCTTCCTATTTTTACAGAAATATTTTTATTTTTAGATTTAATATTTCTTAAAAAAGAAGTTTTAGTTTATTTAGAAATCTTTGGATGCCATGATCAGGAGGCAGTGTTTCAGGTCTGGCTGTTTTGTTTCCTCACACTTGTCTGGAGAGAAAATGTTGACTCCCACTCACTCTTTATGTTTCACACTGCCACTTTAATTTATAGCTCTTCATGTTGTGGATTTTTTTGTCAAATTTAAGATCACCCTTGTGATTTCAAGACAGCAGCAGGGACACTGAAAAATGTGAATAAAAGTTAAATTTTATCTCTGTATTTAATTAGAATAATGCAAAACAAATAAAGATGTTTTGAAATTTCTGCTCATTTTAAGTTTCATGTCAGCAACACGTTTTAAACACGTTTAAAAAATGTCAAAGTATATTTTGATAAAAATTTCATAGTATAGTGTGTTAAAAACGTCTCAGGATAGTATGATAAAAAATGTCATACTATAGTGTGTTAAAATGTCTAAGGATAGTATTATTAAAATGTCATAGTATAGTATGATAAAAATGTCATAGGATAGTATGAAAAAAAGGTCAAAATAGTATGATAAAAATGTCATAGTATAGTATGTTAAAATTGCATATTTTAGTATGAAAAAATGTCATAGTATAGTATGAGAAAAATATCTTAGGATAGTATGAGAAAAATTTCATAGACTAGTGAAAAAAATGTCATAGGATAGTATGATTAATAATGTCAAAGGACAGTAAGATAAAAATGTCATAAAATAGTATAAGAATGTCATACTATAGTATGTTAAAAATCTTATATTCAATATGAAAAAAAGGTCATAGTATATTATGATAAAAATGTCATAGTTAAGTGTGTTAAAACATCTCAGGATAGTATGATAAAACATGTCATTGTAAAGTATGTTAAAACGTTCATATTCGAGTATAAAAAAAGTCATAGTACATAATAAAAATGTCATAGTATAGTATGATAAAAAAATATCATTGGATAGTATGACAAAAAATGTCAAAATAGTACGATAAAAATGTCATAGTATAGTATGATAAAAAATGACTAAGGATAGTATTATAAAAATGTCATAGTTTAGTATGATAAAAAATGTCATAGTATAGTATGATAAAAAATGTCTAAGGATAATATGAAAAAAATGTCATAGTATAGTATGGTAAAAAATGTCAGGATAGTATGACAAAAAATGTCAAAATAGTATAATAAAAATGCCATAGTATAGTATGTTAAAATTGCGTATTTTAGTATAAAAAAATGTCATGGTATAGTATGATAAAAAAGGTCAAAGGATAGTATTATAAAAAAATCATAGTTTAGTATGATAAAAAATGTCATAGGAGAGTATGATAAAAAATGTCAATATAGTATGTTAAAAATATCATAGTACAGTATGATAAAAATGTCAAAGTATATTTTGATAAAAATGTCATAGTATAGTGTGTTAAAAACGTCTCAGGATAGTATGATAAAAATGTCATACTATAGTATGTTAAAATGTCTAAGGATAGTATTATTAAAATGTCATAGTATAGTATGATAAAAAATGTCCGGATAGTATGAAAAAAAAGGTCAAAATAGTATGATAAAAATGTCATAGTATAGTATGTTAAAATTGCATATTTAAGTATTGTAGCATTGCATTGTAGCATTGTAAAGTATGTTTAAACGTTCATATTCGAGTATAAAAAAAGTCATAGTACATAATAATAAAAATGTCAAAGTATAGTATGATAAAAAAATATCATTGGATAGTATGACAAAAAATGTCAAAATAGTATGGTAAAAATATAGTATAGTATGATAAAAAATGTCTAAGGATAGTATTATAAAAATGTCATAGTTTAGTATGATAAAAAATGTCATAGAAGAGTATGATAAAAAATGTCAAAATATAGTATGTTAAAATGTTTAAGGATAGTATGAGAAAAATGTCATAGTAAAGTATGGTAAAAAATGTCATAGGATAGCATGACAAAAAATGTTATAGTAAAGTATGAGAAAAATATCTTAGGATAGTATGAGAAAAATGTTATAGGATAGTATGTTAAGAATGTCAAAGTATAGTATGTTAAAAATTTCATATTCAAGTATGATAAAAATGTCAAAGTATATTTTGTTAAAAATGTCATAGTATAGTGTGTTAAAAACATCTCAGGATAGTATGATAAAAATGTCATAGTATAGTATGTTAAAATTGCATATTTTAGTATGAAAAAATTTCATAGTTTATTATGATAAAACTGTCATTGTATAGTATGATAAAAAATGTGATAGGATAGTATGATAAAAAAATGTCATAGAATAGTATTATAAGAATGTCATAGTATAGTATGTTAAAAAGCTCAAATTCAATATGAAAAAAAGGTCATAGTATACTATGATAAAAATGTCATAGTATAGTGTGTTAAAAACGTCTCAGGATAGTATGATTAAAAAAATGTCATAGTATAGTATGTTAAAAATTTCATATTCGAGTATAAAAAAGTCATAGTATATAATAAAAAAAAATGTCATAGTATAGTATGATAAAAAAATATCATTGGATAATACGACGAAAAATGCCATAGAATTGTATGATAAAAATGTCATAGTATAGTATGTTTAAATGTCTAAGGATAGTATTATAAAAATGTCATAGTATAGTATGATAAAAAAGTGTCATAGGATAGTACGAAAAAAATTTCAAAATAGAATGATAAAAAAGGTCATAGTATAGTATGTTAAATTTGCATATTTAAGTATGGAAAAAATGTCATAGTATAGTATGTTAAAATTGCATATTTTAGTATGAAAAAATGTCATAGTATAGTATGAGAAAAATATCTTAGGATAGTATGAGAAAAATGTCATAGGATAGTAAGATAAAAATGTCATAGAATAGTATTATAAGAATGTCATACTATAGTATGTTCAAAATCTTACATTCAATATGAAAAAAAAGTTAAGTAGTTTCATATTCGAGTATAAAAAAGTCATCGTATATTATAATAAAAATGTCATAGTATAGAATGATAAAAAAATATCATTGGATAATATGACGAAAAATGTCATAGAATAGTATGAAAAAAATGTCATAGTATAGCATGAGAAAAATATCTTAGGATAGTATGAGAAAAATGTCATAGTATTAATGTCATAGGATGGTATAAAAAATGTCATAGAAGAGTATGTTAAAAAATTCATATTTTAGGGTAAAAAGAGATCTTTTTTTAGTGTGAGAAAAATGTCATAGTATGGAATGATAAAAATGTCATAGTATAGTATGACAAAAAATGTCATAGGATAGTATGATTAAATGTCATATTATACTATGTTAAAAATTTCATATTTAAGTAGAAAAATGTCATAGTTTACTATGACGAAGATATAGAAAAGTATGATAAAAAATGTCATAGGATAGAATGATAAAAATTTCATAGAACTGTATGATAAAAATGTCATAGTATTGTATGATAAAAACGTAATAGGATGGTATGATAAAAATGTCATAGAATAGTATGTAAACAAATTCATATTTTAGGGTAAAAAATGTCATAGTATGGAATGATTAAAATGTCATAGTATAGTATGACAAAAAATATGATAGGCTAGTATGATAAAAAAATTTAAATTTTAGCATGAAAAAATGTCATAGCATGAATTGTCAAAAAAATGTCATAGGATGGTATAATAAAAATGTCATTGCATAGTGAGATAAAAAATTTTAATTTTTCCACTACAGTGTGTCATACCTGTTTTAACGCAGTGCTGCCGAGGGACTGAAGCTCAGAATCATGGTCTTCTCTCTTTTGTACAGAGATTTCTCCAGATCTTGCGAACTGCTGATGATGAAACCTCATTTTTATTTTACCATCTTGTTGATCAATCACACAGTCTCTCACAGAGTGGTGAACCTATTCCCATTTTTGCTTCTCAGGGACTCTTTCTCTCTTGAACACCCTTTTTATATCCAGTCATGTCACTCACCTGTTGAAAGTCAACCTCATAAGTTAGAGATGCTTCTCCAAGTCTTTTAGTTTCAGCATGTTACATTCAGCATGTTGCATGTTGTTGTTCTTACTATTTAAATGAAATACAAGGTTTGAATGATCTTCAAACCACCAAAACCTTTTTCATCAACATTTTATTTGGTATTAAAACTTGGTTGGAATTTGGATTGTATATTTGCTGACAGATGTTGAGAACGAACATTTACAGCATGTTGGCTCGATCTGATTGTGTTCTGAATTTTAATTTCCCTGTAATACAAAACCAAAAATGAATGATAGGATTTAGAGAGTATCTTCAGTCAGAACGTGTTTTTGTTAAAGGACTTTAAGTACATTTGGAGCTTAAACTACAAAGTGTTAGTCGCTGTTCTGGGTTATTCTGGCTGCAGTCCTCCAGATTTCTCAGTAAATACAACATCACACTGACCACAAGATGGCAGTGTTGCATTACAGTGGTATTGTCTCATGTCTTTTTCCTCTATGTAATCGGCCTCACTGTTTCAACTCCACCTCCTTTAAAGACACAAACATCAGTAGTTCTGTATGAAACATTTCAGGGTACTCTGGGTAAAACAGCTGATATATGATAAAACAGTCAATATTCAAGTTCAGTTGCTGTGAAATGTACATCACAATAACAGTATGTATCACCTTTAGACATACAAAACGAGAGGAATGACTCATCAGACTTTTTTTCCATCCCTCTTGTTCAGTGAGACCAGCAGGGTTATTAGTTTTCTTCTCAAATCTGGTCTCACGTTGCCGGTCCTCAGCAGCAGTAAGACTAAATTGTCCGACAGTTCGGAGTCTCATGTGAGTCTTCCTGTTGATCTCCCAGTGTCTGACTGATGCTTCAGTGTCTGTATCATATTGTCCCATCCTCCACCAGTTTGTTGAGTCCTTTGCAGATCTTGGTGAGGTGGGGTCTGAAGGGGCTGCTGGGTTCGTACAGTTTGGTCAGGAGCTCGGGGTCGGAGTAATGGTTGAAGACGTGATTGATGCGACCGTGGGACTTGGGGGTGAGGTGGGTGTTGACGAGCTTGAGGAGCAGATCCCTGCAGTCGGTCAGGAGCTCCGACATCACGGCCTTGTCGAAGGTGAAGTCCACCTGTACCACCAGAGGAAATACAATATCAGACCTCTATCACTTATCATGCAGAGCTACTTTTTAACTGTACAATAACTTCTCACCCTGACGGCAAAGACAACTGCTCTGTTTCATACGGTAAATATTCTCTACACTCGGAAGGGTTTGCCGGCTTCACCCAAAATCATTTGTCAAGTATTATTAAGGGAAGCCAATGCCAAAAGCTGCAGTACCTTCAGGGTCCACTTGAGGCTGATCACTACAGTCCAGAAAAAGAAATTAACTCCCATTTTTAGATATTTATTTTGATACCCCCAAAAAATTTATTTACAACCTGGTTAAAAACAAAAAAACACTGAACTGTCCATTTATTTGCATGGATTACATTTCTTTAAAGTCATCCATACTGATTATTTTTTGTTGTTTGCCAAGAGTCTAAAATCCTGGCTGAGATATTACTAATGCTATAAAACACTGACATAAGGTGTCCCAAATCACACACTTCCATACTAAATACTTAAAGTTTTGAGTATACTCGACTCAAAATGGAAAAACGTATGGGTAGTGTGCGAAAACTGAGTATGCAAAATGTGACTGTGGACCCTCGCCTGCACTCATCTCATCGGTAGGAATGTCTGCGGACGGCTTTGGTGCCAGTGGGTCGGCGACAGTCGACCTGGGAGCTTTGTACAGATGTAAGTAATAAGTTGCCTTTATATGTTATATTATATTATATTAATATTTTATATATTATATAAAATGTATTTAAAAAGTAGTTTTTTGTAAATAGTTTCTTTCTTGTTTTAAAGGCTTAATTTGTAAATAGTTCATCTTTAGTTACTGAGTTCCAAATGTTTAATATGTAAATTGGGTATCTTTAGTTTTCTTGTTCTAAATTTTTTTTATATGTAAATAGTTTGTTATTTTTCTGTTATGAACAATAAATGTTCAGACGCAAATCGTGTCGTAATCTCCGGTGAGTGCGCCGCGCGGCAGTATGTGATTTGGGACAGCACTGCACCCTCGAAACTCATGCACTGCGCGATCTGATGCAGAGTTTTGAAGCGTTACGGTGGCCGACGCCATGTTGGAAAATATCAAACTTTTAATCGATCGACTGTGAGGCTGAGAAGAAGAGAAAGACTAAAGAGTTACAAACAGTCACCCTTGTGCAGGAAGTGAAATAAGCCATTCCGCCCAAAAACCATTTTTAATTCAGGCAGTAAACTAGTTTTATTGATGCTACACAGATGAGTTTTTAAAATGGGTTTGTATGTGGTTTCTGCTACTTTCACAGCCAGCCTCAAGTGGACACTTAAGGAGCTGCGCTTTTTAGCAGTCCTTGAATATCAGCTTCATTTCTCAAGCCCAGAGTTTGCCGCTCGAACAACACCTCTTGTTCCAGGGGTGGGTTGGGTTGATGACCTGCTGTGGTTCTTCCTCTCAAATTTAAGCTGTAATCCCTTACCCAGACCTTGACCATTAATACTCAGAGGTAACTTTACTGTTGTTACCCTCTCATGTCCTTTAAAACCAAACATGTTGGATTGTACCTCATAGAAGCTGATTAAAGTCATGGCTCCCATGTGCAGCTTCTTCTTAAAATCCGTGGCCACTCCCAGCTCCTCTGTGTTGAAACGGTTGTTCTTGAACAGCACGCCGATCTTCACCGCAATCTTGACCAGGTCTTTGATCACCTTCTGGGCCTCCGATTTGTTACCCGTGTACTCTTTGGAGACACGGTACAGTTCGTCCAGGATCTCGCTGGTGGTGTCGTCTATGAACATTTGGACGGAGCCTTTGCTGGCCATGGAGCTGAGGATCTTCTTCTGCGCCCTCATGGCCATGTCCTTTGAGCTGAAGGCGTCCATGGTTGTCTGAATGGTCAACGAGAAAGAGAAAAATAAGTTGTTTTTTAATATCGAAGTTTTATTCCTCAAATCAAGTCCAGATCAAACTTTTAAATGATGGTGGAAAATGCTCAAATTTTAAGGTTTCCGATGATCCGTATAAACCTGTACTCATACCTATTAGTTCATTTATAAATACATCTGTTATTTATAAATCATTAAGTGGTTAATTTCAACACCTTTACAAGAATAAGTCAGCCTACTCAAACTGAATTTCAATCAGTTGCAGAAGGGTAATAAAAACCTCTTCAAAAACTGATCAAATATAGTTTTACACCATTTCAACAACTCAACCTCTGCTTTCTGGCAGCGTCGGTGAACTAAAATTACAAGTACTGAACGTGTGAAGACTTCTCAAGCTCTGAAAGTACAAAATAAAGAGGAAGAATATTTTCACACTGGGTTTGGCGCTTAGCACAACTTCAGTCCAGCTCTGAGCGGCTAGATATGTAGCAGCTTCAGTGGTGGAGCCTGAGGTTAAGTGCCATGGTCAGGGGCCAACGGTTTGTTGTTGTGGAGGCTGGGGAGGACCGACACATGTTAACATCTCCTATCCAAATTCCCCAAGTCATCTGGGGGATTTCCTCTTCGCTCCAGTCGTGGCAGTGACTCTCTAACCTCCAGAAATCCAGACTCTTATTTCCACACATCATTGAAGCACATTGCAATCCTATTCAAGCTGTAATATCCACTTATTTTTGCACAAACAGGCTCATTATCCCACATAACAAGATCACAAACTCTTGAGTGTCAATTCCACACGACCGTATTTGCAGTGTTCGCTCCAGAGTTTGTTTTTATATCTGACATTCAAGTGTAGAGACAAAAGGGAAAAGTACCATGGAGGAGACCCCGCAGAGGCTTTAATTTTTCCTCTGAGGTTCGAACCACACCTAGCATCCATCACAAAGAGCCCCTGGGAGGTTATCAGCTTGCATACAGAACACTATGACACAGCTACATAATCCACTGTTTATCCTTGATTGTCAACACAGCCTGAGCTAATTCCCTTTCTAATGCAGCCTCTCTCTCCAACATAAAAGCAGACAGATTCGGGGAGAATTATTCACTGAGGATGACTAAATTTAGCCGATGTTCTGGGAAAAGGAAGCCGCTCTTAAACGGTGCAAACAAGATAAAGTTTAATCAGAAATCATCAAACTAACAAAGACGTTGAGGATCAGATTTACACAGCTTTTTAAGTACGCGGATTACCTCCCCTTGTAAAGTAAATCTTATTTATGTCTTCATCCCAGATATCCACATAAAGAGGTTTCTTCTTTATTGAGGACTTACCTCCAGCTTTACTTTAATCCAAAGCATTAATGATGAGTAAGATAGAGATACACACCGTCTGCTCCAAGACTTCTCTTTATTACCTCTTACTGACTGAGTCTCATTTGGACTCAGAATGACCCGGGTATAAAAACCCTGTTAGAGACTTTATGTTTACGATACAACTCAAATACAAAATCACATTTTCTATTAACCCAATAAATACATGCTGACACAAGTCGAATAAACTGTTATATATACTTTCTGTCAAAAAAAAGGTAGGAATAAAGTGAACAAATGATGTTTTTTTAACAACTTTAGATATTGCAAACTTTTTAGAACTTTAAAACCTTACCAAACTGTTGATCTTTCCAAAAACTGTTAAAGTTAGTGCGACTTAACCACCTGCCAGGTTTTAGATGCTAAACTCACACTGTGCTGCAACAGGCCGACCCGTTGTTTGTAAAATAGACAAAAAAAATTCACCTTCTGAATAAGTCTGATCTGTACTTCTAGTAAAGAATAAAAGTGAATTTCTGAATTTATACACTATTTTTAATCACCAATGCTGTTATATTAGTGTGTCTGAGGCTGCAGTGATAGAATATTTTAGTATTGAGTATTACAGCAATTATTCTGGCCCATAGACTGTATATAGAATGGACAGCGTCTGTCTCCTCTCTGGGTGTGAGAACAGCACCCTCTGGTGACGGGCTGCAGTATAGGTCATAAATCCCACCTCCTCCAGTAATCTCTATGGAGCTGTGGACAGAATAATGACACAGAATATAAATGTTTCTCCCCCCTGGTTGTGATGTTGCCATGTAGTTACTGTCAGATTGGTTTGTGCTCAAGTCCTCTTTTTTTCTGTACAGCTCCATTTTTAAAAGTTATAAGGGGGTTCATGTTTTCTATGATTGACACCTGATACAGCCTATGGGCGTTCAAAGATTGTGTAGCTCACCGGGGATACGCTGTTTGAGCCGAGCGTCATCACAGAGAGTCTTGCCGACTCTTCCACCGAATGCGTACAACGCTACTGCGCAATGTTGGTTTCAGGAAGTGGAGAAAAAATGCAGAATTACAGACAGCTTTTCGACTTCAAGTCTGTATACTGATGGAAGGCAGAACCGAGTCGTCCAGAGTGTATACAGTCTATGTTCTGACCATTAATTCAGTATTTTATTTCATTAACTGACTGTTTTATTATTACTGCTGTAACGATTCAAAATTCCCTGTTGTGAAAAATCGATTATCTTAGCTCTTCTTATTATCTGTTAGACTGGATGATGCACATTTACTTAAATAATATTATTATAATAAAGAAGGAGTTATATTACAGAGGGACATAATATCTGTATGTAGTGAAGACAAAATAATCTGTTTGTACACAGATAATCTGACCACCCCAATATCTGCTCCGGTTGTGCCACCCCACTAAAAAACATCTGGACACACCCCTGCACGGCGGCACAGAGGAAACAGAAAGATCTCAGAGAATCTTGAGAAAAGAATGAGGAGAAACCAAGCTTTCAACCCCGGAAAGACAGTAAGAAGGTGACCCTCGTACCAGCAGGAGGTGGATTACTGGTCAACTGGAGCAACGACTCAACACCTAAGAGCATCAGTCTCCCACAGGTCTCAGGGCAGCAGGTTAGTACCAGTCTGCAAGACTAATCAAACCAATTAAGTGATTCAGAGCTCACACCTCGCTGTTATTGTATAGCTGGTATTTTTATCATAGTATGCAAAACACAGCGCGACACAAAGTCTGATTTAAATGAAGGCTCGAGGCAAACAATATAACCCTCTAAGCTTTTCTTCCAGTCGAGTTACTTGATTTATTTGATGCATCGTTTCAGTCCTGAGATATGACCTTTTGTACACTTATCAGCTTCTGTACCGCTGAGATTTCCATCCCTCACAATACTATTAAGCTATTCTGAGGGAGCAGGAACCAGAGACCAGAAGGCAATCTGTGTGTTTTATTGTCTTCTGCAGAGCAAACAAATGCTGGAAAACACTTCACACCGTCTCCTTCTTCACATCTGCTACTTTTCCACTCATCCAGCATGTTAAATTCATGCTAAACTCGCACTAAAATGACTTTGTTGAGCCAAGTCCAGGTAGTGATTTCATAGTCGACTGCGTCTGACAGAAGTTTGGTTTCCAAACATCATCTCTAGGAGACAGGGGGTTCATTTGCAGAGCTGGAGAGAGCAAACAGACCTCGACAGCTCCTAAGCATCTTCCTTTGTAACTATGTGTAATAAAACTCACTTCTGGCCTGTGTGGACAAGCATTTGCAGGGAGCAGGTAGGCTGCATAGCTGAGGCAGGTTCATGCCTGCTGTTCCCAGATTGTATCAGAACAGAGTGAGCTGAACCCGGTGGCGAATCTTTAACCACTGGTCTGGGGTCTGCTTTTAAACATGAAATATCCCTCGTCTCAGAAACAGCATATTGTCTGTACGCTGCCAGCTCAGAAATGACCCGCTGGCTGATTGAATGTTCTTCTGTCACGGCTGTTTGTGCCTCAGAGACAGCGTTACATAATTAATGATATTCCTGTTGTTGACTCCTGTGATGCACAGTCAGCGGAGGACTTCACAGCTCGCTAACAAATGAAAAAGTGATCCATTTGCATTAACGGTCATACTATGCAAATAGGCAGCACTCACTGCGGCTCTTCCTGTCCCTGGTGTGCACCACAATCCTTTCTGCAGCATCAATAATGAGCAAACAGTCACTTTTATAGGATATCTCACTACGATCCGCTTTTACAAGCACGGCCATTCATTTTTGAGCAAGTGTCACATTTCTAATAGCTTGCTTTGTTACAAAAGCTTCCCTGTGGGGAATTAAAGAACATTCATTAGATTAATTTCCCTTAACGGTGATAATGGAAGTGGAGCAGCATGATAGCTATTTCGGATTCATGCTTCAATCTCATTTATTTGCTAAAAAGACTGCAGGGATTTGAGGGACATGCACAGTGTGCAGTCATCAGCCAGAATCCCACGTCTGGAGATGTAACTCCGCAGCAGCAGGAGACTGCTCCCTGCTTGGCTTTTCTTTGCATCTTAATTGTTTGTTTTATGCACATCTATCAGGGGGACGAGCGCGCAGAAACCTACCCGAGTGTAGGCAGCAGGGAAACTCTTTTATTTAATGGATGTTTCTCAGTCGGTCACCTCAAGGACCCTTTCTATGTTTACATCGATTTTCAAATACAGATGAGATAGAAGAGGCCGTCTAGTTGTTTACATCAAACCTGTTCAAGTGTTTGTTCCCAAACCAAGTATCTGCTGGAACAGACGAGCACCTGTTTACTGAGCAGGACCTAAAACAGACGCAGGAACAACATGAAAAAAAACACCAGAGCAGAGGTGGACCATTAGAGAGGAACTGTACCTGCCAGGCACGGAGGAATCCTCACCAATAATGGACAGTTGGGAAGAGCGTCCTGATTGGTGGAGCCATCCGGGGAGGCTGGAGAGGTAAATATTTAGCATTCCTCGGATGACTCCAGCAGTGTTTGTGTACATGTGCTGGCTTGTGTACGTGGACGAGCATTTTTTGGAGTAAAAGTCGCTTCCGCTTGTTTTCACTTGAAAGTAGGTTTGCTGGATTTTTGGCGAGTTTGTGCACACAGGCATAAGTCGACGGTCTGAAAAGGTCAAATGTGGGGATGCATTTCTTAGAGGTCTGTCCGGGGGTTTCTTCGACTCAGCTGATCAGAATGTACCCTGCAGTGCAGCTCTATGGACAGATATAATGCAGGTCTGGGGACACTACGGTGTTAGCAGAGGGACTAAAGAGTATATCCTCCTGTGTACCAACAGCTCTGAATTAGGGGGAAGGGTCATGGTCTTTAGACTTTGACTTTTTTAAATTTACTCCATTAATTTTCTATTTTGTTATAAATAAAATGTAAATATGTTGGAGAGACTGACTGTTAATTGAGAAGCGGAGAAGGGTTAGGTTTAAAGAAGTGTAATCCTTCATTCTACTCCTTTTCAGACATGTTGGGTTCACATTATTATTATTATTAGTTTTTTTTTTTTGCTTTGATTATTGTTATCGTTGTTTTGAATATTCTTATTGATTTTTTTTGTTTGTTTTTCAGTTTACTTTCTTGTGTTGCACACACGTTCGAAAAATTATATAAAATAAATGAAGACTCTTAATGGTGCAGGCGGCGGATGCATTACTGACCGATGAATTGTTGCGTGAAAATCGTAAAGTTAAAACGTGCGAGTAATCTTAACGATGTCAGAAACAGGGAAAAACATGCTGCCTGGACAAAAACAGGTAAAAATAAATACTTTTGTGTCACTGAAAAAAAATCGAAACTCACCAAAACCTTTGACTTTTGACACATATAAGTTATATTGTGGAATATGTGCATGCAGTAAACACTCAAGCACTTTCATGAAGAGGAGCTAGCAGCTTGTGTTTGCAGCAAAAAGTAATCCGAGTGCTTTAATGGATTACTTTGAAACAAGTTACTTCCCAGACAGGTTAACAGTTTGTAAGAAAGAAGTGATCTTGACTTCAATATGAGAGGGAAATTTAAATCTGCTGAAGTTTGTTATGATCGTAGAACTTTATTATAGGATAGTTTTAATGATTGGTGGATGAGAGTGTTTCAGTGTGCAGAGCGATTAAGTCGAGTTGTTCAAACAAGAATCAATACGTCCAATCAATTCGTCAGTTCATCTAAAGGTCAGAGAAAACTCAGGAAACAGTCAATTTATCTGACCCAACAGCGTCACAGAGTCTGATTAGGGTGACCATACGTCCTCTTTTTGGGGGGCTGTCCGGCCTTCGTAGAAGCACGTAAAAAACACTCTAACCAACCCAAAAAAGTCTCAAATTAACTACACATGACTCTGTGACTCTGTGACTCCGCCCCGCGTCATGGTGTCCTCTTTTAGGGGAATCAGAATATGGTCACCCTAAGTCTGATAAATAATCCCAAATTGGCCTCCCGAGCCTGGGTAAAGTTAGCAGAGCTAGCACCACCAGCCTTCAGCTCTTACTGCAGGTCAGTATTCACATATCTCACATCACGTCTTTATAATTTTATCTGTTTTCTACATTAAAAAACTGCCGAGTATATGAGATGACATCTGTCACCTGTGTTTGCTTACAAACATGAAGTCGAGCATCGTGGTCGAGGTCAGCAGCACGCTACAGCTCTGCACAGCAGCAGGAGGCTTTTTGGGGTCTTAGTTATAGAAAAGGTGACAAAGTTCAGTCCTTTAGTGGACTTCACATGTTCATCCCCGTTTGCTCACTCTGTACCTCAGGAGTGATTTCAGACCAGGGTTCAGGCCAGAGCAGGAGGGGATCGGGGTTTAGCCTGAAAAGAGGGGTGAGGACTTTTTTAGCCGCCTGCAGCCTTTGATCAGATCGAACAATGAGAACGCACGAGATGAAAACACAGAAAAGCCGAACATACCACTCAATGCAATGAAAACAAGGAGCCTATTGTTGAGGGGTCATCACTGAGCTACAAGGGCAGTGGGACTGAAGCTTTTATTTTCTCCTGATGATGGACCAAAGAGGATTAAACTCTCGATGTAAAGCTACGAGGTTTTTATGTCCTGAGGCAACAACGCTCTGTGCAACAGCGTGCCAGGATGAACCGTCACTTCCGCTGCGTGTTTCGAACTAAGGGCATCGAGGCCGAGGGCCGAGATGTGAGATCTCGTTTTAGTTTCCCCTCATCGGTCTGTGACACTTTCTTCTGTCAGTGCGGTGTAAGCTGTTTTTTCAAGTCGCTTCTTTTAACCTGCAAACCTTTTAACTATTTTTAGTTGCAGCAAACAAGACAGTATTTTGCAATCCCCTAAAAGCACTTACTGCAGTTTCTTTTTCAGCATTACACAACTTCTCTGAATATCATTGCTCAACCCAACCACCCCGCTACGACGCCTCAAAAGGGAAGCGAAACGCGCGGCAGTTGGCCGAGCGGCGGGGAGTCGGCAGCAGAGGCCCACAGCTCGTGTCCGTCCCTCCTGTGGGTGACACTTCTCCCTCTCGCAGTCTGTTTCTCTCTGACTTTACAGGCTTCAAAAATCAAAGTAGGCCAGTGGAGGAGGGAAAGTCCACTGCCTTCGAGATTTGAGTTGAGCAACTCCCGGCGTGTGCAAACAAAAAGTGTGAGCGCTACATCTGTGCGTGTCAGCGTACTTGTTCCAGCATGACTGTGAGCGTACATGCATGTCTCCCCAACCTGCGCTTCAGATGGGGAAGTGAAGAGAAGTCACACAGTTTGTTCCAGTCACCCCCCCCCTCTCTCTACACTCTCTGCCTTTTATAAATACTCTTCAATTTTCCAGGAACATTAAAAAAAGGGGAACAAACCCTCATCTAAACCCCGAGGATTGTTTTTCTGGCTCATTACCACGGCAGAAGTGTCTTACCTGTGTGCGTGCTGAGTCCCCCTCCCTCCTGGTGTGTGTGTGTGTGTGTGTCAGATATGTCTCTCCCTCTTCTGCTCTGTCTCAGGTTGACAGCTCAGGACGGTGGATTTAATGAGATCCCTCCATTTTCACCATGCAGAAAGAAAACAGCCCTCCTGCTGCGCTCCTGTCACAGCTACCACCCTGTCTTAAGATAATGTTGAGTTGTACTTCCTTGAGGAACTGAATTGTTGTGACACACCCCTCAGTTCTCTCTCTCTCTCTCTCTCTCTCTCTCTCTTGCTCTCTCTCTCTTTCTTGTGTTTCCCTCTGAAATTCAAACTCCTCAGATCGGCTCCTTTGCCTCTGCTGATCACACCTTGGCTCTCGGTCCGTGTCTGCCTGCCTCTCTCTTCCTGCTCTCCTCTGTATTGCTGCTGCTGCTGACGTTGTGCTTCTGCTTGTTCTGACAAGTGAAAACCCCAGAAAGAATTTAGCAATGATCCAGTGATGCAGCCGGTTGAAAAAAAAAGAAAAAAAAGGGAGTGGCTTAACCCCTCTTTTTGTGTTCACCTTCACTGGAATGCAGCTCCTGTCAGTGCCACAGAGCGTCGCGTCTCTTGTTCAAGGTAGAGTCAAAACAATGAGTAGTACTGACACACGTGCACGTGTGTGGAAACTAAACACCGACCCGTTAAAGTCTCAATTTCAGGCTCACTCGGAAACCAATATCAAGAGTTCAAACCTGCTTTCTGCATCAGTGAAAGGAAGTTTTTCCTCCCAGCTGAAGATTTTAGGTCAACTTTTCACATGGGATGGGATGCATTAAGGTCTGCTGTTGACATCTGCCAAGGAATTTCATTGGAGCAGCTGTGCGGCATGTGCAGGAGTAATGGATACAACAGCTACCTACTTGGCAAGAGCCCATCGAGTAATACTTCTCAGGCACATGTTTCATAAGCCCCCCTGAAGAGGGAGAAATCGATAACATATTCAACACAACAGCTGCTGTAGCAACAGCTTACAATAATCTGCATTTACAGCAAAACTGCGCCAATGAAAGATGCATAGTAGAGCTTTACGGTAGAGCTATGACTGCAGGTATCATTGTTATATTTCATCCACTCAAAAGTGGCAGAAATGCACCTTTAGTTAGTTTGGTAGCTGTATTAAATCTGAAGAAAATAAGGGGAAACCTAACAGCATATTTCTGTCAAAGCGAGGGTTTACACAAGATTCAGGTGACCAGATGTCCCGGATTTACGGGGACAGTCCACATATTGGATGACCTGTCCCCGGCTAAAGCTGTCCCCGAAGCGTTTCATGAATGAGAACAAAAATGTTGCGCGTAGCCTACAGCAATCTAGTCATTTTACACAAGAATCATCTAGAAAATAATCTGGTTTGATGAATCATTTAAAGCTCCAGTGAGTTGTTTTTTGTTTGTGTTGATTTTGGCGCCCCCTGTGGACAAAGTCCTGACTCTAACATCTGTGCTGATTTTGTATTTTTGGACAAAAGTTGAACTCTTCTCTTCTTTAACAGACGCTCATTTAAGATGAAAAGAGTAAAAACAGGCTGATTCTTCAGCAGTTTGTCCGACACTCGCCCCCTCTTGGCAGTAAACGGTATTACATTTACTGCATAGAAATCGTCAGTGTTGTAGTTGATGGTCTCGTTGGATAAAGAGGTTTCACTGTTCAGTTCAGTCTGTTTACTAAGCATTAAAAAGGTCCTGATAAAAGCTTGAACTGCTCACTAAATAGTTCCTCGGATTTAACAGTTTTTTCTTTGTTTTTTTTAACTTTCTTCTTTTTTTGTAATTTTATTGCGCGTAGTTAATTTTTTAGTTTTCTGGGTCGGATCGAGTGTTTTTGTTACGTGTTTCTAACTCAGTAAGTCTACGTCCATGCGACACAAACTCTTAGAGGACGTATGGTCACCCTACCACCAACATTATTAAGAAGTGTGTTTGTCACGTTTAAGAATCTGACATAACAATTAAACTAAACTTGAACTAATTTTGAACACACATTTTCGACTCTGTACAGATATTTTTATGTCATTTTTTTCTCCGGGTTTCGATCTAATGTCCACACAAACTAAACAAAGTTTTTTCTGCACCGTAGATATTAAAGGTGCATTTATAAGGTTTTATGACCGTGCCTATGTGTTATGAAGTCTTACATAAATATCCGTCTACATTTGGAGATGGTCTGAACACGTCTCATCAGCAGTTTGAAAATCTAAATCCCATGATTGCACTTTGTCCCTCATAAATCAAGTGAAGAAAAACTGCACTTTGAAAAGTTCTTCCCTCCAGAGTGGTGAGGTCTATTGTAATCACAGCAAAGGCCAATAAAACCTCAGGGTCAGTGTCGCGCTCATGAAAGGAGCTTTGTCTAAGCAGGACGCCATAAAACTCGTGAGCCTTTCAAGGCCTCGTTTTAAATCGGTGAAATGTAAAAACGGATGAGATAATACCAGATAGTAACCAAAATAACAGGGCCGCCGGTCCTGGTAACAACGCGGAGCAGGTCTGCAGAGTCAAAGTCATGAATTCAGTGATTCATTTAGAATCAGGAAGCGTCTCCTGCTTCCAAAGCTGTTTGTTTATCTGTAGGTTTATCTGAATGGCAACCAGCTGTGCTGAACGGCTGCTGGCCGACGCTCAGGCCATTCAAAAAAAAACATCCAATGAAGTCTCACAGACGTAATTGCTGTCAGATGTTGAGGTTAAAGGTGGCGTTGGGAACCAGCTGGACTGAGAGGAGTGCCTGGACAGGATACCGGCCCACCAGTGTGCACTTTACACCCGAACACACCTGCCTCTTTGTTGTGCCACCTACTCTGGCCCTTCTGCAAGAAATTAACTCCAGCAAAGTCACGGTAAACTATGCAACTGCAGAATGAGGTCTGTTACTGTGGCAACAGACAGGAAGTAGTGCTTAAGCGGTTTCCTGATGGCTTCCTCTTTATCATGCAATGACATCTCACAGGGAAACATCAGCAGGGAGCTCTCAGCTGAATATCTGTGCGAGTGTGTGTGTGTGTGTGCGTTAGCGAGTGTAGTTTGTGAGGAGGAGAGCACTCGTCCTGAAACGATCCTACCTGTCTCACCTCCGTATGTACACAGCTCACACAAACGCCTCTTTTTGGTCATGAGATAATAGATTATACTGTTTATCGGTCATTATAAGATCATCAGACCTTCAGCCTCCAACCTCACACACTCACACACACTCACACACACTCCCATAATAGCAGTGTGTTATCAGCTGATGACTAAGACAGGAATAACTGACCTCATAACCGCTGAGGTCAGAAAACTGCACCTGAAGACTCCGAGTCTAAAGTGAACGGAGGATTTGGGGAGCTGTAGGTACCTTCAGTGCTGCTGCTGCCTCTCCCTTTATAGAGATCTATGATAGATGTTGAACGCAGATCGAGGTGAACAGATGCTGGACCAGGAGGGGCTGCAGGTTTAATCTGATCAGTCTGCAGCCAACAGGGATTCACTTTCTCCTCATGGCATGATCTAATATAAAACCCTCTTATGTCATTTGTTTTTTAGACATAGAGGACCGAAGGGAGCCAAAGAGTAACTCTCTCCTGTTCCAAGTCCTCAATTTGTTCATAGAAAATGTTATTTTTTTTAAATAGGACTCCATTTGTCTCTACAGAAACTGCATCAGATTTTAAAATGGTCCAGAAGACTGAGAGTCACGGCCCAACCACAGGTTTCTGTACGCCAGATATTTGCAGAAGTTCGTTCACTTGATCTTAAAATATGGTTTTAAACATGAAACGCTAATTTAATTGCACGACCGAGAAGTCTAGACATGTCTTTGTCCCAGAAGTCTTCAAATAAATCAACAAATCACAGTCATGCAAATGTAAATTACTCATTGAACTAGACCCTCTTTTGTTTCGTGTTCATGTGATAATCGATCTTTATGCTGATGACACCGTTTCATACTTTGTTCAGAATCTTCTGCTGTAACTGAAAAAACTGAACTTAGTTGTTTACCGACTCAACGGCTGGATCACTAAATGCTCCTGCGGTGCTCTTACTCACCTGTGTGAGTCATATTACTGGGTTGGTCGGCCATTCCTGGCAATCTGAAGACAAATACGTCTGCACACCTATATTTAAAAGGTTTGCTAACACACCGTCTCAGAAAAGAGCTGGAAAAGTGTTCAACTTTTTATGCTTCTGTCCTAAAAGTTCAAACTAAAATTTGGTGTTTTCTGCACAGACCAACCTGAAAGAGAAGAAGTCATTGAGAGTCTGAGGAAGATTCTCCAGAATGTGGCTTTTAGATTACCTGGTTGCGCAACTGACTCAGAGATAGTTTCTCTTTTCATTGTTAATTTTAACGCCTGTTCTGTGGTTCCCTGTGTGTCGGTGTCTGCAACTTTGTGTTTGGCTGCTGTCTCGGCTAAATCTCCACAGACGCAGAAATTACCGCTCTTACTAAGCATGTCTTATTGCCTTTGAAAACTAAGTAAGCTAACCTAACTTGATCTTTTTCTTTTACATGTTTTGGTTTTTTAGATGATGAAAAAGTTTGATAAACTTTTGAGTACATTTCTCCAGCCTGCATCTGCAAAACAGGCTTGATCGGCTGCAGTGTAATCTTTGCAGAAAAATGCAGCTAATAAACCGTAAATGATAGTTTTTCTCTGGGATAGAAGACCTCGGACTTCTGGGGTCCTGATACATACTCAGACAGTTCGGTCCCTCCAGGTTTGGGGGTTTCTAAGACAAAGGCCTCCGTCCATCTGTGAGGCCTTGGGCGTCCACCAAATGTTCAAAGACCTCTTTTTCTGGGTCTGAAAATCACACGGCTTGATCATTTGGACCTCTGTATGAAGACATCCAGACCTGCAGCTCCTTTAGTTCCATCTGTTACAGCTGTTGGGCAAGCTACCTGTACGAGGATGACCATATTCTGAATCCTCAAAAACAGGACAGTACTACCCAGGGTGGAGTCACGCACACAATCTTGAGTTTTTCGGGTCAGGTTGGGTGTTTTTCATGTACTTCTAACTCAGCTAGTCCACGTGACACAAACTCAAAACTTTCACACAAAACCGCCGACATTTAAAGGATTTTATAAACTCCCCCTGAACACTGAACAGGCCGGACAGCCCCTGGAAAAGAGGGCATGTCCGGGTAAAAGAGGACGTATGGTCACCCTACCTGTACAGAAACTAAACCGCTGAGAGCTGTGAGGTACGAGCCGACCCTCCGAAGCGTCTATTGAATCAAACCTGCGAACTACATGTTTTTTTTACTTATTAGTGCACCACTGTTTCCTCAAAGAGCACGAGGGAGACTGTTTAAAGCAGCGCTCTGAGAATATTCGTCAGCTGTGTCTTTAAGCAACATATCTAAACACAGTGGAAAATCCGTCTGCATTAAAATAGAGTAATGGTCACACTGGGGACAGGATGTAGCTCATTTCTCATGTGACAAAAAAAGGTGTTAAAGCCGTTGTAAACTACGGTCACTTTCACCTCTGAAAGTTGCTCATTTTTCAAACACTGTCGCAGGAAGTCCGAACAGAGGTGTGTTTTTTTTAAGGTAAAACTAGTTTCATTGCTGGACGAACTTCAGGATCAGTGTAGCGATTCTTTCAAGGATATTCAGAAGTTTCTCATAATTAGTATAAAATGACGTCTTCCTGGGGAATTATTAGGAAACTACCGCCCCATGAAATTAATATTTTTCTATATCAGGCAATCAAGATGGCTGTCTGCCCCAGCCACGGGCTGAAAGGAGGAAGATTCAGAACCGTCAACTCCAGAAGAAATGAAAACATGACAGCGTTAGTGTCTGTACATACACTTTTATATAAATAAACACTATCTTACAGTGAATCAAATGCAGTCAGTCACATTCAGAAAGTAGAAACAGAACTCTGTGAAACCGTAATTATGAAGGTCTATCCAAATGCCTCTAAAATTACTCCTAATTTAAACAAAATAAAAAACAAACTCAGATTAATTAAGTTAAATTAAACATCCGCAGGTACACTTTTATTTCTGGATGCTGTAACCTCAGTTAGAACATCGTGTCGTTGGTTGAAAGTGTTAATTTGAGTTCCTGCAGCAGTAAAATCATGAACGTCTGTAGAGCTGTGAAATAAAACAGCAAACAGTGACAGAAATAAGAAACAGACTTCTTCTTCTTCTTCTTCTCTTCTCATCACCTGCAGTATAACTTAGAAGTTCTCAGTTCCTCTGTCGATGTTTCTGTCTACGTGCAAAGGGGGATATCGCACTTCCTTTTTTTTTTGTTGAAACAGTTGACACGAGGAAGGCATGTTGTGAAACCTGTCGACTTGAAGTTGATCTAACAAGGAAGGTACTTCTGAAGGATGAGTGAGTGAGTGAAAAATGAGAAACAAAGGGATGACCTGCTGGTTTTCCCTCTTTTTATGAACCGTAAAGAAAACTTCTGGAGCACCAAAGACTCGAGAGTCGTGCAAAATTTACCGAAACAGAAGAGGAATTGAAATTTGATTGTGGTCAAAGATTTTAGAAAAGCCAAACTCTTGATGAACTCTACAGAGTATTGAACTGTTTTCCCTTTAATTCAACTGTAATGATATTTTCACTACAACCATCTGCTCACAGAATGGCGCAGGCGGCGCTGCGCATGGGCAGGTTGGTGGGCAGCTTGACGTACTGCTGCCTGAAGCTGTTCCTCTTACTGCTGAGGAAAGGACCCGGGTTCTCCAGGCCGTCGTCAGGGTTGGGGGACTCTGACAGTAAGTTCCCCTGGGGCACTTCCAGCCTGGCCCCCTTGTTGTTCTTAGTCTTTTTGGCCTTCTCCTTCTCCTGAGGCTCGGCTAAAATGGAAGGGGGCTCGTTGGCGGCCTCTGGTGGCGGCAGGGTGTCCAGGGGGAGGTCGCTCGGGCTCGGTTTCCCTTCAGCTTGCTCGTCGTTGCCGGCGATGTGGAGGTTGGAGGACATGCGCTTGGTGTTGGGGCTTGCGGAACTATTGGTGGAGTTTATGAGGGGTTAGAAAGACCTTTTCACAGACGTAAAACACTTTGACTTTGATATTTAGACCTTTAAATAACCTTTAAAAGCAATCCAGAGCATCAGCATGAAAACGAGCCTGTTAGGTTCGAGTAAACAAAAAGGGAAGTGTAAATACCACTGACACCCGAAAGTGAAACTTGTTTTGCACTTTTTTGCCGCCCTCATCCTCTGAACTTGAACTCAAACGTTATGAACCCCTTACACAGACGCTCTGAGGCCTAAACCATGAAGCTCAGGGTTTTTTCTTAGTTTATCTGGCCTCAGTTACCCTTAAAAACTGTTTCAATATCACATAAATAATCTGCTTTGAGTTTAGTAGAGGAAAATAGAGATGTTGCGCCTCTCTTTCACTCATTTCCAACACAAAAGCGACCGAACCGACTCCAAACCCGAGCTCCTCTTCTCCTTTATCTGTGATCACACTGCAGAAAATACACACGTCCCTCGGATGTAAGATTATGTTCATTCCTGCCAGAAGCTTTTCTCACACTGCAAAAAAACCTAAACATACAATTTATCTGCGTATTAGGTCCTGAGGTCTCATTTACTCCAAACAAGCTAACAGATCAGAGGAAGAATATCTTATTTAAAGAAAAACACGTCTCCAGGCTGAACGTCCAGATCTTTGCTTCCTTTTTTTATTCCTTTGTTGCTTTTTTGTCTAACTTTTGTGATGCTTCGGTTACCCAGGGGCTTCACTCCCTGTCTGAGCAAAAGTTTGTTATTTTGATGGTCAGTGTGAGTCTTTCAGACAAATAAAAGCCCCTCAAAGAGGCTTTGCTGTCTGCTGCTGCGGGGGGCAATAAGCACAGCTCTGGCTGAATCAGCAGGGGGCACACAGAGTCCACACCGAGTACAGAGGGAAAGTGATTCTTTGGTTTGTTGCTGCTCTCTTTTTGTCTACTCACCCATTAGAGCTCTTGTCCTCCGAGTCTTTCTGCTCGCTGCTGTAGCGCAGCTCAGCCGGGGTCTTGAATGATAGATCTTTCTTTCCTTTCAGCCAGTATGTTTTCATGTAGCCTTTTCCCTGAAAGACGGCAGGAAGATGAAGTGTTTGGATCGATAATGTGTTAATTCAGATGAAATGGAAAAAGAAGACTTCGAGTGTGTTCGTATCAGGGAGACGAGCAAGTTCAGAATCTGTCTCTGCAGGACGAGATTTTAATCACCGTCAAATTTGGTGTTTCAGACGCACTCGAACCTTTTTTGTCATCTTCAGAGTGGACTGTGTTTAACAGATTAGAAGTTTGGTGGAGTCAGAGCAATTCAGTTTGGTGAATGGGTCTGGAGCTGTTTTTTTATTCATTACATTAAAGACCCACGCTGATTAAAATCATGTTTTGCTTGTTGTCTACATGTCTTCTCACTGTATTTTTCTGAGGCTACAGGACATATTATGGGAAAATTAAGTGCGAAATTGCATTTCTGAGTATTTCTTCATTCAAATCGCTGCATTTAAATCCAAGCTCCGCCCCCAGAGCCCCACTATCCAGGCCAGACTCGGAAAAGTAGAGAAGACGATCGCAGAACAAGCGTGTCCATTAGCAGATTAGCTCGCAAGAAAGCTAATTATGATTTTAACTTTCATCATGTCCCCTGAGAGCTGAATAGCTCCTATGTTACCTGCTTCTTCTACTACATCGGTAATGTTAGGCTGCAAGCTAGCATGAAGAGGAGCGTGCAGAGCAGCGCTGTCTCCGCCCACGACTCAGAGGCGAATTGCTAATGAGCTACTGGAGCTCTGCAGAAGAAAAGTCCTTTAAATTGACACAGGTAACGTGATTTTGACTAAAAACTTTATAATCACAATTTAACGACCGCTGAGAACACTTGAAGTAGTAAAAAAAAATGATCGGAGTGGTTGCGTACAAAAGTGCCTCTGGAAGTGATCATACAGTCCGACAGCCAATCAGATTAATGCAGAAATGTAAACAGACAGAGGCATGCAGAGGATGGAAGCAGTTCCAACCTGCCAACAAGAATGAATGAAACGCTTCGCTAACACACTGCTGCAAGTAAATAAGAAGTAAATATAAGTGTTGTTCTACTTTGGAGTGTGCAAAGCATGCTGGATCTATATCCCATGTGGACCAGTCAAGCGTCACTTTGAACTTTTTTCTCCTTCATTAGATCAAAATCCTGAATTTCTAGAAATGGTTTATTGGTTATTAAGTTTAGAGACAAGTGACACGGATTTAGGAGTGAGAATCATCGGCTGAGCTTAACTTTGTGTAATTAGCAGAACAGAGGTAACAGAGGGTGTTGGAAAGAGCTGCACGTCTGCATGAAAACTGCACATTGCTGAACACAGTGGAAGTCGTTGTGTGTGAAGACAGTTCTGGAAATCTCCCAAAAAAAACGACTGTGTCTCAATGTTTTCTGTTTTTTTAAAGTACTTAAAAAAATTATGAATGGAAAATTATAATCCTGTCATATTTTTATTTACTCCAACTATTTTTTTGTGATCTCAGCACTTGAACAGAGACAGCGCTTCGCAAAAGGACATTTTTACCCTCATCAGCTGTGTGACTGACGTGTTTATTTACTGTTATTAGAAACATGAATTGGTTAAAGATAAGTAAATATTTTTATTCATCTTAAACAAAAATCTAAATGTTATTATCGAGTCCTCACCTTTACGAAGATTTTCCCCCTCTCCTCGATGATATACGGCTCGTGCTCCAGGTGGTCTTTGGTGGTCTGACTGATGTGGATCTGCATGCCCTGCTCAGACAGACAAACACAGAAAAAACGACTGCTAAAGCTCGGCGTTACAAAAAAACAGCGAAGGTCAATGAGTACACGCACAGGTTAGTGCGGCCTCTCAAATGAGACTTCATTCCAAAATGAAATGCATGATAAGATAACTAATCTTACAAACTACCTCCCTTTTAATTTTCCTCCCATCGTTGAACAGATTTCCCCCAAAAAACATAACAATAAAATTTACTGCTCTGAGTAATGGGAAGTAATGAAGTGATCATCCTGTTGCATTCACGGGGAAGAAGCACGCACAACGCCGTCATTAGAAACAGAATTACTGTTTACTCTAATCTACATAAATCTCCGTAATGATGAGAACATCTCTGCAGAATTTGGACTCTCGCCCCGGCTTATTTGGCGCGTTCAGACGCTGATTGTTATTGTGTTTGTGTAGTCACCACTCCATTGCTCTCCATCCTTGAAGCGGTGTTCACGGTATCCCCGAAGAGACAGTAGCGAGGCATCTTGAGTCCCACCACACCGGCCACCACCATACCTGAGTGAATACCTGAGAGAGAGAGAGAGGGAGAGAGAGAGGAAGAACAAAATAAGAAAGACAAAGACTCAAAGATGCCAGATGTACTCAGCTTACCTTCATCATTCAGCTTCTTTTACCCAGACTCCTGCTTTCTAAGGGTTTAATTATAATTAGTGGGTCTGTTGGCAGAACTAATGACTCAGCAGTTTCTTTTCAGCCTCGACCGCTCGAACAAAAGCAGAGGTGTGCTTTACTCAGAGGTCTTTAATACATGCAGACTTCAAAACCGTAAAATAAGCCAGTAAGTTCATGCCGAGGAAAACAAAAGTGTTGCATGTTAATTTGTGAGCGGTTTTATGCTGACCAGGGTGAGTATTTAGGGGGACTATTTTGCACCTTTGGTCATTAAGATCACACCATTAGAAGTCAATGAAACAAATCATGAATATTTTTGTTATTTTAAACCTAACCAAGCTTTAGTACAGTTAGGGTTAGCGTTAGCCAGGTCTGTAGCTCGATATAATTACATAATACCGACTGCCATGACGCCAAACTTCTCTACAATACGGTTGTAAATGACAGATAGCATCTAGCAGTGCTGTTCAGTTTGAAGTATTTTGTACTAACCAACAACAGAAGACTGAGTCTGCTAAAATAATAAGGTGTGTGGTCATCGATCCCTAAGACCTGAAGGTTGGTGGTGCTAGCTCTGCAGGAGGTAGTCATTCTGACACTGTTTCTCCATCAGCTGAACTGTTAGCTGAGTGTTTTCTTGACTTTAGAGCAGTTAGTAACTTTGATTTCTGCTTCCTTTAACCCATAAGTCAGTTAAAGGTGTTTTTAATCACTGGTTTAAATTATAGTCTTTAATATTGTAGTGATTGCCACGCATATTGATAAACAGGCAGCAGTTAATGATCAGTCAGACATTATTTAATCATTTAAAATATTTGTGCACTGACTTTTGTAGGGGTGACTAGCCAAATTATCCCAAACTCTAATAGAGAAGGTTACAAAAAATATTGAATATTAATTAAAATTTAAATGTTGAACTTTATTCTTTAAAGGATCCATAAAAGATCATTTCCCTAAAATTACTATTTAAAGTACTAAAATAATAAGATTCTCCACAGTGAAGTGCAGTCTGTTAAAATAAAACACAAATAGTTGATTTCAGTACAAGCTGCATTTTTCACAAGGTGAATAGCTTATCATAGTTAAGATTTCATGGCAGCAAATTGGATTTGGCCACCTCTGGCTCTGCCCCTGTCTTAGAGATAGAAACCAGTATTAACACTCAGTAGGGTTCAGGGAGGAACAGTGACCCCCTGTGGTGAAAAAGAATTAAAGCCTCTGCCGGAATATTGAACCTGGGTGCTCTGTTGAAGGGAGATCTTTCTCTATCGAGCTCTTCAACCTGAGAATTGTACGATCTGTCCGTCTCTTTAAGGTGTCAGGGTGGTTAAGAGGATTAAAAGTTCACTCTTGAACCAACAGGATCAGGACTTCAGGACCCTGATACAGGATCTCATAAACCCCCAAAACATCACAGCGGTCTTTTGAGGCTTATCGGGTTTGAGCTGCTGAGACTCCAAAGACGTAAAAATCTCACCGACTCTGATCTGGATGTTATCTCCTGTGGACGGGTCTTTGAGATGGTCAATGGAGCTCAGCATGTCCAGAGCCATGTCACAGATATGGTGGGCATGGAAGGTGGTCTTGTTGGGCACGCCGGCCACCACCATGTAGGCGTCACGAATAGTCTCCACCTGAGCGGTGGACAAAGTGGCGATTTGGAGACTTTTACTAGAAACTGTTTCATCCAAAACCCGTCAGAGAAGATAAAAAGTTTGAATGAAGTTATTCGGACTCCTCGGACTGACCTTGTAGACGTTGTGCTTCTCACTGAGTGTGTCAAAGACGATGTAGATCTCATTGAGCATGTCCACCACCTGCATGGGTGTGATGTGGATGCAGATCTCGTTGAACTTGACCACGTCGCTGAACAAGATGGTGACATCAGGAAACACCTGTGGGAGAAAGAAACATGAAGTTTTGAATAAACGTCAAGACGAACACAAACAGCAGTTGTTAGCTGATGGTCTGTATACACATGATGGTTATCTCTCCAGCGGCTGCTCTTCACCACAGTTACAGAGATTTGCATGATTTGCACAGTTTCCTGTTTTCATCACCTTGGATGTCTGATAATGTTCTCTGTATTCGCTGCACGTTCAGGGCGGAAAACGTTGTAATTAAAGGTTCAAACTGTCAAAGTGTAATCCAGGTTAGAAATCAGGAAAATTCATTAAAATTAAATAATTCTGTCGAATACATTTTGATCTTTTATGTCAGAGTTTTGACTTAAAATCTACTTAAAATGAAAAATTATGACTTTAATCAAAAAATGGCCTTTGACCTCACACTTTAACTCATATGACTGTTCAAATTTTAAACTTATCTGCAAATTCAACTTTTTATCTAATTAATTTTTTTAAGATATTATATTATTTGTTATATATTTCATAACTATTACTTTAAATACCATTATTTTGACTTACTTATGCATTACTATGATAGATTTTGATTTTTTTATCTTACTGTATCTGATCTCATATCATATTATAATTATGACTCATTATACTCACTTATTATCTATAACTTTCTGTCTATTTTTGTGACCTCATGTTTTCACTTTTTATCTAAAAATTACGAAGTTCTGATGTTTTTGATATTTTCCCAGGATTATTGCTTCTTCTTATTTTACTCTTTATCTCATAACTTTAACTCATTATTTTGACTTTTCATCCCCTGATTCATGACTCTTTATACAATCATTCTTTGTCATTATTTCAACTTTAACTTATAAAAGTGATTTTTAAAAAAATCTAAATATTTACCTCAAAAATCTCACTTACCTCTCATTATTTTAAACCACTACCACATAAAATGTTTTTTTACCAAACACTTTTTATGTCATTATTATAACTTTTCCTTTCAAACTGTAGACATTTTATCTTAAAATGATCACCTGTGTCTTAAATCATTTTTTAACTCATACTTTTGACATCTAATCGCATTATTGCAAGACAATAATGCTCAAGAGTTTTTGAAATCTCACAATTTTCAAACCAATATCTGACTATTTAAATTTTATTTGCATTTTTAACTTATTTTTCAGTAATTTTAACATTTTATCTTGTAATTCTGACTTCTTATATTATAATTAAGACTCAGTTTCTCAGTGCTTTGATTATATCTGAGAGCTGTTACTTTTATCTTATAGTTCTCACACCTTTTATCATAATTTTTGACCTACTTTATAAAATTCAGACTTTTTAGCTCAAAATGTGTGTTCCTCCTTTCTTGATTAGGACCTTTTTTCATCAGGGCTAAGTCTTTTCCTTCTTACTACGAGCCCAAAGAGTCAATAGAGGGGAAATCTCAGTCAACTTTTTGATGTGACATACCCCCTGACCTCCAATTAAAGCACGCTAGCATAAGTAAAGCAGGCAAGATGTACCCATCCTCTACATTATCAGGACTATACAAGCAGAAAATAATCTTTGGCTTCACTGGACTAAATGTCCTTTTCTGACACCTCGTTGCCCTGATTTTTGGTGGTTTTGTACCTGACACGTCTCCAGAGCAGTGATCCCCTTCCTGAGGCGGTCGGCCACAGCTTTAGGGATCATGGCGTAGAGCAGAGAGTCTCCTCTCTTCTTCTCTTCGTCCAGTTTCTTGATGATTTCCTGCAGCTGGGCATATTTTTGTTGCTCCTGGAGGATCAGAAACGGGACGCATCAGTCTACAGTTACAGTCTCACCTCTGTTAAAGCTCAAAAATCCCTCTTTGCTTCCCCTAATCCTCTTAATCCACATCTCTCCTGCATGACTAGAGTGGATTTAATGGGTGAAATCAATACGGGGGCAGAGCTTTCACCTGGGCACACCTGGTTAGGCTGAAGCTGGCAGTGCTTACATTTTGTGCACTCAGCATATCAGAGTATTTAACTCCTGCTATGGTTCATACAGGTCTTATAAAGGCAAACTTTAAAAGCTCATATGATCCTTCTGAATCTGTCCCCTGGTCAAACACAGCTCTGCTTCGTCAGTGAATGTCCTGTCCTTTAGGGACGGAGGATTCAGAGGTTTTCCTTCACCTGATCCAGGGCCAGCTGCAGCTCGGCCGACTGTTGTGTCCCGGCCAGAATCAGCTCTCTGCTGGAGTCGTGCAGATTCAGATCGTTCACGTACACACCCATCTTTATCATGTCCTCCACTGTCTCGATACTGCAATTATAAGATGAAGAACAGATGAACAGACTGGAGCAGGAAAGAATAAATTAGCATAAATAAATCTAATCTCCAAAATTAGATATGACTTAAGGGGAAAGCAACCTTAATTTCAGTCAAACAATTGGGTATTGAATTAATGGGATGGGAACACACACACACACACACACACACACACACACACACACACACACACACACACACACACACACACACACACACACACACACACGCACATATATTAGTGCAATCAAAGAGGCCTATTTTACTCTGCAGTGGGATTTAAGTCAAAATGTAAAAGTTTTTGGCATTAATATCAGACTCTTTAATTTATAGTTTATAATAAAGGACAATATTGAATTAATAACCTGCAGTGTTGAGAACTTTTGAAGACCCAGAGGCTGCCTGGTAATGATTAAAGTGGGTGTTTCCTGATAAAACATGTGTTTCTTTAGCAATTATAGTGTTAATATGTCCTTCACTGTCTCTCTACTGCAACTTCAATCTCATGGTGTTACTGGTTTAAAATCGGCATGATTAACAGGGGAAACAAAACAATATGGCGTCCCACAGAGCTCCATTTTAGGGCCTCTTTTATTCCTTATGTTAATGTTTTTTATTTCATATAAAAAACAGGCTCTTTTAATTTAATTTCAGCTGATACCAATATATTTTTTTACTGTACGTGAGAAAGAACAGAGTGATCTAAACTTAGAGCCAAGTGAAATATGGCGTCCCCCAGAGCTCCATTCTCGGCCCTCTTTTATTCTTTACGTCAGTCTCTCTCTCTTTTTTTACAGACGATACAATATTTACAGTTAAAGATAAACACAGGTAAATAGCTCAAATGAACAGTGTTCTACAGGGTATGGATTTATGGATAGTTTTAGGCATCCTGTCTGTGCAAAAGCTTTGTCTAAAATACAGATGAAAAGGAAAAACGTTAAATTACCTGTTTTCTAATGGCTCACTTTGCATTGTAAGATTATACACACTCTTTCCACAGCGTTAATTTGATCAATCGGATGTCTTAAACTAATCTCTACCTGCTCAGTTAGTAACTCCTGCTCTCCTCTGTCTCATGTTAACACCGTTTCTACACACTGTTTAATTCCTATTAAACACACAGAGCTGTTTTTTTCTGAATTAAGTTGCTGGTAATGAAGCCGAAGATTTGAACATGTTTCACACGAACAGCCTGCAGAAGATGAAAGGAGAATATGCTTCCTGAGTCAGGGAAAGCGTTTGGGTGTGAAACAGATGGATGAAGTGTTGAGCTAGCGTTAAAAGAAAATAACAGCAAGAGCGAAAAAGAGAAAATAAGAAACAGATTCAGCTTCTAATGACTACATGATGAAACACCAATATGGAGGTTTTTAGGCTCGACATCACTGAGACTTCACGGTACGAGATCGAGGCAGAAGAAAGAAAAACACCTGTCTCTGCACATTAGATGAGTATAATGACACCAGTCCATGCATCTTACTTTATGGATGATCAAAAAAGGTACAGAGTTCATTTAAACACCAGATTTAATTCTAGGTCCTGATCTTACATCGGCGTTCCCAGGAAGATGAGCGAGTCCCACTGGGGGACGTATTTCATTTGGCCCTTCAGGTGCAGAGGTTTCTTCGGAGGCTCTCGCATGTCTTCAAAGATGGTTTCACTACATTTCCCTGAGAAGGACGAAAACACAACGGACAGATCAGCTGGATCAGTGAAGACTAAAGAGGACCTGTTAGGACCCTGTCAGGGACACTGACAGAGCAGTTTAAAAAGTCCTTCATAAAACCATCGTTTAAGTGCTTTTTACCTCTACTTGGGATAATTCGTTTGACACCGCGTGTGGGTGTTACTTTTTACACAGCTGTGCCATCAGAGAGTGAAACCTTTACAGAAAATGTCTGAGGCAACCAACTGAGCATTCTTCGGACTAAAAGAGGTCTAATAGACGTGTAAATGTAATCTAGACGACTGGTCTAAAATCAGGCTAACACGGGTCTAAAAATGAAAGTTATCGAATAATGGGTTAAAGTGCAACGTCTAAATACAGAATCTAGACGGTTGAAATTCGGTCTAACAAAAAACTAGATGTCTAATAGTCATCTATTGTTCAGTGGGAAGCTCTTTGGTAACTCTTGCATACATTAGCTATCGTTAAGTTAGCTGCCGTTATAAAGAAACATACAGTAACCAACACGACTAGTAAACATTCAGGTGTGAAATTTTCTGACCAGTGACGGTCTGGAACGCCAGCAGCTCGATGTCCTCGCCTCCAGAGTTGGCGGAGCTGTTGTACTGAGTGAGGGCGCTGCTGTACTCCTGATCCGTGCTCTTCATCTCCTCCACCGTCTTTTGGTCTGACAGAAACAGAGAAGATAGAGAGACCAGGTCGGGGTTAACAGAGGCATAAATATGTGAAGAGATCATGATAAATTCCAGTCACAGTCCTGATGGTTCTGGATTATGTCTCGGATGTGAATTTTTTAGGCAGATTCTTACATCAGAATCTAGTTTTTCCATTTCCTCTCAAATATTGACATTACTCCCAATATGCAACAGAGCGATGGCTTTATTCGCTCGTTGGAGTTAGAGAACCAAACAGGTTTCTTCTAGTTAAAGATGGATGTTCTCTGAGGAAGCTGCACATTTATATTTGCTCTAAAATGAGGAATAGGGACTCGTCTCTTCAACATGTTTGATATTCATGTCCACCTGAATATACCATCAATATTTGATTTGGTTTGGTCCAGATACAGTAACCTTGGCCTACGATGAAGGATGACTTGATGGACACTTTCATGATCCCGTCCATTTGAAATGAACCTCTTTTAATCCATAATGTATTTCTACTGATAAAATAATGATCGGAGGAGGAGGAGGAGGAGGAGGACCGACTGGAACCTGTTTCTTCTTCTCTCTTTGCTTTCTCGCTCTCCTCCTTCTCGTCCGGCTCCTCTTTGCTCAGTTTGGGGATGTTGACCTTCTGCTTGCTCTCCACCACCGCTTTGGACAGCAGCTCAAAGACGTTGTTCAGATGGGTGTAGATCTAAAGTGAGAGGCAGGAAAACTTATGGTGACTTTCAATGTCAGAATTCGGGATTTAAAGGAGTATTTCGGTGTTTTTGAAGCGAGGTCTAGGACATTTGGGACTACAGGTCATCCAGAAGATCTCAGACTCACGTTATCCCAGCTGAACTCCAGCATGGGTCGCACCAGAGTGAACTCCTCGTTGACCTTCTTGCCCTGGAGGTCTGAGAAAACCTCTTTGAGGCCGTCCCCGATCCGGTACATGGTCATGTCCCGGCGGAAGATGACGCTGAAGGGGAACATGTCGAAAAAGATCCCCCGCTTCATCGGCAGCTTCTCGTAGCTCGGCGCCGTCTTCTGCTGGGGCATGCGGTGTTTGAAAGCTGCATTGTCGAAGTTCATCTTGTAAACCTGGACGAGCGAGGAGATGAAAAGACAGTCTGAACACAGATGAGAAAAGCTGCACACTTCAGGTTTATTCTGCTTTTTTAACAGACTGACCTACAATCTTCTCCCTGTATACCTGCCTGTATCAGATACACACTTTCTGTTTCATAAGAAGGTGATTTTGATGCTAATAGAGCAGAAACAGGGTCAGACTGATGACACTTGACTCCGCTCTGAGTACGTACCACATAAGTCATTTTCTCGGTTTCTTCTTTGGACAGGATCTCCACTTCGATGTCTGTGTTGTAGAATTGCCGTCCCACTTGAGAGAGCTGACCTGCAGGAGTCAACGACACACCAGCCGGTTATGGATGCTCGGAGGTCGACTTCGGCTCATTATTCGGGATTTAGGTGAAGATGGGATTGTGTAAACTCAATTTTAAAGCGAAGAGGGGGTTTTATTTTGAATCAGTGACTTTGTCAGGGTAGAAGGAGCTTGCTCGGTGGTGTAACAGCTTCAGTTCTGCACAAATAGGTCATATATTTTACTCAATATGAGTTCATCACTTTTTATCGTCACAAAAACACCTAAAAAGTGGTGATCAGAGCACCGAGGCCTCGACCTGGTGGAGATGCAGTTTCCAGAAACTAACTAAGATACTGCAGTGAGTGGCTCAGACTCATGATACACCAGCCAATCAGATCGCCCGGAGTAGCTCCAGCAGGGGGCACTCTTATCGTAACCTGACCGATAAATGCACTCTTGACTGCAGAAAACTAATCCAGTGATGTTATTCTACAAAAATAAAGGACTTGGTCTGAATGTTTTATTATTAGGGCTGTCATCAACCAAAGAAATTCTGGGTCGACTAAAACACGGAAATGTCGACCAAAAATTCACTAATTGGGGGTGGGTGGGGGTGTTCCGACTCAGACGGCAAACCCTTCTGCGGAAGGGGACGACGCAGCTTGGCGGAGTGCGGTCTGTCGGGGTGAAAATATACCGAGATCAGCACAAAAACAAAATTAAACACAAACATTATATTCAGCAAACGTTGATTAACGTGGACACTCTTCAATCTTCCTGTCTCCAGTGGGTTGGGCGAATCCAAAATGGTGAAATAAGGGGGGTGTTCAGAGACAGGCTGTTACCTGTGAAACGGGGCGCTCTGAAAACACCCCCATTAGCATTTGGTATGTTCCTCCTGATGAAATTTACCAAAGACCGTAAATTGACATGGAAAAAAAACGAGTCGACCAATCAGGATTGGTCGATTTAGCACGTGTCGACCAATAAGTCGACTAGAACATAACAGCTCTGGTCTGGATGTCAGAATATTAAACTGAGAAGCTGCAAATAAAGTTTCAAACTGTAGAACTTGTTTTCAAACTCCCAAAACAAAACAAAAAAAAAGCTTCACAGACGATCAAATGCAAATACAAAAACCAACTTTAAGCCTGTTCTCATGGCTCAGGAGCTTACCCAGCATGCACTGGGAAGAAAGCCACGTAAAGACTTGGTAAGGATGTAAACTGTGACTGAAACGAACACCCTCTTCTTCCTCTGTGTCCTCTCTTTACCTTTGACAAACTGGGTGAAGCCTTTGCGGGTGCTGCGGTAGTGCAGCGTGAGGCTGGTCTCGCACTCCTCCTCCACGCAGAAGCTGGGCGGCTGCACTTTGGGGAAGGAGAAGCGGAAATACTCGTGCAGGTTGTCCAGCTCATTGATGAAGTCACGGACATTTCGACCCAGCACCTAAAGAAGACAGAGTACGTAAGTAAACAGGAACAGGAAATAATTTATTCATGTTGAGTTTTTATTGCTTTTCACTCTCTTTAAAAGGCCAAAGTTCAAAGATCCTGTTGTTTCCTGTTATTCATGTTCCTCTCTATTCCTGTTTGGTCTGGATGAATCAGCTCTTTATCAGCAAAGTACAAGAAAAGTAAAAGACCTTGAGGATGCGTTCATATCCGTAGTTTCCGATCCTCTTCACCATATAGACCCCGAAAGCGTACATCAGCTCATCGTGAGTCTTTCCCAGAACCTCTCCTGCTGCCTTCGCCAACCGCAGGATCAGGTTATCACTGCGACGAAGCAAAAACGGGTAAAACAAAACAAGTTTGTCTCAAGATGAAAATGTTCTAAAGAGCCATTCAGTAAAGGCACGACAATAAAACCTGAAATAAGAACTCTTGTTGGAAGTAAAGAAATATTTGATGTTGGTCAAAGCTTCTTAAGTTTGTTTAAAGCTTCAGTGAGGAACTTTCTGTTGGTGTGGATTTTAGCGCCTCTGTTTAAATCACAAGACGGGACTTAAAATGTGCAAAAACTTTTTAAAGACTAATGATTTTAATGACAAAATTAAAGGTTTAGTAAATCCAATCCGATCCGCTTTATAGCACATTTAAAAAATAATAATAATAATACAAGTAAAATTAAAAGAACAAACACTGCAGAAAACATCAAGAGGAAATTAATAAAAGCATTTTAAAAACATTTTACATGAAATAAAATAAAAACACAAAAGCATAACAAAAATATATAAAAGACTTAAAAGGACAGAGATCACAGAACTCTCATGCTAAACTAAAAGCCAAGGAACAAAAATTAGTTTTAAGACGTGATTTAAAAGAAGAAACCTCCAAAAACTTAAATCAAAAACTTCTCACTGGTGCTTTAAGTCCATTTAGAAATTAAAGCCTTTTGTCCTTTTTCATTTTTATTATCTGTCCAACCTTATCGATGAAACATCCTGGATTGATTGAATATTTTATTTTGCAGGTCCCCACAGCAGTCTACACTGAGACTGCTCTAACACAGAAATTCACCAAACTGATCTCTGAATTTATTGTTTTTCGGATATTTAGTTTGTCTTGTTATCAGGTTATAAATCTTGGTGTGTGCTTTTTCAAAAATTCAGTTTCATTTGCAGCCTTGAGTCCAGGATATAAAACCATGACAAATATTCGCCAAAATATAACAAAGAAATAATGATTTGTAGAAAATTCTTAAACAAATGTGACACTGAGCCACCAAACAATAAAATCTGTAATTCCTCTTGTAACTTAAATCCCAGACTGTTCATCAAATGAAAAATGCTTCTTAAAAAATTGTTTTAATTAGCAGAAAAAAAAGAAAAATGTCTGTGAAAGTGACTCTTAAATTGAAATTATTATCGGCCCCGGCCAACTCCTACTCCGTGTTTGGCAGGCGGAGGGAGCAAATTTAATTCCCCGGGCGTTTGTAAATAAGTCAAACATTAATCAAACCAAACAAGTTTTTACACTTTAATATTAAAACTTTTGAGTCAACTTTGAGAGAGGACACACTCCCACTGTCTTATCTACATCAACGTTAGCCAGGAGATAAACCGCAGACCCGCAGGCTTTGGCACAGACGCAGACATTGTCCTACTAAACGATGAAAATTAACTAAATGAAACTGGCAGCAGTTCTTAGACTTCTTTTAATTTTTTAAGTTTTGGAGTGAACAACACTTGATAAAGAGAATATATCTGGAGAGGTAAAGGTTTTATTGTTCTTCAGCGTGAAGTAAAAAACACATGATTTAAGGATAAAAAAGCGCTCACTTGTACATCTGATGTCTGACAAACTTGAGGTGGGGGATCTCGGCTCGGTTCTCGATCAGTCTCCACACATCCTCTCCGTAGGATTCGTTGATGTAGTCGTTCACTGCTTCCAGGTACAGGCCGTACATCTTCAGAGGGTTCGAACCTCCTGACTGATGCCCAGATTAACAAATAATCTGAAGAGAGACGAGGGAAAGATACAGATTAGGCCCAAATTTGCTGGGATTAAAAATTCAAAATATCACTGACGAGAAAGTTTGTTTATTTCTGGAACTTTTTTCGTCTATGTGAAGAAAGAAAGAAACATAATTCACCTTTTTCACAGACAACCTCATGAAACCTCAGGTGACCTCCTCAGACACCGGCTACATCTAAAAAATGAGCAAAATTCTCAACTTTGGTGTCACTTTTTAAAAAATCGTACCTCCTCCTGTTCATTTTTTCAGCTACTTTCTTCTGCTTCTGCCATAAAATATCCCCTGAAACATTTTCAACACTTTTAAATCCTCAGTCTGCTGCAGAAAACCCACAAATAAAACCTTTAAAGTGACAAAAAATGATGCAAAGATAAAAAGAGAGAAGCCTCCTTACCTGCAGCCCCTCACCGCTGTGTAATCCTGTCCTCCAACTGAGCCATGCAGCTCCTCAGCATCGCTCCCTGCTGAGAGTTTCCACCTGCAGCTGACATGTGTCTCTGCCCTGACACTTGTCTGTCAGGTCAATGGGGTGACCGGGGCCAAAATAGCAGCAGCACGGCATGTTTGTGGCAGGTAGCAAAGAAAAGGCGAAAGGAAAAGGTTCTCCAGACTCTCAGCAGCGATGGCAGGCGAACACGCTGAGTTTAATTTGCCCGAGCGTTTGTATGGAGATGAATTCTGTGGGTGGCTGTGACTGCATATGCGGGAATCCTTTAAAAAAAAGGAGACATTTACTTTCTGTGTTGAGTAGGGAACAGTCTGAGGCTCATTATCCTAAATTAGCCTGCACTTTTTTTGAAACAGCTCATTAGCACTTGCAGGTTTCTTGGCTAATTACCTCAAATTAGCATAATTACGGTCAGGTGCACATTAGACTGACGGGCATTGTGTTGAGATTGGCATTTGGAAAGGTTTTGTATTGTTTGTTTCTGTGTGAAATGAAGCTGAAGAAGTGCTTTCAAACCTTTCAAACCTCCTGGTAAGGCTGCCTTTGTCTCCCATTCATCATGAATGTGACAAAATTTAATGTTTGGACTTTTATCATGACGTCTGTTTTCAACTAAACATCATAAAACACATTAAATCTGATCAAATCAGAGCTGAGATCTGACTGCTTAACATGTTTCAAAGTGAGGTGACACAAACATAAAGAGTACCTGCAGGTCAAGGTATATATATATCTGCACCTCTATTCTCACTGTGTCCACTAGAGGGCACTGTTAGAGCACCTTTGATTTATCACTGCTTTATTACACACTCCCTCTGAGGTGAAAAAGAGAGGAAATTTGGGTCTTTCTGATAAGTCCACATAGGAAGTTGAGGTGCTGTTTTACACAGTGACACCTGTGGCCTTTTTATCTAACGCTGCAAAATACAAAGACCTGCTTTAAGATGTGATTTTACTCAATTGTAATATCAGAGAAGCAGTAAAATTAAATCAAAAATGAGACTTTTTGAAACATTATAAGGATGCACGTGCTCAGATACATGTTTGGAGTCTATTCATCCAACTTTGACACACAGAAAAACAGAATTTGAAGATCTATGAGTGAAAATGCATGAACACATGTGAATACGATGCTCTAAATGAGACTTGATCACTCTAATTGTGCAGCAATTTATGATAAAAATCTCTACAGTATAAGCTTAAAGTTAAAGGAAACCTATTAAACTTATTTCCACCTGTTATTATGTCGGTCTAGAGAACTTTGCAGCTCAAAAAACAGATTTATCTTAATTTATCTTAGTGCTTCTTTGAGAAACTCAGTTTTGGCTGCTCTTCTACTGATATGAAGTCAAACACAGATTAAAGGGTGCTCCTTTTTACACAGTTTTGCAGTCGTGAAACAACCATAGAGTTATATGTTAGTTATTGGTTCATTAGCCGTTGTTAAAATGTTGCTTAAAGCCTTGGTGACGAGGCATTCGCTCCTTACTGCTCAAACTCGATGAGTCATTTTGTTTTGGATGACCTCGTCTTTTATATTTTACTTTTATTCAGAACAAATATAAAAATTAACTCAGCAGTAATCAGCTGTTGTCACCCTGGTGTTCACAGCTGTTCACACCTGGCTGGATCGCGGGTCTCTGTGATGAGATTTCATTTTACAGGTTCGAACATGGAGCCTGTTCACCCTCATTAGCCTTTAAAGCTCTGTGATAACTTTGTGTGAAGTAGACAGAGTGGAAGAATTACGATCAGCGATCGAGTTTAATTATGAAGCCTTTGCAGTTTTGTGGTTCGTTCATTAATTAAAGGAAGATACAGCAGACTGGAGTCTCTCATAAAAACACCCAAATGAAATTTGTTTCATTACTCCTATCTCCTGCTCCTGTTATTAAAGCATGCGGAGACATAGACCATGCATCATATCGGGTTGTGCAGAAGTGATGCATCAGATCCTGAAGCCCAGAACTAGAGTTGGGCGGTATGACGGTGTATACCATGTGACGGTAAAAAAAGTGTCTCTACCGGTAGAAATTTTGCTCGACCGGAGAGAGAGAGTATGTCGTTGTCTGCGCTCGCTAACAGGAAAGCCGGAGTGCATCTGTTTGGGTGCGTTTCACCGGCATGTCGTGCGGAGTTTGTTCGCTCCATTTGATTGGTCAGGTTTGGGTGCGCTCCCTATAATCACCAGCGTGTCCAGCAGACTGCTTGGCATAGTCTCAATGAAGAAGAAACAGCTTCACTGGTGGTGGTCATGATGGATGCGGAGATTCGTGGCAGCACTGAGAAAATGAAGGCGGCCCGACCAACCCGACACGAGGAAGAGGGGGAGGAACTCATTCTGAAAAGGGCGGGAGTCACGATATCGGTTGTCTGGATATTTTTCGGATCGAGAAAATCCGACAATGATCAAAAAACAAAACCATCAAAGAGTGTCGTGTGGCTGTCGTTGGTGGAGGAGGAAACACCATCAACCTCTTCCACCACCTCAAGATGAAACACGCCAAACTCTACTATGAGAGACAAAAGATGCGTGACGAACCTGCTGCTCCAAAAACTAAAACTGCAGCAGCTCCTCTCAGACCAAAGAGGGCGGCAGAGTCTTTGGCCAAAGGTAGGTCATATGATTAACAATCGCTGGACTGGGCGGCCATTTTGTTTGTATTTGTAAACAAATCAGAGTTTAAAAGTAAAAGTAAAATGAACAAATGTGACAGTCTGATTATTTTTTAGCCATTTATTGGATTTATAGAAGGAAAAAACATACCATGATATAATATTTGGTTCATACCGCCCAACACTACCCAGAACCAACACTGTCGACTTTTATCCACCATTTTTTCTGCACGTTTGGTATCAAAATTTTCCCCAGGTGATTCTGGATGAACCTTCCCACTTATATTTCCATTTATAGTAAATCCAAAGCAGGGTTAGTCGGGACCTTAAAGGTCAGGAGGCTCACACCTCTCATGTCCAGGTCTAATTAAGAAAAACACACTCAGCCAGGGGGATCTTCTCCAGCTTCCTCACACTTACCTACACTCCGCCGGGGAGCCGAGAGAGCCGAGAGCCTGTAATACAACCTCTGTGTGTGATAATGAGCTGCTCTCTCTTCCCTTTCTTGTGAGGCTTTTTGGCGCCTCTTTCCCGCTCCCCAGCGTTGCTCCTGTTTGCCAGGTGCTGCTGTCTGTCTTTAATGGCCCTGAGTGTGACTGAGCCACACGTTGGCCCCGGGAGGTCCGCCGCTGCCTCTTAGCCAGGGAACAGAGGGAGATAACAATGTGCTGATGGTGCCAACCACAACTCCGCGCAGATGCCGCGGGTGCTTTCATTAAAGTCGACATGACTCATCTTCTTTTCGCTCGGCCAATATTACACCCCGCTCCCCCTTTCTTCCCACAAAGAGAGAGGTGCCGCTGCTTCAAAAGGCGTCCACTCATGTCATTTTTCATTCGCTAACAGGGAGCCAAGAAACACCTCCCTCCTATTGTTTGATGCGAACAACACAAACACACACACAGAGTCATGCATGCACAAATCAAACACGTATTTTCCTGCTCCTCCTCCTCCACCGGCTCACACTAAGGTGGTGTCTGTTTCTCTCCCACTCACATGTTTCCTGTCTGTCCCTGCTTGTTATCTGCTAAAGGAGTTATCAGGCTCAGCCAGCCTAACAGTGGGATGATCCAATCTCTGGGGACGATCAGGGTCAGCGGAGGAAACCAAGCAGAGACAGACACATTCAGCTCCGGCAGAAGGACACCGGTAGAAATCGGTTTTGTATTTTTATATCCTCTAACTTTTAACAAAGCTGGAATATTCTTAGTGTGATACATAACCGCTGCAGCCTGGTCAAAACAGCTGCAACGCACCAAAAAAAATTCAGCAACCTGATGTGCAACCACCGATGAACTCATGTGAAAATGATCGAAGGATAAAGATCTTCCAATAATCCAATCAACCGTTTTTTTTCATGCCTGCTTTAAATCCACTTCAGGTAACAAAGAGGCCAACTTTAGCCAAAAACCACCACCTGAGACGTTCTCAGTCTCCTTCACCTCATACACGCTCTCTTGACTTCATGCAGAAACAGGCGTACGAACTTACAGAGAGCAGAGCTTGTTTTTTATAGAATAGAAATACAAAAGTCTCTGTGCTCCCCGTCATGCAGGTGCATGCAGGAGAGAATACAACCATGCTTAGTAGTGTGATTGTTGCTGCTGTGCAAAGGGATTATATCATTGGATCTGACTGATGAGGTGTTTGGTGGGTTAAAATCCACTGTGTAAATAGCAACACACCTGGGGATGAGAATTCATAAAACCGGTTCCCGAGGCAAAAGCACTCCAGAGTTCGGCTGTATTTCACGTGAAAAGATGATACCGGGGCTACTTACAACACTTGCAAAGCTTTAATTTCGTCAAAGAGGGAAAATACTTCCAATATGCGGAAACATTTGTCCACCCAGCATGCAGTTTATTTGCGGAAGTGTAACGTGTTTGATACGCGACTTAGTGAAGGTGAGACAGATACAGGCAAAAACAGGAGCGGCGCTAACGTCTCGGCATCATCAAGCTAACGTTTAACTCCTCCAGGTCGTGTCTGTTGTGTAGATGTTAGCGCCATGTTAACGCTCTTTCATGATATAAATACTCTTCATCTCCTTAAATTACATTTAGATGACGATGACCGTCAGAGTCATGCTAGCTCAGAGGCTGCAGCGGTTAGCTCTCGCAGACCTTTGGCAGCCCCTTTCATTGAGGCGGGAAAGAGTAAAATGACATTATTGGTGCATGGATAAGTCATATCTTCTGTCCAAAGGTGAAAATATTGAAGAGTAAATGCAAACAAATCCATTTGTATCGTTTTATTTCTCACTCAATGAGAAACGATAAGGAATCGTATCGATAATGGAATCAGAATCGCTGAACTCTTAATAATTCCCATCCCCAAAAACACCTTTGAGGAAGTGCTCAGGTTGTGCTCCGCTTAACTAGCAACATGTTGATGGACACGTCTTGTTCCCTCGGCGCCGTGTGCTTCAGACCGTGTTTCATGGATCATTCAAAGAGGGTCTCTGCAGCCGAGCTCCGATTAGCTTCTTTTCACTTACGCCTCACTGTCTGGGCTCTTTGTCGTCCTCTCAGAGTCAAAGTTTTTATTCCTCTCTCAGGGATGCAGATGACATATTTCTGGCTGACATGCGAGTCACATAAACAATTAACTTCTGACCTGCGGAGTAATCAGCTCTGCTAGCACAACTCAGGAGAGGCAGAAAACTGGATGAGACAATTTTCTTTCTCCTGAGAGGGAAGCAGCAGAGACTGGCCTCTAATCTTCTCTCAGTGATTAGAAAGAGTTGAGAGGAAAATGATGAGTTTATGAGAGTTGCTGTAACCTCAATATAGTTGAAAAATAAGAGCGCGATCATGGCGAAAAGAGATATCCGACTTTATTCAAGGTTGTGACAGTAATATTTTATAAGACAGACTACAACAGCGACAGGATTAAGAGGTTTATCCGTCTAAAGTGAAGTCCGTGAGCCAAGTTGTTCTCTAAACTTGTCCGATACATCAGTTTAAATGGAGGCCGAAACGTTTAAGCGAAAAGATCCAGAAAGTGATGCTTTAGATCTTTTATACAAGACAAGGAAGTAATGTTTAAAGTTTAATGTGTGAATTTAGTGTTTCTCCTGTAATTCTTTGATTTTCTGACTGATGTTTGGTGTCTGTCCTTCCCTAACAAACAGAAACACTCAGAATCATGTGGCGGTTCAGCTGTCCCTGATCTTCATGCCCCTCTGGTTAGTGGTCCTCACTCTGTCCGTGTTTTATTTCATACTATTGGCTCCTAAATCAATTGAAAGTCCGTCTTTTGTTACTAAATTAAAAAAGAAACATGTTCATATGAGGAATCAAACTGATCTCTCAGTGTTGCACATGCATGACTCATGAAGTCCAGGATCAGTACAAACCTGGGGACTTCGAAGGACTCGGCACAAATTACTAAGATTTCAGATGGGACTGGATTAATATAATCAGAGCACGTCTGCGTGAATCTAAAATGTCTGATATTTAAACGATAAAATTTCAGGGCAAATCACAGACCATGTTTCAGGACACACAGACGTCCTCTGATTATATTAATCCAGTCCCATCTGAAATCTCAGTCATTTGTGCTGATGGTCATTTTCTTAAAAGGACTTTTTTCTCCTTTTTTTCAATTTTAAAAATGAGTCAGACTTTGTACATTAAGATTTTTTGGTGCAGATGAAGATGGATCCTTTTGCTGCGACATACAAATATCAGTGAATATTAATAGTTGAAACAACAATGAAAACGACCTTTTTTTAGCCACTTATTTTACACATTTTTAGAATTAAAACATATAAGATATAGGTTTTAAATCAGCTGTGAGATCAAGGACAATAACTCGCTAACTAATCAGCTGTGTGTTTGTTGACAGTCGCATGTATGTTTACTGATACGTTTACTCCAAAGTAGAGCTACATAAAAACTCATTTTTAAGGTGTGGCAGCTCTTATTTAGCCGTAGCGGTCTCCTGATGTTTCCGCGCAGGCAAACCGTGTCGCCTACAATTTGCCTTTAAATTTTCTATTAATTTTGAAATGAAATCATGGTGGAAGAAAGAGACGACAGAGTCAAAGAAATCCATCAGCCCTCTAAGAAGACTAAGTCGAAGTATGGGAATATTTTGGGTTTGTAGAAATGTTGAGGGGAACACTTAGTTAAAGACAGTAATCCTGTCTACATATGATGAAATGATGAAAACAAACCATCGTTCAGCGCTAGTTAAAAGCATCAAAAATGTTGTAATCAATGACTTTGAATAAATTTTTAAAAGTGCCGCGATAATATTGAAAACCATGATTATTATGTTCACAATAACCATGAGGTAGAATTTTCATACTGTTGCATCCCTAGTTTTAGCTTCAAACATGAACATGATTCTCATGCTTTCATCAATTTCCTGCAGAGTTGAAGTGGAGTCATGCTGTCTTCAGAAACAAGGCGTCAGAAGGTTATTCATGTCCCCTTCAAACAATGCATATGTTTTAATCTAGTTAGTTGAGTATTAATTATTCCTAACTGGATTGCAAAGACGTAAATTTGACACCAAAGTTGAACCTGAATTCCTCTATCCCGGTGCACGGCCTCACTGTACAAAACGCCGTGTTTGTGACTCTAACCCTGCACTGAATTGATCTAACCTTGCAGAGAGTTTCATCAGCTCAATATTATTTTCTTCAGGTTTAAAATCCTCCAACTATGAATCTGTTCTTATGTCAACACTGTTCTCTGAGCAGCAATAAATGAAAATCCAATGGCACACAATCAGCATCTCATCGATTCGGAGTCAGAAATCCATCTGAAGTGACTTTGGAGAGGTTCAACCTTCAGCCAGCTGTTTGTTCAGCTCAAAGTCAAACTCCATGATTCATTTATTTCTCAAGTTCTCACAAAGACTGATTTAAACTTTGTTCTTTTCAGGTCAAACGGGATCTAAATTCAGCATTTGTAGGTTCGGCTGAGCATAATGGACTTATCTGCAGCCTTTGCCTTCTTTTGAAGGAGTTCAGAAATGTGCTCCTTGGCCCTAAAAGGAGCAATTTCACCTCCTCCTGGCTCTGGGTTTCCCTTCACTTCAGTTTTGTTACGCTCAGCTCTCCAAGCAGCAGGAACAGCAGGATATCAGAAGCCAACATCTGTCTCCTTCTGCACATAAACCCTTGAGTTTGGGGTCGTTTTCTGCATTTGTTCGGGATTATCTGCTCTCTCTTTGACTGCTTCTACAAGCCACACAGCATTTATGGTTTTAGCCCTCAGATACTCGACTTAAAATCTGACTTTCCCTGCGAGGCTCCTCGGTGTCATCTGGGTTCAAACCTTTGAGTTAATGGAATAAACACTACAGGGTTCAAACTAAGTACCTAAAGTACACTGATTCGAGCGTGCAATTACTTCAAATACACTGTAATATGAGTTTAGAGGTAGATTTTGTGACGGTCTTAAAAATAGCGCCTCCTTTTGTCCTGTTTGTGTCCATCAGGGTCAAAAGTTTGTTTCAGATCATCGTACTATACTTGCAGTTGTTTTCTTTCAGCTCCTCTCTCTCTCTCTCTCCGTCCTCTTCCTGTCTCTGCCATTAACTCTGAGTCATCGTGTCCCATTATACTCACTCATTTTCAGTCTTTTCTTGGAGTCCTTGAACTCCATCTTGCTTTAGGTTCTTCTGAATTGCTGCTGCTAAAACTAAGTGCAGAGGAGGTGGATGACTGTCTCACATGAGTCTGGTTCTGCTCGAGTTTTCTACCTGTGAAAGGAAGTTTTCCTCTAAATCATGCTTGACGTACGCAGACTCAAATGTTGTGTAGGAAAACCCTCCTTTTTTTGCAAATGAAGATCTTCAAGCAAACGTTTCTTCGTGATTTAGTGCACAAATGTTGAGTTATTTTTAAAATCAAAATAATCCTGGGATGAAAATACGCAGAAACTAAGTTAGCAAATAGTTTTAGACGGCAGTCGTCTATCCGAACTGAATAAATGACCACAGCCTTTACGAAAAACCTCAAATTAATGCAGTCTTGAAGACCTACACCGATGAAAAATCATGTTTTTCTGTTTTTACATGTTCATATGTCAATTTTCTGATGCTACAGGACATATCATGAGAAAACTACGTGCAAAATTACATTTCTGAGTGTTTCTGCATTTTAATCTCTGTGAATCTCCGAACTGCAGGTTCAGACACAGTGAGATTTCCTACATCACAAATCCAAGCTCCGCCCCCAGAGCCCCTCTACTCGGAGAAATACAGACGCTGATCGCGGAACAAGCGTGTGCGTTAGCGGATTAGCTCGCAATAAAGCTAATTATGATATTAACTTTCATCACGTCCTCAAAGACACTAGTGTCTGAGAGCTGAACAGTTCTCTGAGTGTCTGAATCTACTCCGGCAATGTTAGGCTGCAAGCTAGTGTGAAGAGGAGCGTGAAGAGCAGCGCTGTCTCCGCCCACGACTCAGAGGTGAATTGCTAATGAGCTGCTGGAGCTTTGCAGAAGAAAAGCTCTCGAAAATGACACAGGTATTATAATATTATTGCAATTTATATATTTTTTTCAACTGTTTAGCTTATTTAGTGTTTGTCTTTTCTTTTTGTTTTTCTCATTTATGCTGTATTTAATTTCCATGTAGCACATCTTGCAAACCTTTTATATATTTGTTGTACTAACTTTCTTCTGCTCTGTGGTGTCCCTCTGCCAACCTCAGTGGAGACGATACGATATATCACCAGACAAAATATCACGATACTATGCCATATCAATTTTTTCTCCCACCTTTATTCATAATCACATTTTAAAGACCTCTGAGAACTCTTTAAATAGTAAAATAAAAAAACAATCGGAGTGGGACTTTAAACAAGCGTGCAGGAGTCCTCCTCTCCTTACATTTAGTAACAGTTAAAAGACAAATTGCCTCGCTCGAACCACATGCTGGATTCGTCTGTTTGCCCCTTTAAAAGCTCCTTAAAAAAACACCAAATCTATCCAGAGCTCCCCTGCTGCTAAGAGTCAATCTAAAGGCGTCAGCGTCTCACTCATCGATTATGATAGGAGGACGATTTCTTTGTGCATGCAGCGTAAATGTTAAATTTACTCGTTTTTATGAATGTTTAATGAATGTACGTGAATCGTTTCCGCAGCGGCAGCACATGAATGATTCACCTGCGACAGCCTCGATGTCTGTTTTAAATGTGTCAGGACAGATTTGTGCAGACGGAGCTGCTGCTGGATGACCGTAATCAGAGCATATCAAGAGGAAGCGCCCAGAACCGGTTACACTGAGGGGATTTCCAGCTGGCGCTATCTGGACGGTGATGGATCCAGGCCTGCAGAAGGGAGGTGTTGGTGAGGTGAGAATGGAGAGGAGGAAACGGGGGAGAGGGGTGAGATGTCCTAGCGAGGACAGGTGCAGGGTGAACAGGTTTGGGCAGGCTGAGAGAGTGTGAACCCACGTGTGAAATCAGAGTCCTCACCAAACGGACAAGCACAGGTGGGTCCTTGTCTCCGGGTAAAAGTGTTGGATCTGCTGAGTCAAGACCTCTGCTTCTCCTGATCACTCCGGATGGAACCGGTTACACACTCACACAGACAGACAGACAGACACAGATACACAACTGTAGCACTAAGGGTGTGTGTGTGTGTGTGTGTGTGTGTGTCAGGCATCGTGCCACAAACGCCAGGCGTGCCAGGCATACCAACCATACCGCATAACAGCCCGCTGACCTCAGTTCTTATATGGCAGGGGGTCATGAAATAAGGGCACATCATGCAGTTAGAGATTCGGTTGAACCACAACACGAGCTGCACGCTCTCAAAAATCGCAGAAAAACCCACTTCACCCCCCGCGGTCTGAATAAAACCCCCACAGTCTGACCTTTGCACGCTGCATTTCAGAACATGAACTTCCCCAGAAGTCGCCACGCTGCGTTCTCTGAATACTTCTTTAATGTCTTCTATGGTGCTCGATTTGTCTGTCTTTGGTTTTATGTTTTTTGTGCAAAAACAAAAAAATCATTTCAGGTTTTTCATTATTTGGATATTTTCAAATGAAGTTAAATCAAAAGGACTTAATTTATCCAATAAAGTTTCTGTCGGGAACTTTTAACTAGATTTTCTCCTGATATATTTGTGTCATCTACAACAGCAAATGAGCCCATCAGAGCGAAGAGAAGATATTTCTGAATAGTGTAACTCCTACTTTCAAAAATTTGTTCGTCGGGTCGCCCACTGACAAAACAATTTACGGCACACAGGCCAAAGTTACAGCACTTAGGGACATGAGAGGAGCAGTGAGTTGTTGCTAAGCTAGCCAGTGAAAACAGAGCGAAGACATGATGGGACAGGGTCCACAAAAAGAAAACAAATTAGAACAGAAGAACAAAAAAAGCGAAAAGGGGAATGTGATTGAGCGAGGGCAAAAACGAGGATAAACATCGGTAATTTCTTCGCAAGATGGAGAGGTTGCGAGGCTTGAAGAGAGTCAAGTCTGATCCTAATTTGTCCAATTCCTCTTAGACAGGTGATGTTTTTATACACTGTTAGCTTATTGATATGAAGATAAAACATTACCAAGTAAACCTGACAACTTAAGCTTTATATGCTAATCTACAGCCGAGTTATCTACTCAGTTTGTTGTAGGTTTACTGTTACGAACGGGACGTAACTGTAGCCTAAAAATACAAGTCACAATAATACAACATCACATCATTTCACTGGCGGAATATTATAGTTCATAGAAATGGAAAAATATACATTACCTCGTCATTACACATCCTGCAGAAAGCCAAAAAAACAAAAAGAAAAAATTCAAAGCACCGGTGCATCCCGTCTGGTTTCATTCGCCTCCAAAACAACTACACCAGTGTCTTCACAACAGTACGCACAAGAGGAAAATGCAGTCATCATTCGGCAAAACACGACCGTTTTAGTCCATAGTGGCTGCCGAACACAACAGAAAATGAAAACTCTGTTCAGCTGCTTTAAGAAAATAAAACATAAAAAATAAAACAGGATTGGACGCGGGGTCAGATCCAGACGAGCTGTTAATAAGTGAGATGAAAGTTTGCAGGAAGTTAGACCTGCAGAGGTTTCAGGTTATTTCTAGTTTGTTTTGCACACAGATATTGACATTAACAAACCAGGTAAGTATAATAAAAACAAACTCAAACTTCATATTTATTGTTGGTTTCAATGTCATTAAGCATAAAGATTTCCTCTGAAACCTGCACCGCCGGGATGTCAAGCTTCGTCTACACCAAAGAAGACAGTTTCACCTCGAGTTTTTAGTCCGTCAGTCTATCAAACCTGTTTCCTGAAGCTAATTTGGGTAAATAAACCAGTGTTTTAAGAAAGGGCACATTCTCTTTAGTTGTCATCGGATGAGATTGGCATATTTTTCTTCCACTTATCACGCTCCTCTGGAAATCTGACAGCACTCCTCACAAGGTTGACCAGATAATTTGACTCAAGTGGAGAGAAATTGATGAAATCTCAAACATAATTGAGGGGGAAGTTGTAAAAATGGAAATAATAATCTTTTCGAAATTGCAGGTTTTCCAGGTTGTTAAGAGAAAAATAAGGACTTTCAAATCCACTTACTGCTCGTATGACTTCGATTGAATCCTGGCCTTTCAGCTTTGGCACTTCATTTATTTTAGAGAATAAATATTAAACCTCGTGTTGTTTGTGTTTTCTGGCTTCATTTCAAGGATGTGACACAACCTGAGAGACAAACACAAGAAGATTGAACTAAATAAGGAACAGAAATCAGATTCATGCAGGTATGAGACGGAGTATTTTGTGGTTTAGATTCATGAGTTGTTGTATAATGTCAGAGTGAAGTGAGTGTATCAGTGATCAGGGTAAAAAGGCTAAAAAGACGGGAATGTAAAAAAGACGGAGGCTTTTGGTTGAAATTTTCTTCGCCAATTTCTACAAGATGTGTTTGTGAGATCTCCCAAGGACTCCCAAAAACCCACGAATTCACTGAAATCTCACCGTAACGAGTTGTTTCTATAAAGACAGACACATGATAGTATAAGCAGTAGATTGTGTCCTTCCAGAGGAGGAAATCTATTCTGTTCAGACAAGTAGATGAGACACTTTTGTGGAGATCAAGAATTAACCATGGCTAAGTGCAATATTTATCTTTATCTACCAAGTCGGATGTTTTATTTTGTGTCTGTGACCGACTTCCTTTCCAGCGCGGGTTAATCTGTGCTGAATTTATGCAGCACGCTGCGGCGTCTGGAGAAAATAGAAACCTGGCGATCGGCTGTGAAGCCTGCTGAACCGCAGGGGGCCGGAAAGAAGCCGGTGGAAATTGACAAAGTAACTTGAATGGAAACAATCAGCAGCGATTGACGCTAACGGCCTTTTCGCCACTATTCCACATGTGAGAAACGAAGGAAATTGCATTTTTTTTTAATGAAAGCAAAAACTCCTCAGAGAAACTTTGGCGCCCCCTTTGGACTGAATCATTCCTCTGCAGCATGTGGTAACTCTATATACTAGGCACAACATGGCAGCTACCCCCACCAGACCATGGACTAGAAATGTGCAACACTGAAGCTTTATGGTTGTGCATGTTGATTTCAGTCCCTTTTGTAACTTGGAGAAAACTTCTTTTAGGAGCTTTAAGAAGTTCTGCCACATTTACTCAATGTGCGATAAAGTCAAAGTAAACTTTAAGAGAATGACTACCTGGCCAGAGAGTCTGATCTTCAGTCAAAGGAAGCTCAAGAAACTATCAAGTCACCATGACGGCTCAAAGCTACAAACTGTTCAAAGAGTTGACTGATTTTGAGCAGCGATCCAGAGGAACCTACGGCATGATGGAGCTCAGAGACTCCCAGAAAGATCTGTTCCAGGCCTGAACCAGATCTAACTCTGAGCTTCATCAGAAATTAAACTCACTCGAGCATTTTCCAATCGTCTCAGAAATAATCACATGTTGGAAACAGAGGCTCATAACTCATATAATATGAGCACGGAAATGTTTTACCGAAGGTTTCAATCATAAAACATACAAAGAGGATCGAGGTCCAAGCCCGCCCTGCCAAACACAGCACAGGCTGCTCCTCAGGACCCGTGCTGAAAAAGAGGCGGTGAACCAGCAGACCGCCTGAGCAGAGGTGAGACGGAGGGTAAAATCTGAAGGACGGAGATGTAGGTCGGCTGAAACTCGCTGCAGAGATCCAGTTTGACTTTAAGAAACAATAAAACTCGACATGAAACAGCAAACAGGTTTAATCTGCCTGATCTGAGACTCTCCTGCTGCACAGGATCCAGGACTGTGTATCCGCCGTGGTGCTGACTGCTCTGTTGGATCAGTTAGGAAGGATTTCAGAGGGTGGTCTGAACCTTGTGATGTTCCCAGCAGCACAGACATCACATAAGGAGAGTAATTTCTGCTCAGGTCCGCCTCGGCATGAAAAACTCTATCATGGAAATGCTCGCAAAAAGGCAGCGTAAGGCGTATCAGATTGAGAAATGTAATAGTTTGCACTGAAGCCATTTTCGGGAAAAAGGAGTTGGTATTTGGCTCGGTGGGGGGGAGGCCGGGGGGGAGGTAGAGGACTTGTCATTGTACAGTATGTGCTGCAGCTCTGTGTGTGCCTCCACCAGCGTTTATGGGCCGTTTAAAAGCCTTCGAATGAGCTGTGGTTTGCGGCCTACAACTTCTCCCCAAACCCTGCAGGCAAGCTGCCAGCTTGGCTTAGAGAGAAAATAAACAGAGGAGGAGAGTTATGGAGGTTTTTACAGGAGAGGGCCACTTACTGAATCTTCTCCGGACTTGAGGAACGACTCTTTCTTCACTCTTTTGAAGTTTTACCCCTCCGATAAAGAACATTTAAGCTTAGATCTGCAAGAAAATGTCAACACGATTTCTTAACAATGTAACACAGCCTGCAAATCTTTATTTAGCCTCCAATTACCGAGCTGAGCGAGCGAAATGAGAAGGGATCAGAACTCTGGACTTTTAATTTACTGTCTGTGTGTTTGTGCACGGTTTAGAGAAGGCCTTTCGAATGAGCGGATCACGGGAAGCAATTTGTGTTCACATCTTGTTGCCATCACTCGCTGGTTTGAATTCAGCTTTGTAATTATATCATTACACCGTATAATTAGCAAACAAGAATGTTAGGGGGTTCAAGTACAATGTGGGGATCACAATAAGTCGAGATTTCAAAGACATACCTCGTGCGGAGAATCATGGAGGAGGACGCGGAGTCTGTTTTGCATGTGCTGATGGTGTCAGGCTCCGTTCGAGACAAACGGATCACCTTTGAGTATCATGCAGGAGGTGGAAAACCACGTGGTGCAATCAAATCGATGTTCAACATGCAAACTGAAATTGGTGGGTTGTAATTTTCTCGCTGTGACTCTGCAGAGAGGCTGATCGAATCCCTGCAGCCTTTTGCACAGTTTCTGTTTCTCTCACACTTCATCGCAGGTACCTGGAAGGTAAAAACCGACAGCAGGTAAACTCGCTAATCCAACTAGTGATTAAAGGGATATTCCGCCGTAAAAGTAATTAAGGGTCAAACACACTGTAACAGAGTTAGACACCCCCTCCAGAGATGAATGTTGTCGACCGCTTGCTTCTCTAGTTATACCAACTTTAGTAACGACCGCAGGATAGCAATACAGAGAGCCACGCCCTCAACCAAAACGCCACTCTATAGACACAAATAATGCTCAGAACAGCACCTAACTTCATCAACAGGACATATAGGGTCACAGACATAGTACTAGACACCAAACATCTTTTTAACTTTGACTCATTTCTTTAGCAAAGAGACTAAACACAACTCACCTCCATTACAGACTACAGTGGGGTGCCGCAGCTCAAGGAAGAACATTTCTGATCAGTTCTTTATCATTTCTTTGAAGTAATAATCACCATATTAATCATTTTCAGACGCGGTAGTTCTTCTGCCTCAGCGTCTCGGTCTGATTGTATTTCCATGAAGAAATGATCATAAATGTTCTTCCTTGAGCTGCGTCACCCCGCTGTAGTCCATAATGGACTGGCCTGAGGTCTCTCTACAAACAAGCGGCTGCTGGAAGAGAGTAGGTGAGTTGTGTTTAGTCTCTTTGCTAAATAGAGTTAGTTTTGGTTGAGGTTTGTTTATGGCTCCTCAGACCACTTTGTATTGCTATCATGCGGTCGTTACTAAAGTTGGTATAACGAGAGAAACAAGCGGTCGGCAACATTCATCTCTGGAGGGAGGTCTAACTCGCTGTTACGGTGTGTTCGACCCTAAATTAATTTTACGTCAGAATATCCCTTTAAGTGAGATGAGAGACAGTAGACTGCGTTTAATTGGTGAAAATTTTCTCACTAGTTTGAATTTTAGGGTGAAAAGGACGAGAGCAACGCCGCAGTGAAATGTACTGGAGGGGAAAAGTTTGTCACCTGCCACGAACTCTGCCCAAAGTTTCCGTCGTTAGTTAGAAAGACATTACCTCTGATGGTATTCCTGCAGCCTCAGCATCTTGACCTTGAGTTCCTCGCTGTTTGTCCAGCTCTTCTCCCAACAACACTTGGAGCCGGCTGCAGGCAGCTCCCCGTCCTCAGAGCCAGGACGGCCTGTGTTCAAAAGCATCCAAAATGGATTATTTTTAAATGCACTCTGGCTTAGCGGGGGGAAAAATGTCCTTACTGATGTTTTCAGGGAAATATGATTTAATTAAAAAGGTTTTTGCTGGATGAATTTGAAGGCTGAGCCCTCACAATGCCTGACCCTGACTCTCCGGCTTCTCTAATTGAAAGAGGGAAACCTGCTGAATGGACGGTCCGCAGTTCAAACACTGGAAACTGTCCTGATTAGACACATTTCTGGATCCTGACGACACCGCGTGATGATGCAAAAGCTGGAGAGTTTGCAGAAAAGAGCAGGGACAGAGTTTGGAGGATGAACTTTGTGAAGGTCGCTAAAAAAACGAGCGAATCCAACTATTTATGTTTTTGAAACTTCATTATTGTTTCGAAAAACTATTAAAAACTAATCAATACGCAGCTTTTTGCATTATGGGACATGCTCTTTCTTTACTGTGAACACCTACTGTAATTTACTGCGAGTCAATACCACCTCTGTTTGCTAATAGCTGAATGTGTCACTCCTACAAGTCAATAAAAGCGTTGTCTCCACACAACTTCTCACCCTATGTGCGAGCGAACGGCGGGATAAGAGCGATAAAATGTCTGTTTACAAAGAAGCATCCAGATAAATTCAGCAAATAGCGACTAAAGAGAGCCAAGCACATATCTGCCGAACCTGTAACCTGCTGCTGATTGGTTCAAACAAAGAAAATCACCCCTCAGCAGGAGAGAGTCTGACATGGTGGCGTTGTCAGACTGAAGAGAGACCGAATGGAAATCAGGCTGATTATCAGGTCATTTATATTCATCAGGTGGCCAAAAACACATCAACAAACAAATGCTAATGTGTGTGTGTGTGTGTGTCAGCGTGTGTGTGTGTGTGTGTGTGTGTCTGCTCCATGTGTAAATAAGACACTGATGTTAACACAGTCACCACAGCAGCTCTGGATGTGCCACCATGAAAGAAGCTTTTTATATGCTGTATATGTTTTATACATAAAGCTGCATTATACAGAGACACCTTTGTCAAAGTATGTTTACAGTGAAGTTATGGAGTCAAAGGCGTGGATTTATTAAAAAAATAATAATAATAACATGAAAATTAGAATTTAAAAACTTATCTTCAGTTTTCATAAAAAATATATAATTAATTATTGTGAAAAAAAAACACTTATTAATAAGTATATTTACAGTTAGAGAGTCATAGGTGTGGATTTATAAAAATAATTACATGAAAATTAGAATTTAAAAACTAATTTTCATCAAAAATATAAAACAAATTATTGTGAAAAAACACTAAAAAGTGCATTTATGTTTGATTAATGCTCCACATTGTTACATAAATGTGATCATTCATTCATTTATCTGTTTTTCCACTTTACAGTTTAAAATTACTCATATTTACAGGGTTCCTGCACTAGTATGGAAAAGTATGGAAATAAATTTGATCAGTTTCCAGGTCTTAAGAAGTATTGAAAATGAAAAATAGAGAATGGAAAAATATTTGTTTCCAGATTATTACCACAAATCTAAAATACCACTGTTCTAAAACAGAAAATGAGTTATTAACAAGAATAACACTAAAAAGTAGTGTATGGAAAAGTATGGAAAAGTTACAACTGTGTAGGACTCCTGTATTTAATTTTCTGTTTTATTTACTGGTTGTGTTAAATGCTCGTTTCTGATTGGCCATGACTCACCACACCAGTCGGAAGTCTAATCTGAATAAACACCCCTCATTGTTCGTTCTACTTTACATAACTATCATTTTGAACCCCAACTAAAAGTTTATAAAACATTTTTACAACTTCTTTTAAGAGTTTGAATTTTGATTTGTACTTTTTACTGATTTCTGTTCCCAGTCTGATGTTGTTGTTTTGTTCACTTTAGTAGAATTTGTTCTCCTTCTGAAGTGTCTTGGTCATATTTCAGCATTAATTTTGCCAGGTGAGACGGGGCCGCATGTTTGAAAGAAGCCGTGAAGTTGAGTTGAGTTTTGTTGATAATAACCGTAATGACATAAGGATGTCAAAACTTCAAAAACACCCCATTATGACCCCGTCTCTCAGGGGACGTTGGACCCTTTAATACCCTCATCCTCTCAGACATGGACGCACACTTCACTCAACACACTTCAAAGCCTCTAAAAGTTAATTAAAAAAAGGACTTCTGAAAAATGTCTGCCTGACTCCTTCACCCTGCTTTCACAATCCATCCACGCCGGCAAAGATCCAGCCTCTGACTTTTAACAGAAAACTTCCTTTCCTGTCAACTTCAGCAAGATGTTTCTGTCTCAAAACGAGATGAAAGCCGCGCCAGGCTGGTTAACAAACTCAAATTAACGCCTACTTTAATGAGCAGCACTCTCAGATCTCTTCAATTGAGTCTTGGGGGCCGAGCAGAAACGCAGCCTCTGCATTTGATCTGAAGACGCCACGGTGCAATAAGGTAGACTTTATTCCCTCAGCCCAAAGTTTAAATTAAAAACACACAAAAACGGCCCCGTGCTCCGGAGAGACGTGTCGGATCAGAATATCAGAGCTGACAGTCAGAAGACCGCTTTTGATTGATCTAAAGTTTGGATTCAAACTGTACAATCTCAGCTGATTTTGTACCTACATTTAGGAAAATAAGACTCTTTAACACCCACGATTCATTTATTTTATTATCATTATATTCAGTTACGAACATTTAGTTCCAGATTTGCAGGATTTGGCGTTTCTATCATAGCATTTATTGTTGCACGCATCCAGGGGTGTGTCCCGACTTTTTAGACAGGGGTCGAATGGGAGCACCAACATTGGCAGGGGTGTAAGAAGCTCACTTCGCCTACAGTCAGACCTGAGCTATCCGGATTAAAACAGTTTCTCAAACCAGCTTTTAAACGTGTTTCTAAAAACTGGCTTTTTGAGTTCATGTGTATGTGGTTTCAGGTGTTTCTGCAGCCAGCCTCAAGTGGACACTCATGGAACTGCAGTTTTTAACACTTCCTCAAGACCAGCAGTTGCTGCTTCATTGTAACATTGCCCAAAACTTGTCAAACAACCCAAGTCTTTCCTCTGGAAAATAACCAGTTATAGATGTATGATACAAAACTATGACGGAGTATTAGTGCCACATGAAGAAAACAAAAAAAAAACTAAGACTTAGAGATTAAAGTCGTTAACTTACGAGAATAAAGTAATTTCTTCCGAGAATAAAGTTGTGATAGAATCATTATACAGGTTAGAGTATAAGGACTTCATTCTGACTTTACTCTCATAAGACTAAATTCTCATAAGTAATGATTTTATTAAGACTTTATTCTCATTCGTAATGACTTTAATCTCAAAGCCTTAATGAGGCCCTAATATGGCTTGTGACCAATATACATATACAGAAACTTTAAACATTAATCCCAGTGAAATGCAGAGTTTCCTATACTACCTGGATGCGACTTGACGGATAAAAAAGGAACTCAAAGCACAGATCTAAAGCATGTTTGTTTGGCAGGGGTGTAAGAAGCTCAACAGAGAAACGTTTAACACGTGGAGAAAGTGAGATCTCAGATTCAAGCTGTCAGTTATTACGTTTGTTTAGGGAACTCTACAAGCGCAGTGGGAAAAAGCGACATATGAAGAAAATTATGAGTGTAAAGATTCATGTTCAGAGATCGGAGCCGCTAGTTTCCATGTTTTGCTTGATGGTTAAGAGAATTTAACTTTGAAGTCAGTGACAGTGATGAACGAGTGAACATAAAAACAGGCCTTGAAAACAAACGCTGCTTCAGGGTAGAAACGTGACTTTAACAAACAAAACACATGTCCTGAAACCCGTGTCAGTGTTATTTAAACTTCTGCCATTTTCACCGACGAGTTTGAAATGAAAAACATAAAAATAACTCTCCGGGAAGTTGTCAGCGTCTGTTCTAATTTCACTGACAGGTCTGGATGGTGAAATTCGGCGAGAGCGTCTGTCTGGCCCTTTGCAGCCTGTTCCTGCACAGACATAATGAACTGTGATGCCGCCTGTCAGCGTGCTGCTGCCGGGCTGGGGAATAAGAGGTGATGCCGAGGTGCACGCCGTGATTTTACTGTAGATGTGTGTTTTTTTTTAACGCCCGCGGGTTGTGAGGAAGGTGCGTGGGGTCACACAGGAATGGCTGACAACACAGAAACCTATTTAATCGTGTAAAAAATCCACAGTGTCACCAGTCAGATGGATTAAAGGAGGTGAGAGACCGTGTACTGTAATTGGAAAATGTTTTTACTCTGTCAATCTCAGCCTGATGTTTTCTTTCCCTGATTGTTTTTTTTTCCTGGACAGCAGAAGTTCAGACCAGGTCAGAACCAATAACTGGATTACAGCTGCACATATTTGGCAGGAAAATGTCTCGGTGAGGAGTTTGACAACTTTCATTTTCACATTCAAAATTTGAAACAACACGGCGGCAGAGAGGGAGTCGTCAGGCGAGCTTACAGGCTGAACAATCCTGAACCTTAGATTTGGTGATGAAGCTGCTGAAAGTGTTTTCAGTCAGAACAAATATCAGGAAAAACTGAAAAGTTTGTCAGAGTAGAAAAATATAAGAATCAAAATATTTACTTTATTACCGCAGACTCTCAGGAGGGTGGAAAGTTTAAAACTGTGTTCAGCAATGTGCAGATTTATGCAGATGTGTAGCGCGTGAACTTTAAAATCATTAAGTATTCATTTTTCTTTTTTTAAAAAGTAGTTTATAATGTAGGAGATACGTGTCCATGCATCAGTGGAATAAAAGTGATTTACTGGAACCTCGTAATGATCCATAAAGGTCAGGGCAAAAAGCCTGCTAAAGCTGCTCCTGATTGGTTAGGCTGTACGCTCTACCTCCCCATATCCTCCCACTTTAAAGGGAGGAGAAGAGACAAATACTAGAAGGGGAGTCGGTGGAGAGAAGTTAAAGAAAACAGAGCGGACAGAGCCTGCTTCAGGAACCTGTTTGAGCTTGATTTTAGTTTCACAAAGTTAGACTGCATGCTAAGGGGACCAGATTTCTGCAATGAAATCCGGGGACATCCAGGGGGTGGGGGGTGCCAAGCAAAATGTGATTTTAGGCCCACTACTTCTGGAGAGCGGGGGTACTACTCGGTAGCAGCGCATGCCCCCCATAATAACCCCCCCAAAAAAACTGTTGTTCATTGTTCAGGACTGTGTGCAACATGCTTACTTGCGCTTCCTACCTACTCGGCTACCATAGTAACCGTTGTTGTAGTCTATACGCAACATGTTTTTCTCATTCATGAAATGCTAAAATCAGGGACATATCCAGGGACAGGTCCTCCAAAATGGGGACTGTCCCCGAAAATCAGGGACATCTGGTCACCTTACTGCACGCTCTACCTCCCCCTCGCTGCCCTAATTTCGAGAGGAAAGAAAGAAAGTTTCAGCAACATAATATTTACAGAAACCTTAAAAACTATTTATTAATAATCATACAAATTATTCAGACTGTTGAATAAATCTTTGTTTTTTGTGGGCAGAAATGTTTGCACCCTGTTTTGGTTGAAAATCTGAAAATAAGCAGGGGGGGCGCCCCCTAGTGGCTGATTTTTTCAACTAAATGGGGAACTCTGAAAGTCAAAAAACAGGTAAACTTGCAAAGGGGTTTGTGTCGGTGAATACTCCAAAATGAAAGAACATCAACTTCAACACAAAATAAAGGACTCACTAAAGAGCATGTGTGAAATAAAGTATGAGTAAGTGTAAAAGCTTCTACTGTAAGAACACGTCTGAGACGGGTTGTCCTCCTCAGTCAGGGACATGTCCCACCTGACGATCTCGAGCGTAAACACACACGACTGAAACGAAGTTTCCTTGAGAAGTGATCAGGCGTATTGACAAGTTTGGAGTAATGACTCCAGCGGGGGCTTATTTCCATCAGCACTCATTCATCAGCAGCTGTCTCATGAATGGAAACGTGTAAACAGGTTGGAGAAAAGCTCGACCTCTCAGGGCCTGTGACACATCCACTCCTGTTTTGTTGGAATCCAATAATTATGTTGTGGCTAATCGCTAACAATTATCCAACTGAGGGTTAAATCTGCGGCTGCAGCAAACACCTTCATGTCTAAGTCACCTCCTTACCTCGTGACACGCAGCCTTGTAGACACACACACACACACACACACACACACACACACACACACACACACACACACACACACACACACACACACACACAGAGTCTTGATTACCTAATAGACTGCAGGGAGGATAATTGCATAAACTAATCGATAGCATCTCATTAGGAGAGCTATTTCAGTTAAAAGGTCAATCACAGCCCTCTCACTGTAAATATTCAGAGGAACATGTTTTCTTGAATAACAAACAGGCTTGTCCAAGAATACTGACAACTATATACAGTAGAGTTCACTTGTGTGCTTGATCGGAGGATCTTAAAGAGAGTCCAGCTGAAAGTGCGATACAGCGATCCTTGAAATATCTTCTTTTGTAGAAATATTGTTGCAGGTATCTCGGCCGGTACATTACTGAAAAACATTTCTTACTGTAAAAGATAAGATAAGAGGACACAGAGGTATGTTTTCACAATCACTTGTAACTGCAAAAGAACATTGAACAAGTAATCTGTTATCTGTTAAGATCTGCTTGAAGAAATCGTGTGTTCAGCAATGTGCAATTTCCATGCAGCTGTGTGGCTCTTTCTAGCAATAAAGGGATATCCAAGCATAAAATTCAGTTATGGTCAAACACACCGTAACATCGAGTTAGACACCCCGTCGAGAGATACAGTAAATGTTGCCGACCGCTTGCTTCTTTAGTAACTTTAGTAACGACCGAGGATAGAAATACAGTAGTCACCTACTCTCTTCCAGCAGCCGCTTGTTTGTACGGAAACCCTGGGCGAGTCCATCGACTACAGCGGGGTGCCGCAGCTCAAGGAAGAACATTTATGATCATTTCTTCATGGAAACACAATCAGACCGAGACGCTAAGGCAGAAGAACTACTGCGTCTGCAGAGCAAAAGGATTAATATGATGATTATTACTTCAAGGAAATGATAAAGAAATGATCATAATTGTTCTTCCTTGAGCTGCGGCACCCCGCTGTAGTCCGTAATGGCCTGGCCTGAGGTCTCACTACAAACAAGCGTCTGCTGGAAGAGAGTAGGTGAGTTGTGTTTAGTCTCTTTGCTAAAGAAATGAGTCAAAGTTAAAAAGATGTTTGGTGTCTAGTACTATGTCTGTGACCCTATATGTCCTGTTGATGAAGTTAGGTGCTGTTCTGAGCATTATTTGTGGCTATAGAGTGGACTTTTGGTTGAGTGTGTGTCTCTCTGTATTCCTATCCTGCGGTCGTTACTAAAGTTGGTGTAACTAGAGAAGCAAGTGGTCGACAACATTCATCTCTCGCACTAGTTGTAAGATGTAGGCAACAGACTCTGTCCAATCCTTTACCCAAAATTTGTTGGACTTAACAAACACCATAAATAAAAACTGAACTTTGATCAGTCTGTTTGAACTACTTTATCTTTCCTTCTTCTGCTACTTCTTTCACAGATTGCTCTGTAACCCACCTCCATCCCAGCGCTTTCATGTTACTCCGTCTCTGATTTTGTTCCTCTGTTCTGTTCCCAGGAGTCCTTGCTGCTGCTCTCCCTGCCTCAGGCTTTGGACTTCACGTGGAAGAGCAGGGAGCTGTCAGAGCAGAGCTGTTCTTCCAAATTTAACTTACTGTGCGCCGGTGATTTCTTCTTCTTCTTCTTCTGATGATGGTGGTGGTGGTGGTAAGTCTGCTGCAGACCGTAAAGCTTCCTTTAAACATCTAAAAAAAGATAGTAATGAAACTTTAGAGACATCAGCACTGGAAACATTCGTGTAATCCTGCGCGCTGTCCCTTTAAAGTTTGATTCAGACTCGTTTTATGAATTAAAATGATTCAGATCTCAAAAACACAGATTTGCATTAACACACATTAACCCTGCAGAAATAACTCTCTCCAGGACTGTGAACCTGGAGGCTGTTTACTCACTGTAGGGGTGCCTTCACACCATGATTGTTTATCTCTTATGTAAGAGCCTGCTGGGAGTCTATTAGTCAACACAACACAGCAGTTACACTCAGATCCACCGCTTTAAGAGCTGGATGTTTGCGGCTCGGCCAGAATTCCTCTTTTTACTCTGTTGTGCTATCAAGAAATGACAGAAACATCTGAGCTATGGGTTTTTTTACTCAACCCAACCTTCACGCCTGACCGTCTCAGCAGCCAGGTCAGGGATGTGAGAGCTCTTTGAACTTGAGTCCACATTTTCGAGCTCCTTTTCCTCCTATCTGTGGTGATGAGGCGGATTAAAGCCTCAAAGCACGGTGGAACTCTGAGAGCTGTTTGAATTCTTCACATTAAAGATGCTCCCTGTATGCACAGACACGCTCTCACTAATTTCAGGCTTTTCAGCAGATTATTAATTAACACATCTTAAAGCATCAGGTTACAGAGGCTCAAAGAAATTCGGATTTGCTCATTCATATGAACAATTTATGCAGAAAGGCATCGAAACTGGACCCTCTGATCTACGGAGGAGATATATTCCATGGACAAATAACGTTTTTTTTATCAATACAGATCTGACATAGTGTTCACAGGGCATGTTTGAATACCATGTACTCTACTATGTGCTATAGAAACACTCTGTACAAGACAAATTGATTACCTCGCCGTCCTCGACCGTTTACTCCCTGCAGGCTGTTGAGGAGCTGGGCCACATAAACAGAAACAGCAGTCCTGTAGTGAAAGCTCTCAGCACACTGAGTGTCTGAATGAAGGCTGTTCTGTAACTCTTCAGCAAACACACTCACGTTTGACTTCAGAAACCCTTTCAGACAAACAACGTCACGGCATGATCTGGAGGCAAAGAGAGTAAAAATGGAGGCAAACATAGATCCCCACCACAGAGTAATTCAGACAGATGTTCTTAGGAAGCCTGATGTGATTGTAAACTTTAGGGTGACCATATTCTCAATTCCCAAAAGAGGACACAACTACTTGGGGTGGAGTTGCGTGCAAAATCTTGAGGGTTTTTCTGGTCAGGTGTTTTTTACGTGCTTTTTTGGGTCTTGGCGTCTCTTTCACACACAACAGCGCCGACAGTTAAAACCCACTTGACATAATGCAATATTGACAAATAGAAGTATTTTGTAAAAATTCTTGCCTTAAAAAAGGCAAGTGTGGCATCTTGTTCTCTCAACATAATAAAGAAAGTTTTCTACTGATAACCAACTAACATGTCCGCCATTGTTGCTGTTGTTATGTAATGGGGATGCGCCAAACGGAGCGTGATGTCGCGGCTTTCATCGTAAAACCCCGGCTTGTTTTTTAAACGTTGGCTGGCTGCAGCTTTTCAGAAATATCCTAATCTGGAGGGCGTTTTTAAAAGTCGACGTTTTAGGCTAAAACGCCATTTCTGTTATCATCAGAAAACGACCTTTGTTATGTCAATCCAACAAGATGGTAAGTCGTTTTAATGAGATAACAGTGCATAAAAAAGAAAAATCTAAGGCCATTCTCAAATTTCAGTTTCAGGTAAAAAGTAGAAGTCCTGCGGTACAACAGCCGCTGCTGGAGGAGGAGGTCAAGTGGATGAAAATCAGCAGGAAACAAACTAGTTAGCCAGCTGGATTATAGTATTTTATGATGTGTTCAAGGTCTGGTCGGTAAAATGAAAAGCCTTCATGATGTGTTCAAATACTACGTGAAAGATGTAGTTTAGGAAAGGTACTTGTATGCTGTAATATAAAAAGTAAGAGTCATGTGATATGTGGAACCTGCTCCGTCTTTGCTGCTGCTCCCCCTGCTTTTTATACATCAAACAAAGCGAACTTGAAATGGCGGTCAGATCTCAGATCAGGGCCTCACTGCCAAATGTAACTTACTGCTTCAGTAATTGATCCTTTTTGACAGATGTGGTCCTGAGTGAACCTGGTAAGTCAGATACCGACATCACAGCTTACCTGAAGAGATGTTTACCTGAATGAGAAGCTTTCTTCTTCAGCATTCGAGCAGGAGCTGAAGTTGAACAAGATGGCACGAAAATGCAGATGCAGAAAACTGTGAAATTCATAAAAAAAAAATCTCTAACAATAAATACGTCTGCGTCTTCCACTTAATCTCCTGAGTCCTAATTCTGTCAATGCTGAAGTCTGATTACAAGCCACGCTCAGGTCAGAGTCTTGGCCTCGTGTACAGAAACACAGCTAGACTCCTCGGGGATCCATCAGTCAATCAAACAGAACCGACACTGATCTTTCATTGCAGCTATCAGCGAGACGTTTAGTCTGCCAATTTGCTTTTCTTCTTCTCTCTCAGGATATTCTTTCAGCAGTTCCTGGATGTTCATTAAAAATAAATTTATTGCTCTTTGGCTGGAGGCTGATATTTTTCCGGTTGTATAGTTTTTTAAAGACATCCTGACAGACAAAAAACTGGGCCCAAAAACAAAACCTCCCCCTCAGAGGAGGAGATAATGCAATCCGATGTAACAGCAACACAAACACCACACTCAAACGCTGACCAGAGTCTCAGCCGAAACTGCAACCTGAAGAGGAAGTGTGTGTGTTGTTGTGTCTGAGTCGTCTGCTGTGATTTATTTCAACACACTCACCAGAGAGAGAGAGACGCTTGCATCATATTGTCGTTTTATTCCTAGTATAAGAGACATACAATGGTATTTCTGTGAGACCAAATTCATAGTAATTCAAGAGGCGATGCCTGGAAATCAAACAGAAAAGAAAAAACATAACACTGGTTCAATGAGACCCCGCCCAGATAGAATGTATTTACACCAAATCAAATACTGATAGAGCTGTAAGAGGCCAGACCGCTCCACTCCAATACAATCTGTCACCGGCAGATAAAAAATAACACACACTTCCACTCGAACACTGTAGCTGCCACAATTCCTCTTTATGAAACGTAACGGTCACGACCTTTAATCAAGTTGGATGTTATTTTTTTTATATTTGTAGCTCCAAACCTATTTAACGCTCTGCTGCTTGTTAAAACCCAAATTACTTCTTTTCCCTAACCAGTGTTGCAGTTGACTGTATTTTCTTTTATTTACCAGAGTTGGAGTTGGAGTAATAAACTTTATACGGGGTCAGCGGAGCTATGGGAAATTTCAATCAATATGAAACACCACTTTCAAATATAGTAAATAGCATAGCGCTGTTTTCACAGAATTGATCGTGGCTTCAGTCAAGCGTGGCCAAAGTGACTCTGCTGAAAAGTCTCTGAGGAAGTCCGGCATCACCGTCCCAGAGGCCTGATTCAGCGAGCGGACTGAATCTCAGAGTTCATAGCAGTCTTTGTGTTTCAGTCGTCCAAAACAGAATACCATTTTTATTTCCTTCCTATGATGTTCACACCCGGTGACACAAGTTAAGACCTACAGAGTAACCATTGTAGAAGTCCGTGTGAATCTGATGGTTGTTGACTAATTTTTTGGGGGCTTTAGGTTTGCCTGTTGCTATCTTGTGAAGTGAAGATACTTGGAAAAGAGGGTAAATAATCTGCTCTATCCTCCTTTTACCCTAAATTTAGAAAACTCTTTAGAAAAATGTCTACAAAAGTCACAAATAAACTCAGAAATAGGGTCATTTTTAAGTGCTTCCCTGCAAGCAGATTACTACTGAATCAGAGATTCAACCCCTTCTAGCCCTTTAAAAAGTAAAACATCTTTAGCTTCATTTTACACCTACTTTTATGGTCCATCAAACTGACTATTAAGCAAAGTTTCTATTTCACATCACTAATTTCAGCCTCTTAGTTTCAGTGCAGAGAAATGCAGAGGCGGAAAAACACCGAACATGGCGAGTGCACCAAGAGAACCTGCACTGGTAACAAGCTGAATATCTCTCCTAAAAAAAAAACTGTAAATATTATCACAAAGTGGCGATGCTTTCTGTCAGTACAGATCATTTTAACCCAACTTTACTCAAACCCTCATTTCCAGAGCAGTGCAAGGTGAGGGAGGGCACAACTAACAAATTAGCACCAACTGTAGTCGGCATTTAGATGATGGAAATAAAAAGTAATAACTGTTTACTTTGGTCCTCCAGTGCCGGGACAGAATATGGCCCCTTGTGTGAATTTGGTATTTCTGGCTCTTAACTGATACCTCAACTTTGCAACACTGAAGCAAAACCAAACCACCGTGTGCGGAATTGGAAGTCGTTGTGGAGGCCTGTGCAGATGAGTCCTTTCATTACATCACTACAGGAGTCTATTTAAACAGCAGGAGCTCCTCAGGGTTGCTGT